TTCATCAACGCCATCATTGTGGCACAGGCGCAAATATAAGTCGACGATCTGATGCAAAGTCACCTTGGAGATGTGCATGGAATCCTACAGGAACATAGTTAGCATATGAATGGGAATTGATCAAGGGGCTGAATAACAGACCTCTGTTAGTTGGATATTCAGAGAGTCAACATCCATGACTAGGACTTCATTCTCCCCAACATGGTCCCGGAGGACTTCTCGACAGGAAGCGAAAAGCTTCCCGAGAGGCTCATAGGCAAGGCCCTCATCCTCAAGGAAAAACGTCTCTGATGAGTCACCTTCTTGAGGGGGAAACAAGGATATCTCGTTATCTTGATAATAGACTTTCACAGGGTACAGGGCTGAATCGTGTTCAGTCGTGTCGGCCGCTTCCTCATGTTGTTGAGTTGGCTGAATCTCTTCTTCCTTCGTCTGAGAGTGGCCTTCTACCTGCTGGGCGTCAGACCCCTGGCCCTCAGCCACAGTTACTTCGATTCCTTGCGCATCTTCTTTGTGTTCTGGCTGGTTCGCTATCGCAAAATTGTCGCTCTGTTCTTCAAAGGGCACGGCCTTGGAATCTGATTGCTCTGCTTTGTTAGTGTCGTGCGAAGCTTCGGCTGTATTGTCGGCCTTATTTTCGGCCTCATGTAGATGCGACTCAGATTCTTGGGCAACAGAATGCGATTTATCGCCATCATGAGGTGGATCTGATTCGTCCTTCTTCTCGCCATCTTCGTCGCGAACCAGTTCTGCTTGTGCCTCAGGATGGTATTCAAGGTCCGAATTCTCGATGTCATGATCGGCAGTACTGGGTTCTTCTGCAATAGGATGCTCCGGTGCTTTGTCGGTGCTATGATACTCGTGAGAAGGAGCATCTTCATGAAACTCTGGCACTGGGGCATCGATATCCTCATCGTAGTCATCTTCCAGCATCTCAGCCTCGTATGACTTCTCTGCGCTGTATTGCATTTCGACGTTATCATTTGTGTCAGGATAGTGTTCATCGGGGTCTGTCATCGTTGGCTCGGCAAAATCATCCATCATATCCTCGTCGTTCGCTCCCTCGGGTTCGAGTCCCATGTCATGTGAAGAATCTTGATAGTCATCGTCCCCCATCATATCTTTGTCAGTTGTCGAGATCTGATCTTCCATGACATCAAGATCGATATCGAAATCATCAACATGGCCTTGATAGGGAGAAGCCATCTCCATGGTATCATCTACCCCGGGGACCTCCATGGCAGAAACGGCGAATGCGGAGGTCGTAGTCATTTCATGGAAGGAGTAGAGCAAGGCGGTTGATTAGATGAAGCGCGTGAAGTTTCAGCGCGTTCCGGGTCGGAGCCGTTGGGTCGCGAGTGGCGTCCGGAAAAGGGGCGTAGTCGAAAGAGGGCGTACTCTAGGAGATGGCAGGGCGGGCTGTATCCGAAGAATCTGAAAGGAGACGAAGGGGTTGAAAGGGTGCTTTCCCTACCAGTGAAAGGTGTGGTAAGACGGGGGCAAGGTAAAAAAGATGGAAGATGGAGAGGTTGATGGTTGCAAGCAGCAAAGTGCTTTTCTGGTAAGCGAGGGGATAGCGCTGAGCACGGGCCAGGCGGTGTGCTGAGTAAGGGGGCAGTTGGCTGGTTTGGTCTACCTGGCATCGATCCATCATCTCCGTTGCGGTCTGGAGTCCTCCCAACCCTCCATTGTGATCCTTCCTCTCTCTTCTCCGCCTTCTGTCTCCTTTCCCGTTCGACCTGTCGCCGAATCCACCATGGTATGCTTATAAACTTGAGGGGTTCCCTTGGCCTTATCTTGTTGTCTCTTGCACCATAGCTAATCACTCCCGGTACACGCACAAATAGGTCGTTCTCGCCGCGTCCATATGCACCCGCGGGGGCAAAGCTGTCCTGTCGCGTCAATTCCGAGAAATCGCTCGCTCCAGAATTGAGGCCCTTCTCGCGTCTTTTCCCAAGCTCGCGGACTCCGGTACCCAGCACACCACCGTTGAACAAGACAATGTCCGCTTCGTTTATCAGCCCCTGGACGAGCTGTATATCGTTCTCATTACCAATCGGCAATCGAACATCCTGCAGGATATCGACAGTCTTCACCTCTTCGCCCAAGTCACTACCAGCATTTGCAAGAGTCTGGATGAGCGGGAAATTCTCCGCAATGCCTTTGAGTTACTCAGCGCCTTCGACGAGCTCGTGACAATGGGCTACAGAGAAAACCTCTCGCTTACGCAGATCAAAGCATTCCTGGAGATGGAGAGTCACGAAGAACGGATCCAGGAGATCATTGAACGGGTATGCATCTAGAACCCTACGATTCGTGGTCGAGGAGGTGATTGGAGATTAACTCAACTCGATAGAACAAAGAACTCGAGGCCAGCGAGGAGCGCAAACGAAAGGCGAAGCAGCTTGAAATGCAGCGGAAAGAGGCCGCCCGCACCGGTCGAGCTATGGCCCCCAGGACCCCGTCTTATCCCGTTTATACCCCTCCATCCCGCCCTGCTGTGCCTGATACCTATGATACCTACGAGGCCGAAAAGAAGAAATCCTTCGCCAAGTATGAGATGCCCCTCCTCGACGTTACCCAGCAGCAACTAATGACCCTGTTTCTAAAGACCCCTGCCAACTCGTGGGAAGGGCATGCAGCTCGGAAAGAAGTCGAAAACGACAGATATCTATGAGAAAGTCCGCGGTGACCTTGGTCCGGAGGTGGAGGAGTCCAGCCCCTTGGTCACCCCGCAAGCGTCGACGCCTGTCCAAACTTCCTCGGCCCGGCCCTCTCTGTCGACGGACCGCGAGCCTGTTCATGTTACCATCGCCGAAACGATCTCTGCTGCGCTTACTCGCGAAGGAGCCCTGAAATCGTTCGAAGTCAAGGGAGACCTCCAGCTTCGCATCACAGACCCGGCATTTACCAAACTCCGACTTGGTCTCGTTGCGAACCCCACACATGGCGCTCAATTCCGGACTCACCCGAACGTGGACAAAACGGCTTTTACCAGTTCTTCCGCCATTCAGTTGAAGGACACGACGAAGCGATTCCCGGATAACAACTCGATTGCTGTTCTGCGCTGGCGCGTTGCTAGTTCAGGCTCCGATAGCGCTGACATTTTGCCAATCACGTTCACCGTTTGGACCAACAAAGGCTCGGAGTCCACTACGGTGACGGTCGAGTACGAGCTGACTGGCTCGGACACTCTCCGAGACGTTGTGGTGACTATTCCGTACAGTACAGAGGAGCCCACGGTGTCTAGCTTTGATGCCGTATACGAAGTATCGGGAGATAGCCTGGACTGGACTATCGGCACTGTTGACGAGAGCAATGCCTCGGGTAGCTTCGAATTTGAGGCCACCGGGGACGGCGATGAAAATGAGTTCTTCCCCATGAATGTGCGCTTTACCAAGACCAATCCGTTCGTGGAAGTCGATGTCACCGACGTCGCCTTGTTGGAGATGGAAGGCGAGAGCACTGGCTTCTCGAAGGATGTCAAGTCCATTGCGAAGGGCTATGTCATTGAGTAATGTTCCTTGGGTGTATAGAGTATTAATGATGTTCGGACTGCGTCAAGGTGCTGCTGGTATTCTGCTCATCGTCATTTCCTTCAGTTTGTATTCTGAATTCTAAATCATCATATACACGTGTTTTTGGCATGGTCTATACCACCACCCTCCAATCGTCCGTGGATGGATCCTATCTACCTAGGTACTTTGTATCCTTCTTGCTCCAACCCTACCGGTGGATTGGGATGTACAGGGGTAACGCCAACTCAAACAGGGTCCTATCCCGATGCTACCATCCACTAGGGAGTCTTCCCATCATGAGTGGATCAATGTTCCAACAAACGAGACAGTGTTATAACGTGAGATGATGTAGGGCAACGTCACCAGAACGACTCCTCCAGGGACTGTCGGCCTGCGGAGATGAAGAAAAAGCTTGGAAAATTTTGGTAGTACATAAACTGATTCGACTAGTACTTGCACGTGAAAACTTGTCCACTTCGAGGAACCCCTCGGGGCACCTGAGATCCATCAGAGCTTTACTCTACCACACAGGCCTGCTTCACGAGTCAAGTCGAGACTGTACAGAAGAACCTCGGTCCTCCGCGGTGTCATCTGCTTGTCGCATGCCTTCAGGCTTCCAACACTGATCTTGAGAACCCGGCCTATCAGCAGCAGCAGGCACGACACGATTCATGGAACCGTGAATACCTTTCATAACTTTACCAGCTGCCAGTCGGCATTGCATAAAGCAGACTCGTCTAGAACAGGCTCCCGAGAGACATTGGTCCAGTGGCCCAGGGTGAAGAGTCCATGCCAACAGTGGTTGGGAACGACACCCATTGCACCACCCTCATGGAGGGGGTTTGAGTTTGCTTTCCCTTCACTCCTTTAATGCAGTAAAACCACCCTATATGGAACCAGGAGTGACTTTATTGCTCAGTTTTTTAGCCCTCCAAGATCAGAAGATTCTCTCCTGTCTAGAACATGGCATCAGTCTGTCCACATTGCCCGACATAGGCAATACCTACCTTAGGGCCCAGTGGAATTGGAGGAAATTTGCCATCTATAGCCATTTGATGACTCTCTCTTCCGACCTCTCCGCACCAGAGTTGATCTTCAAAGTACATAGAAACCAGGATGGACATGGGCTGATTCAGCCAACGTCCACCCCCATAACCCTGACGTTTCCATGGCATAAAGCCTAGAGTCTTCTTTCATTCGACATGGATTTCTCTCTTCCTCTGGAGCTCTGCCGAGCTGGTCTGACTGGCGTGCAACGAAAGCTCTGGCGAAATGAAGGTACGTCTCATTCCCATCAAGTTAGGTGCATGAAACCTCCATGCCATGCCTCATCATACTCTCAAGAAGGTAGTGGTGCCTTCCGAAATGGTTCTTGCTCTGGGAGAAGCGCCGCTTCGAGCCTGGAAGGAACATCTCCGTGCCTTCCAATCATTACACTCATCTTCAGACGATGTGAAAAGTCCGGATGATTTAGTATGTGGTCTTCTGCTTCTTTCTATCCCCATCTAGGCCCATACCACCCAGCAGATCTTAACCAAACTATCATTACAGAAAGAGCCTTCTAATATGGATCTATACGGCCAATCGTCACCAGATCGTCCGAAGAGTCAATCACCTTCGTCCGCTCAACCTCCGGAGGATCTTCCAGATATCCTGGAAAACCCATTCGATACCTATGAAAATCCACCTGATCTGTACCAGACGGGATTTGCACCAAATCCTAATCCATACGACCCAAACAATCTGTACAATCCATTCTTTCCCGGCAGTCAAACAAACCATTTCCTTTGTGAGCCACGATACCATGGTACCCAGCCCTTCGCGACTCTGGGCGTTATCGATAGCAACAATGTCACCGCCACACCAAGGCGTCCCAGCGTCTCTACTACATCGAGTGCATCCGCTTACGGTGGCATCAGAAAAGTGCCCATACCCCGACTGCCGTCTCGCGATGATTCATCAAGAATGCGTAGGCGCCACATTACCCGAGCGTGCGAGAACTGCAGATCAAGGAAGATCAAGTGCTCTGGGGAAGAGACTGGCTGCCGTACGTGTTACGAGTATGACCTTGTATGTTGCTATACTGAGGGCAAACGGGAGAAGGCTAGGACGTAAGTGCGAATCTACTTGGAAGCTTATCACGCATACTAAGTATTACAAAGACAGGTGACCCACCTTGAGAAGAACCTTGATTCCTATAAGAAGGCACTTCAGAACATGAGCAATAGGCTTGGCCTTTCGGATGCAGAGATAGAGGCGGCTCTTAAAGTGGTGTTGTCGGACCCTTTTCTTCGTGATCTCTCACTAAATGAAAACAGGAATCCTCCATCGACATAGGGTCTGGCGCTGGCAAACCCGAGGATGAGGACTATCGTTCTGCCTCTTCCCACGCACTTGACTCGGTCAAAGAAGACTTCAATAAGGACGGCCCTACACTGGCGACAGGATTCATTGGAAGAAGCTCAGAGTTCACTTGGTTACAAGAAGTAGATCGGCAACTTGGCACCCCGCGACGATCTGAGAAGCGCGAAACCCCAATAGCGGCATGGAATTATTATACGGACACTCCGGTCTTCCTCCGTTATAGCCCGCGTCCTGACCCAGACGGGTTCCCGACACCACATGTGGCGCGAAGGCTCTACAACACATACTTTGCTCGTGTGCATCTGACATTCCCTATTATCGGAAAGACTATATTTGACCGCCAGTTCCGCTCAGTCTTGGCCGACCCCAAAATACACGGAGGAAACAGGTTCCGCGCGGTGTTGAACATGGTGTTTGCTATCGGTGCACTATTCATTCAGTTGACAGACGATAACAGTGAAGGAGATGAACAAGACCACCCCTTGTATTTTGAAAGGGCTAGAGTGCTGAACGTGGATGGCACAGAGCTTGATCACTTCGATGTCCAGCAGATCCAAGCGAAAGGATTGGCTTCACTTTATTTGCTGGCTACAGGCCAGATGAACCGGTACGTCTAGAATTCCTTCCAGTCACTACAAAGCATCAGTTTCTGATACAGTCCGGGCATCATTTCAGAGCTTGGAGGCTTTGCACAAATGCCGTACAGGGGGCGCTTGACCTTGGATTGCACCTACGCGACCTTGGATCCACCGCTGATGATCTCAAGGAGATAAAATACCGTGTTTGGTGGTCTCTATACACCCTTGAACATCGTCTCAGCGTGATCACCGGACGCCCTTCTTGCATACACGATACTGACTACTCGACTCCTCTCCCTATTCCGTTCGATGAAGTTCAATTTAAGGAAGAAGAAGCTATCCGTCTCTTAGCATCGTCAAAGGATCGGACAAGTCAATTAAGCGGATCCTCATCCTCTTTCAAGCGAGGTGGGAAGGGCCAGGCGAAGTACGCAGATTGCGATATCCGATATGCTGATCCATCCGAGTCTCTGTACTTCCTACAGGCAGTGCTATTGAGCTCCATTGGGCGGAGAGCGGCCAGCCAGCTCTACAGTCCGCAAGCCGAACACTTATCTTGGCGACACACACGATGGACGATAGAAACGCTCCTGGATGACCTTAACTCCTGGGTCGTAAACCTGCCCGCTGTCTATGATTTTACGTCGATCAAATCCACGCCAAGCCCTCAGAGTCATACGTCAGGTCTCGCCATCCTATATTACAGCACCAAGATTTTAATAACAAGGCCATGTCTTTACCATCTAGAGGTGGACAACAAGGGGAAAGGGTCCGAGGCTTTCGCCGAGCTCGAGAATTTCAACAAAGAACATGCTGCCCAGTGCATCAATTCGGCGTGTCTTCTGCTTCGCTTTTTACCTGAGCCACCATATTCGGTTGACCTATACGAGTCAAGCCCGTGGTGGTGCATATTGCATTTTCTCATGCAAACAGCAGCCGTTCTTCTCTTGGAGCTTTCCCTTAGGTGTGAGCATGTCCCTGATAAAGCTGCCACAATTTCCACGGCCACAAGAAAATTGTCCGAGTGGCTACATCATCTTTCTGTCGATGCAGCGAGTCCAAAGAAAGCACTGAATATTTACAGGAAGCTTCTCAGTCAGGTGGAAGATTATTCAAGCAATGTTCATGGGGGTGATTGCGATGAGGACGACGATAGCGATCCAACCCCTCAGGGGCCAAGAGCTAGATCTCCTGTTGATCAAGCACCTCCTGTTGCTGGTGGACAGGCTTTTCCGAGTGAGCCACAGTTTCGTTCAGCCCCCCAATCTGGTGGAAGCTCTGGCGACCAAGCAATTTTGATATTGGATCCCAATGTTCTATCACGCACAAACACATCGGACATTAGCATTGACTTTTCATTCTTAGATGTTGTCGACAATGACGGATTCATTGGCTTGCTTAACTGCGAATCGGTTCCTAATATCTGGGACGAATCCCTGGTGCCCGGCGAACCTCCATCAGTGACTCAGAGTTGGGCTCCCTCTGAGGGTAGCATGGACATGAACTCTAATCCAAGGGGTGCCGATTTCTGGTGAAGACGGTACGAGAGACTTATCAGTGTAATCCGTGATTGTTTGTTAGAACTCGAATAGCTACTCTCGGAGATCCAAAGGGATCACGGGGCGTTGATCACTACATTTGTAAGAGCTGTGGCAATGCGACTGACAGACTAAACATTCATAAGTTCTGAAACTTCCAGTCCATAGTGTAAGTTCCTTCTCCAGGTCCTCAACGAGCCTGGCTCTTCGATGTACGGGGTCCGACACGTCTTGCTGCAGTAGTGGTTGTTACAATCCGTCGGGAATTATGGGAGAGTGTACTACCATGGGTGCCTGGGGACAGGAACTGGGAAGAATGACCAGAATTATTCTACTGATATGTACACAAGTCTTGTATATACGAAGCGTACTAACCAACACGCCTGTAAAAGCCGGATGTCCAAGACAAGGAGATCAAGCCTCCCAATTCCTTCTCTTAGCTGTAAACAACAACCGGGCATTTTCCTCGGGCGAATCCGGACGCGATGCGCCCGGCGTCATGCGGTGAATGGCATTAATCCTCGAAAAGTGGATGTCGACCACCAAGGCCCGCCGGACAGCCCGATTAGCCCACGACCCCGACGCCAGGGGCCACTGTGCAGCATCCCACGACCGCAGATCGACACCCAGCAGTCCTCTGCTGTCGCCGACAAACCGCTCGATGCAGTCCAGCGGTGGCAGAAACCGCCGTCTGACGCCGCAGCCGGTGTGGTGCGTGTCGATCTGGTAGTCGGGGAACTGTTTGAGAGAAGAGATGAGGGCGGTGATGTCGCTGGGCGGTGCGCTGGGGAGCGGCTGGCCACGGGCGTCATGGCCGTCGTCACTGCCGCCGTCGCTGTCGCTATCGGCGTCTGGGTTGAAGTCGGGATCGATCAGGGTGGATCCGAGGAAAATGGTCCTGGTGCGGAGGGCAAAGAAGCGGGTCATTTGGCCGAGGTGGAAGGCGTCGCAGGCGCTGGCGTTGCCCAAGCCGCAGCGGCATTGGTAGTGGCGGGTTGGGACGGTGGTGATGGTGGTCGTGTGAGATGTGGGCGGCGGTTTTGTGGTGTCGGTGGTGTCTAGGGCTCCGTATGCGCGGAGGAAGGATGCTTGTAGGTCGGTGATGGTGTTCAGGACGCATTGTCGTCTGTAGTATAGTTCTTCTGTGGCTGAGGGTTAGCTTTGGATCGAGGTCATCCCGATACACAGGGAAGGGAGTAATCTTTCGTAGGTAAGGGAACCAACCTTCCAGTCCGTCGGGAAGATGTCTCCAGCGAAAGGTCGTGGAGCGAGGTGTGTCGAGGCCGTTGGCCCAGAATCTAGATCCGAGGAGGACCAGGGCATGCGAAAAGACTTGAAAGACAATCCGCTCATCCGTGAAGCGAGAGATATATATTGTCTGCCGGATTCTATCCTCGCTTTGTTTGAGGATGGATGTGTCGAATTTCCATGGCGGGGATTTGCTTTTGCCGAAAGAATAGGCACATCTTGTGAGAGCTTCTCGCACAACGTCTGAAGAGTTGAATGCATCGGCTAGCTCTATGAGTCGGGCGACGAGGTATGGAGGCTTGAGTCTCAGTTCTGCGTTGAAGTTTTCCTGCTCTTCGTGTATGAATGAATTGAAGGTCAGGATTTTGAGGAATGTTTCAATGGCATCTATACCAAGCTCCGGAGAAAAATGTTCACTGGGTAGCTTGATGATTGGCAGCGAACTGAAACCATCATTCGAGTCAGATTCGTCTGGATGGTCTTTCCTAGCGTCCCTTGTGGCAGCCGTTGATTCTTGTCTGATGGACTTCTGGTGCGAGAACTGTCGGCCCTCATAGAACTTGAGGGGATCGAGCAGTGCACGGAAATAGGGGCTGTTCTTGGTCAGGTCTTCACTGGAGACTTGCCAACGACAGCCTTCGTTCTCACGCGACGTATTGGAAATATTGTTGGGGCACACATATTCCACTAAGACATCGCCAGTTGAAAGGATGACCTTTGCGGGTAGGCCAGACTCATTCGGCAACACCGTCTTCGCTGGGATGAAAGGCGGACTGCCAGCGGATTGACCGGTGGTCTTTGATGGGCTTCGCGTGCCATTTGTTACGTGATGCAGTTTCAAACTGCCAAAGGAGTCTTCCAAACCGTCGGATGGTCCCGAAGCCATCGTGGGTAGAGCTCAGCCCAGGCTTCTTCAGACCATTGGCTGTCTCGCAGTCAGCGTAATAGACCGCTGGTATAAAGATGCTGCAATGTGCCCAGAACAATCGCGCGATATCCTGCGATTGTCTACTGATATCCGTACAGTATGCGGATTATGCCTTAGTCGTGGACTCGTGGGCCATCATCGTTTCAAGAAGCTAGGACGCAGTGTGGCCTTTCCGTAAATTCAGTCGAGAAGGCTCATACCATAGTATCAGACAATGCGAGCCAAGCACGATCAGTTGGAGGCAGTCGAGGTTGCTGCTAGTGGGGATGTTGAAATCATTTTCATTCGATGTTCGTTTGCCTCTTAGAGTGACGATGTCATGTGATCTATACCCCAAAAGGGAAATTGACTCGCTGTGAGATTCATATACGGTGGATTGATATACTGTGCTTTGTAGTCCAAGGTATATACATTCAGAAATAAGTGAAACCATCATAGCTATGCAAGGCACTCCCACCAAACTCACGCCAAAACGCACACTCCTCTCTATCTTTCCAATTGTTGCGAAGACCGCCGAAACCATCCCAGCACTGCACGAGCGTAGTGATCCAGGGAACTCTTAAACACCGTTTCCGTTATATAGTGACAATAGAACAAACGAATGATCCTCGGAGACGGAACTATTCTAGCGGTGCTTTCACGGCAATGACACAACCGGGATATGCACGATCTTGTGGCCCTGTGTCGATTTCGCGGCCGTTTGCAGATTGTTGTTTTCCTTTCGGGAAGCTTCTTGGAGCTTGATGGCTTGTTCGACGATATAAAATAGCTTCCTGGCCAAGGGATTATCGGACTCTACCATCTTAGCTGACAAACTGGTATCTGTTGGTGCCACATCTCCGTCCTCCTCGTCGGTATAGTCGGCGAGATGCTTGCCCCGCATTAAGTCGAGCCTATGCGAGATGAGAGAGAACAATGCAAGCGGAGGTAGCTCGTCTTCCTCGTCGGAAGAGTATGGGCTCAGCTGTTGTTCCGCTGTAGCTCCACAGTAGTCCGTGTCGAAGATATCATCCCTCTGAGAAACAAGGTGCCATGGCTCGCTGCAGAGGAATCCAACGACAAAGTCCTGGTTGGCGCGTGCCGCAGCGATGCAGCTCCGTCGGTAGTCCGCTGTGAACGAAGTGTCACTCACAGAGGGGAGACAGAGTACCAGACCCCGTGCCAGAAGGGGCGGTGGTGGAAGGGTGTGGTCCATAATGGCGTCATTCGAGCCCGTGTATCCCAGACCATCTGTAGACTCGTATTGGTGTTGCTCTAGCGGCGAGTCTGTGGAATCTTCGGTGTGCTGGGTGATCGTCTGCGTCAAAGATATGGTGGATGCTTTCCGCGGAGGGAGTCCCAGGCCATTCCCATCCACCGCATAACCAGATGACAGGAAATGCGTGGCGTGGCTGTCATTATTTTCTACTGTCGATTCGTATCCACTCAGAGGACGCTCATGTGAAGTGCTATCGGCCGTGATCTCTGTTCGGATGGTTTGCACGGCGTCTGCGACAGCTTCCCGAGCTGCAGCCTTCAAAGTAGGAATTAGAATGTCGGCTTCCTGGTTGTTCACCGCCACTCCGGAGGGCCATGCGGTACACATCACAGCCCACGAGGCCAATTTGATGACGCCTTTTGTGTACTTTTTCCGGATCAGATCCACCAGCTCGTTTCTCACCTCCCGGGATTCAGATTTCTGTCGGCCAACAACATCCACCGTTGCGTTCAGGATCCGCCCGCTTTCCCATATTAGAAACGCGTGCTTCTTGGCCAACGAGGTCAACTGGCGGACCGTCTCATCGGACCAGTCATCGACGATGTCTGCATGGACCTGGAGGATAGCTATATGCGGGCCAACGAGAGAGGCTAGCTGAAGTAACGTCTCCGAATTTGTGATTGTGTGGGAAGGAGCCACGCAGACAGGTAGGCCGTATGGTAGGCCTTTTTTGGCTTTGGCCAGAGTCTGGAGGTAGGCGATCAGACGATTGCCGGGGAACGACGACGACGAGGATGTGTAGGGATTCATGTGGATAGATTTCAAGGACGATCGCAGACAGAAATTCCTTGCTCGGTAGAAAGAAAGAAGAGGTTCCTGTCTCTGAATAACGCTTGGGGAGGGGGGAAAGAGAGAAGCAAAGGAAGCTTTGTGCACTGGGCGAGAGCTAGACAGGGACTAGTAACTGCGGACTGGGGCTCTGGGCGAGAGCAATTCGAGGCGGCCTTGGTCGAGACAAAATGATTGACAAAAGGATGAGAGTCCCCACTTTTCTTGACAGTTGGCTCAACAAGGTCGACAGGGGTTGCCGTCCCGGTGTGAAGGATGTTGGAGATTGGGCAAAGTCAAATTAATGGCCCGTCGAATTGGTCGGATAGTTACCTGGGCATAGGTACCTATATGTATTATTGTCGGGATGTGGACTTGAGATGACCACGACACCATAAAGGGGAGAAACCAGTGGAAAGGGGGACAGGGCTGATATAACATCCCCTCCCCTGAATTGACCATTTGTCTCTCCACTGACTGACTCGTTTCCTTTTTCCCTCTTTTACTCCTCTTTTGGATCAGTCAGATTTGCGTCCCCCCCAGCTGGGTGACAGCATTCACTGAGCGGGTATAACGCCGCTGATGAAGATCATCTGGCTTCACTGTTTCAGCATTTCCATGGACGATAATAGGATGCGCTGGACATGGGGGAAATTCCGTCTCGGCCGACCGCATAGAGGTATTATTTGGGGAGATGGATAGGTTTTCTGTCGAGGATGCATCCATGGTAGAATAGAGGGGGTATTGAACCTTGATCCATAATTTCGGATCGATGTGACGCCTCCCATCAATCTATCCGAAAATGATCGTCATCATCTTCCTGATCGGGGACGTGGGAGGTAATATTAAAGAGGCAATGCTGTCTTCATTATTGGATGGATCTGATGATTCTGATCGAACAATCATGGAAGACCAGAGCGATATGGACGCTTCTATCGAGGCCTCTGTCTGTACAATGTCTCTGTACAGCAACAAACATATCATAGTCCGCATCGCGAACATGGCTCCATTCTTTCCCACAGGCCAAAGGAGGCGTGTTATGCACTTATCCGAACCGACTACCTAGGTACTCCGGAAGCCAGCGGCCACCAGAAAACCCTTCTCTTCTGACCGTCTCCACCTCTTCATCTTTCAGATTGAATGGTATGGAGGCTTATAACATAGAGAGACCAATTGACAGGCTGAGTAAAAGTATTCTTTGTTCATTCTCTTGATCAACAGATTACCTATATAGGAACCTCTTCAAAGAATTCTCTACCAACAAAGTAGAATCTCTATGCAAGAACGTTCTCCTCTGAGCCACCTCAAGGGCCCCATTTCGCTTGAGGCGATGACGTCCGAAAAGAAGACGCGTGACTCTGCACTTCTACCTCAATCATCTCCTTTCCCCACAAGTACGGAGCACGATGGATAGAGTGCCTTCTTTTCTTACTTCTCGCTCAAAAAATAGAGAGGATGGTGATTGATTAGATCATCCTATCATGTTCAGGGGGTGGACACCCCAAAAAGGTTTAGCCTCGGCTTGTATACGGAGTACGGAGTACGCGGCGGACGGCAGCGATCAGGTGCTCGTTCCTGTCCCGTCCTCTTTTTCCCTCGTTTGCTTTCGATGTTTGCCAGCCTTTGATAAACTGCACTTTGAACAGATATTTCGTGTCCCATTTGGCGCTCGATCCCCCTTTATCCCTTTTCCTCGTTTGTTGCTGGTTCAGGATCCCTGCGTTCTCATCTCGCCGCGCAGAGAAATTTTCTCTTCGGACCGTTCGGACCCGCGAGCCTGGATACCTTGTTGTGAAGCTCACGCCACTCCTCCCCCTAACCCATTTATTCCGTTGTGCCGCCGGGCCCGTCTTACCACTGCGATCCAGTCCAACCATATCATCCGAATTTCTACGCCGGTACCTACAGTCTTTTCATCGTCAGGAACACCAGCGCGACCCCTGAACCATCGCCATGCCTGGAAGAGTTCTCCCGACTTTCACCCTCGCCGAGGTCGAGACCCATAATAACGCCAAATCGTGCTACGTGACAATCGGATCCAAGGTCTACGACATCACCTCGTTCGTTGACGATCATCCGGGTGGCGGCGATCTGATTTTAGAATATGCCGGGAAAGACGTGAAGGACATCCTGCGCGACCCCGTGTCCCATGAACACTCTGAGGCCGCATACGAAATTCTGGAGGAGAGTCTAGTGGGCTTCCTTGCGACCGACTCGAACGGGACCGCGAATGCATCGAATGTCAATGGGTCCGCTCATAAATCAGAACAGGTCTTCGCTACAACTGGCATGTCGTGTGAAGAAGACCTGACCGTTGAAACCGATTTCTCCAAGGACTACCAGACGTACAAATTTTTGGATCTCAACAAGCCACTGTTGATGCAGCTGTGGAATAGTGGCTTCAGCAAAGAGTTTTATCTGGAGCAGATCCACCGCCCCCGTCATTATCGGGGCGGCGAATCTGCCCCTCTCTTCGGAAACTTCCTGGAGCCTCTAAGCAAGACTGCGTGGTATGTGGTGCCCATTATCTGGCTCCCTCCCGTGGCATATGGGACGTTCGTCGGGTTCACCGAACTGGGAAATGTTGCTGCGGCCTACTGGGTTTTCGGCGTTTTCCTTTGGACTTTGATTGAATATGTCATGCATCGATTCCTGTTCCACATTGACCGGTAAGAGATCTTTAGTTTCTCACTTCCTTGCTTTTGACTGACATGTCCAGGTTCCTTCCCGATAATCGAGTTGGACTTACTCTGCATTTCTTGCTGCACGGAATCCATCATTATCTGCCCATGGACAAATACCGACTTGTGATGCCCCCGGCCCTCTTCGTTGTCCTGGCTACACCGTTCTGGAAATTGGCCCATACTGTCTTTGCCTACAACTGGTATGCGGCCTTGACGGTATACTGTGGCGGCGTGTTCGGCTACATTTGCTATGACATGACTCACTATTTCCTGCACCACCGCAAGTGAGTACCCCATAAAACCAAATTACCGTACATTTGCTACATTCGCTAATCGGACCTTTGCGCCTTGAAGCCTTCCACTCTATTATAAGCAACTCAAGAAATACCACCTGCAGCACCACTTTGCTGACTTCGATAATGGATTCGGTGTCACCAGCCGGTTTTGGGATGTCATCTTTGGCACCGAGCTCCAGATGCCGACACCGAAGGTTGCCAAGGTTCAGTAAGTTGGCTTGTCTTTCACTATAGGCCTAAAATGGCCATACGGCCAAGTGCTTTCTGGTCCTCTACACACGAAGTAATGCTATGACCGTTAACCTATCATGTCGGACCTTTGGGATTCAATTTCTGGGACCAGTTGGCGTTGAGATCACTCTCACTTGCTTCTTTCTTGTACAGTATGGTTTGATTGCGGTTGCTGCTATGGCATAGCCTTTCCGTTTATCGGAACGATGGAACATGGCGTCCCATTCCAGTGAACCTGGGAAGCGTTATTATACGACTGTATATGACTACGTTACTTTACTTAATACATAATTGATGTACTATTTACCTACATGGAAACGGTCTCGCACATTGGACGAACGGCATAGATCTTGATCAGGTTTCATATATGACTATCGAGTTGAGATCGGACATATTTCACCGCTTGCTTACTCTATACCTGTTCCATGGTTCAATTTAAGTTCGCATAGAAAAGGAAGGGAAAAAGACATCCAAAAGGAGGCAAATCGCCAAGAATTCACGTGATCCACTCATCTTTTCCCAACGACCCGCCATCTACGGGGCTGGTATCTCCTCACACCTCAGACCCCCGACAGCAATCCCCAGGGCAAACATAGTATTTCTCCTATCTATTAACTTGCACCGAACGGCCCCTCTCGCCCTAGAGACAGAATCTTGAAGACTTTGAAAAGTCCAAATCAAACTCAAGGGTTCGCTCAAGTCAAGCGCCATTCGCCATCGTGCCTCTCTAACGAAGCCACAAGTGACCTCATTCTCTTCACAGTCCTCACTTGCCCCTTTGTAGCCACATACGTTCAGGGAAGAGGATTATCAACCAGCTTTCGATATGTCAGGTCTCGACGTGGAGGCTCTTCTTGAGTCGACAGCCGCTGCAACCCCCCAAGAGTCCCGCCGCTCTCAAGATCGCGATGACCGCTCCAAGGCCGACAGTACTGATCGCCGCGACCGCGACCGTTCGCGCGAGAGGGAGCGCCGCCGCCGTGACCGCAGCCGCGACCGTCGTCGTGGTGACCGGGACGCCGATGGAGATGAAGACATGAAGAGTCCGAGAAGCGAACATGGCAGTGCTAACGGAAGCCATAGAAGCAGAAAGAGGAGCAGGAGCCGCGACAGTGACCGGCACCGTCGGTCTCGTCGCGACCGCTATGGCGATGACTACCGCTCGAATGGGGACTTCTACCGGGGAGGGGGCCGCGCTCGCACTCGATCTCGCTCCCCTTATGACGATCGCTACTACCGTCCTTCGGGTCGTTCTCGTCGAGATGAGCGGGATGATGATCGTCGTGCGCGCCGTGATCGCAAACGCAGCCCTAGCCGTGACAAGAGCCCTGAGCTCAATGAAGATGAACGCGACCGTCGCACTATCTTCGTGCAGCAGCTTGCCGCCCGCTTGAGGACCAAAGAGTTGATCGCGTTCTTTGAGAAGGTCGGACCCGTCAAAGAGGCCCAGATTGTTAAGGACCGTGTCAGTGGACGATCCAAAGGGTAAGCTTCATCCATCTCATTGCCTGTTTCGTGTGAACCCTCCCAGGCTAATCATCACGTAGCGTCGGTTATGTCGAGTTCAAAAACGAGGAGTCCGTCGCGCCCGCTATCCAGCTTACAGGACAGAAGCTTCTAGGAATTCCCATTATTGCGCAGTTGACCGAAGCGGAGAAGAATCGCCAAGCTCGCAACCCCGAGGCCAGCAGTGGCAGCAACCACGCGGCCCCTTTCCATAGGTTATACGTGGGTAACATCCATTTCAGCATCACTGAAAGTGACCTCCAGAATGTCTTTGAGCCTTTCGGCGAACTTGAGTTTGTGCAGCTGCAGAAGGATGAGACTGGTAGGAGCCGGGGCTATGGCTTTGTACAGTAAGTGACAGTCCCGTATTCCTTCTCGTCTTCGAGTCCGTACTGACCGCGTGTTAGGTTTCGTGACCCTAACCAAGCCCGAGAGGCTTTGGAGAAAATGAATGGCTTCGATCTTGCGGGTCGTGCAATTCGTGTTGGCCTTGGCAACGATAAGTTCACCCCTGAGTCGAACGCCCAACGCATGCAGAGCCAAGGTGCAAGTCAACAGAATTTCCAGGGCTCCATGTTTTCAGGCCAAGGTGGACGAGGTGTCCAAGCCGGCGGCACTAACAACTTCGATCGTGCTGGTGGCCGGGAGTCTGAGAAGGGCGCCGGGGCAAGTGCCCTCGATGACACAGACGTTGCTGGTGTGAACTTCAACAACTATAGTAGGGATGCATTGATGAGGAAGCTTGCAAGAACAGATGAACCTTCAGAGCCCTCTGCCGACGACAAGCAGAAGATTTTACGGCCCAAGACGGAAACCAAGCCGTTGCCTGTCAATGTGAACATGGCGAGTCGCTGTGTCTTGCTTCGTAACATGTTCGATCCCGCCGAGTAAGTGGTCCCCTACATCCCATCTGTGTGCTGTCTATCTAACAATCTTATAGGGAGGAAGGCGAAAGCTGGATTAAAGAGCTTGAGGATGACGTCCGCGCTGAGTGCGAAGACAAATATGGCCATGTTGTTCACATTGCACTAGATCCCAACTCGCAAGGCGATATCTACCTCAAGTTCGACCGTGTCCAGGGCGGCGAAAATGCCATCAAGGGCCTCAACGGACGCTTCTTCGGTGGTAGACAGATCACCGCCCAACCGGTTGTCGATGCTGTTTACAGCAGCTTGTTTTCGCGGACTAAGGCAATCTAGTGCTCGACTCCATCAACTCCCGGCACACCTACCGATACTCACTGGATGATAGGTATCCTCATCTAATGTTGTGTTGTTAGGTGAAATGTTTGACGGTTGAGCCGTCCTTCATCATGGCGCGTTCAAGTCTTTCGAGAGTGTGGCATAGCGATTACTTAACGTGGATGACACTGCCTCTGGTAGGTGCCAGTCTTTCGACGTCGTGTATTTTGACAGTCGATGTGCCAGCCTAATGGCTTGGTGAGCAATGATGTGTTCATAGGGACATTGTACATTGATTTTAGCGCAAATGAATTTGATTGTAGCCAGACATGCTTTTAGGTGCCTTGCTAGCGTCTGTTGATGTCGAGCTCCCTTATGTCTTTGTCTCGTAGGGTGACGATTAAAATATAATATCCTCACAGGGTCTGACTCTCCTCCAGTCTCTTGCGTCAATAGAACGAGTTGTGTGGATCTGGCGATCACCTGTGTTCCTCGAAGAGACGCAGGAGACATCGTCGCCTGATTCTACAATAGTGAGTGTCTAGAAGAAACAGTAACAATGGTTCCTTCGTTTTACATTTTAGCATGCAGTAGCTATTGATAATACAATAGAAGATACGCATACGCCCAAAGTGTTAGAAAGATGGAGGGACCTCTTGAAGCACCCGAAGAGCTTTCCTGCACTGATGTTTGAAATTTTGTGTTGCTCCTGTTGGTGGTCGTGCTATCAAGTTTCCCTTCTCCCTCCAGCCTTAACTCTTGTGGCTCTCTCATGGATACACTCAACCCTCTCACCAGGTCAATGACCAACTCATTTCTACACTCATGGATAAAAGCTAATCGATCATCCTCCTCACTCCTAGTTCAAGCACACAAAGCAAACTGTCTGGCGAGCTGTCCATCTCTTAGATGTCGTCTGAAGGCCCTTTTGACCAACCCGAGACTCCCAGAATCGTGAACCCCCAAAGCCAGCCCAACAGTTCTGAAATCGGGAATCTGCGCATCCGGGTGATTTCAATGCAGCGCTACATTGGTACATTTGAAGGAGATCTAGAGGCGGCTGTTCAGTTGGACGAGAGACACGGCGAAGTCATCCAGCGCCTCCAGCAGAAAATCGATGAGCTAGAGGAGTTGGTTCGCAAACAGAGAGCAACAATTAGTAACCAGAGCAAGGCCATATCTGACCCAAGACTTGTTCGCAGAGCGCAGGCAACTGTCTCCGTCGTTGCCTTGACCCCTCGCCATTGCGCTCCAAGCATGTTACCGTCTCCTTTGGACACCCCGTTGTCGGCCGCGTCTCAGGGAGCTCGTTCGAGCATCTTCAGTCAGCCTCCGCCTCTATTTGCCCTGCCTCAGGGCGACCAGCAACCTACGACTGCTCCTGCGGAACATTCAGATGGCTCGTCCAATGACGCGCAGAATGAAGGGCACCAAGAGTGTATTCTGTGCAGCAAGTTGAACGGACATTACCCTTGTGCATTTGTCAATTTTGAAGCTACTTTTATGGAAGTTTGGGCACGACTCCAAGCCTTGTGGTCCAAGTCCGAGAGCTACGGTATTGCCCATGCAAATAGGCCTTGCATCCAGATAGACAGTCAGCTGGGCCAGAACGTCAAGGACTACCTCATCTCTCTGTCGGATCAAGCACACGCGTCGACTCTTCTGGGCCAGTCTGTCACCCGCTTCTGTCTTGTTGCGAAGGCAATCAACTACTATCTCATTAACGAGGTGATCAGGATCACTGCAGCCAAGGGCTTTGACGCCAGGTCCGACGAGGAGATTGGGCATATCAAGCAAACGATGTATCCCGGTATTTGACCCCCCGAAGCCTCCAGCTCCAGCCTACCTCAACGACACTAATACCAGGCGCACAGATGCCCCCCAGGTTGTGCGACAGCTGATGGTTGTGACGCTGATGTCCCACATTCGTGAGCTCAAGGAGAAGGCCGGGTTCGCCGAGTTCTGTCAAAACAAAGCCCGTGTCCATACCAAAAAATTGTGGCAATACATTGGACCTCTCACCCACGACCCTCTCAATCATTATAACGCGTGGGCGGACCTCTTTGTCATCGTGTCCGAGGCGCAGGCTCTGGCGATCGATATGTTCTCGGTGCCGTACGAATACAACGTTGATTTTCCCAGCATGAGCGAGACCTTCGAGCCGACCACCATGGTTAACCGGGACATGTTCATTCGCGGTGACCCGCAAGGTCTGAAGAATAATGATACACGTGTGCGTCTGAGTATCACTCCTATCGTTCGGATGCGCGATAACTCCCAACGTCCGGCGGATATCAGGATGGCTAGCCAGGCTCATGTCTTACTTCGCCCTGCACCTGCTCGGTCTTCGCCTGCGAAGTGAATATGATGTGAGATTGAAGTGATTTGATGGCTGTCTTGTCTTGCGTTGCCTTTGTTGATTTCCTGGATTGACGACATCTGTATGTCTGTTTACTTTTGATGTTCGTATTTGTTCCCGCCCTGTCGAAACGGATCATGATGTCACCGAGTCTGAGGTGGACTCGAAGGGTTTACCATGAAAGGGGTTTACTTGAAGAAATCTGGATGTATTTGCGCAGTCAATGGATTTGTCTGACACAGAAAATCATGGACAGATCCGGCAGATGTCAGCATACGGAGTCCCCCGCGGGGTGCCTGAAGTAGATCCCGATAAGGAAGGACGAACTGCCGGTGCCTTTCTCCGTCGCATTCGCTCGGGCCGCAAACTCATCAACCTCCTCCCCGCGGAATACTACTTCCCTCCTTTCCCCCCCCCCCCCAACAATCCGCCTGTGTCAATCCGGCCGAGACCCCTTTTCATCATGCTTGCGCTTTTGAATTAATGCTCGACATTCATGAATCTGACTCCTGCAAAGCGGGTCTCTGTCCAGGTCCGGACCTTGGCCAACCGTCACTGCCGTACGTCTTTCAATAGTTCCTCTGCCGATCCCTTCACAGCTCCCCTTGGGCATTTGACTCCTCACAGCCATTGCTAACCACTTATCTGCTATCTAGTTCTCTTTGCTCCAGCTAAACGACATCAGACAACAAAGTCCGCCGCTTCCCAAGACACCCGGACGTCCATCCCGCGGCCAGAATTCCACGATTACTTTGTGACGCACCTACCCTCTTCTTCTCTCCATCCCGACCCTCGAGGACCGCAGTTCGCTTTCCATAAGCTCCCTCGCTCTGCATCAGTCCCTCATACGGGGGAGATCTCGCATTCCCCGGCTTCGCTCCAGCCCCTGGTGGGCCGGGAGACTACGGTCGTTCGCATCCCGCTTCGCAGTGCGAAGCATCACTTTGGCACCGCCACATCGCGAGGAACGCGCCCTGCGAATGAAGACTCCTACCAAGCGGGTGTCATTGATATTCCGGCCTTTGCCAAGCGGCCTCCCGCGTCTCTGACTATCAAACGATCGGCTGCCAAAGCCTCCGCCGCAACCCGCGAGAGTCAGGGCGCGGAGACCGCTAGCGGCGACCCCCAAGTCTTCTACTTTGGGATCTTTGACGGCCATGGGGGCACAGAATGCAGTACCTTCCTGAAAGATAATCTGCACGAATATATCCAGGATGCAGCGGCTGCGTTTGAGGTCCAGTCGAGCCTAGTGAAGAATCAAGATGGCTATGTTGGCCACGACCCCGATCCATCTACTGGGTCGTTGCCGATCATGCAGGGAGGGAACTACAAGAGGATCGCAGAATTGGAGAAGGTGTTGGTTCGGGATTGGAAGAGCCTCGTTGGGGGATACTTCAAGCGATTTCTCCCCACTCACTTTTCCCACATCGGAAAGAGTGCACGGGGAGAACTGCAAGCCGCGGGCGATGGAGAGGGTGTGACGATGGAAGAAGTTCTGGAGTATGCCTTCCTGCGGGCCGATTTGGAATTCGTATCAGCCCAAGCTGCGAGACAAGACGACGAGCTCGAGAGGACTGGTCAACCATTGTTCCAGGATAACATTCTCGGGCGCAGTCATCCCATGAGCAGTGTCTCGCGTTTCAAGGGCGGTAGCACCGCCAGCATTGCGCTCATCTCCACACCCACCCCGATGCCCTTCTGGCATCCGGAAACCCCTTCCAGCCTGCTTGTGTCCCACGTCGGCGACACGAGGGTTCTCCTGTGTTCTACTGTCACGGGAGATGCCATCCCTTTGACATCGAACCATCATCCTTCATCTCCCGTAGAAGGCAGTCGGCTGCGTCGATACGCGACTACGTTCGTGACGGACTCCTTTGGCGAAGAGCGCATGAGTGGGCTGGCCAACACGCGGGCCTTTGGTGATGTTCAATCGAAGCGCATCGGAGTGTCAGCGGAACCTGAGCTGCGACGCGTTGAAATGGCTGCGGCAGAATATTCCTTCCTGGTCCTCATGTCGGATGGTATTAGCGGCACGCTCCCCGACCAAGAAGTGGTCGATATTATCAAGGAAGCCAAGACACCTGATGAAGGAGCGCGCAACGTCGTCAACTTTGCAACCGAGGTGACCAAAGAAGGCGATAACGCGACATGTCTGGTCGTCCGTCTCGGCGGTTGGGAGCGCCGACTGGAAGGAGGTTTGGGCAGTCTGAGGACCAAGGAATCGCGAGACTGGCGCCGACAGGAGGCCACTGATCCGCGCAGGTCACGCAGATGATCTCGAGTTCCGTTGCGAACCGCAGGTCGTTCCTTTTCGATATATCTTATATCCCTTTGTAGATATCACGTGTAATACTTCGGTGGTTCGGTGTTTCATTCAGCGAAGTTTGAATGCATTTGTACATATTTTGAGCCCGACGCAAGAGTTTTCATATGTCACAGCTGAATTTTCTACCACTGATCGATTTATTGCAATTGTTGTGTCAAGTTGTAGGCTGAAGGTGATGTAACCCTTTCTGTTGCCTGTTGTCCGCATTGGGAAAGCTTCTTTCTTCGGCCGAGCACCCAAAGCTGCCTCCTACAGCTACAACTCCCACCACTCCTATTCACCCGGATCACTACCCTTGTCTTCGAATACAGAAGAATAGGAGTTCGTTTCCAGAATAACACACATTCCACTCCTTTCTTGGGCCTCCGTTTCATCTTTCCGACGTCCCCGACAGCACGGTGCCTTATCACCGCTTATCGACCTCCCGTCCCGATACTTTAACTCCTCCATCGTCGCACGCCGAAGAGCTCGAGACTTATTCCCGTCTTTCCGATCATCCTCCTCGCAGCGAAGCCTTGGATCCGCGTCTGTCCGCTTACTGCTCCAGCTGTAGCCTTGTTCCATCGCCCTGTGGTTGTTAACCCGAATAAAACGCGCTGGTTCAGTTCCCCAGCTTCCCGCGGAGGTACGTTTGCTACGTGTCGAGCAAAGCTTTCTTCATCAACCGTCTCTTACTTCCCACGCGACCGCAACCCCCTCGCTATTGCCTTGCAGGCTCGTTTTATTTACCAGGGGTCTTTTTAAATTGATCTTGTTCTTCTCTAGGTGAATCTCCAACACCCCTGACCGATCCGGTCCGGCCGTGTATCCTGACCAGCTTGACCCGCTCTCCATCGTGGAGACTCTCGGATAAGACCTCCCTGTGCGCGCCGCCCACACGTCCTCCCGCCTGCATCGCACTTCCTCGCCCTATCCTTGTCTCGAATCCTCGTCACACGTCCTCCCGGATTATTTGACAGAATGGCTGCCCGAACGAGAAGACAAAAGGCCGCGTTGGCCGCCCAATCCTCCGGGGATGAATCGCCGGAAGTGAACGGCACGGCACAGAAGTCTTCCCCCAAGAGCACAAAATCGACGTCCCGCGTGGATGAAGCAAAGGAGAATGTATATTTGTTCATGCCCAATCTGATTGGTAAGAATCTTCGATTCCTTCGGAGTGTTCCTTGGTTTCTGCGCACTTCTGACATTGGCTTTGTTAGGATACTGTCGGGTGGTTCTGACTATCGCCTCGCTGTACTATATGCCCCTCCACCCTCGGACCTGCTCCATACTATACAGTGTTTCGTGTTTGCTCGATGCTTTAGACGGATATGCGGCGCGGTACTACAACCAGTCGACCACGTTCGGGGCAGTGCTGGACATGGTGACGGATCGTTGCACGACGGCGTGTCTCCTGGTTTTCCTGAGCTCCGCCTGGCCTCGTTGGGCTATCATTTTCCAAGGCCTGATTGCCCTAGACATGGCGAGCCATTATATGCACATGTATGCCACTCTCAGCATGGGCGGAGCTGGCCAAAGCCACAAGAAGATTGAAGCGTCTCGGAGCTGGATTTTGTACCAGTATTACCACAGCAAGGTAGGTTCCGGTCCTCCGGGGTGGTAACGATCAAGATGCCTGCTAACAACATTTACTATAGACGGTGCTGTTTATCTGCTGTGCTCTCAACGAAGCTTTCTTCATTGGCCTCTACCTGCTTTCCTTCTCATCCCCTGCCCTCTCTCCGTCCCTCCTTCAGGAACCTGCCCAGGCTTCCGTCCAGCCGGGCACGTCCCCAACTAGTATCTTCACCAGCCCTTGGAGTGCCGGAGCTCTGGAGATGGCTCGCGCTAACAAGATCGACAGCTGGTGGCCCTGGGTGGTCACCGGCATATCCTTCCCCGTCATGGCGCTGAAGCAGATCATCAACGTTGTGCAGCTCGTGAACGCCAGTAACTGGTTGGTTGAGGGAGACATCGCCAACCGGAAGGCCATGCGCAACGGTAAGAACTAGATCTCGCGCAAAATGAGCGAGAAGCATACCGCCTGCGCGGGATTTTTGTCGATTTCCTTTCTCGTCAAGATAAGGATACCTCTCTTGACAATTTGATCTGGAGGGCAAGGTCAACCACCGGGTCTACATTCCTGTTGACCATATACATTTTACATTTGGTCCGTCCATGGGGCTCTTGGGGCATATCCCAGTTGTTCCGTTGTACTGTTGATTAACTCTCTCTCTCTTTCATTGTTTCCTTGTGGGTGATCTCTGTTGGGACGGTATGGTGGGTTTACATGTGTGTTTGAAGACCAGGACGAGAACTGGTCTATGTGTTTTGGTTCTTTACCGATTCTCTACCATACGTCTTTTATTATCCTCCCTTGTTCTTTGCGCTTTCTTCACCTGTCTTTCTGGTCTGCTACCACTTTCTTGTGATGTCTTGAGTTACTTCCTTTTAATTTTTGCTGTATTGATGTGGACATAAACTAGAAATTATCCCTGAAGCTGCCTAACTACTAGCATTAGTAATACTGTACGTGCCGTCGCACACCATATGTAGTATGCAGTACCATTGCGGCTATTCAAGGACGTCGGGTTACTTCGCAGCACATCCAGGACCCCACCGCTCCGGTGTCGGCGCGCGGGGACCACCCCGCCGCCATACATGAGAGCTTCTTCTCCCAATCCTCTCACTTTCCTTTTCGTCTTTTCCATACGTCTCATTCTGCCCCCTTCGCTCTATCCCCGTCATAATGCCTTCCTATAACATTGTCGTCTTCGCCGGAGACCATTGCGGTCCTGAGGTAGGTCCATCCGGGCAGATGCGCTCAATTGCTTCCCGGTATAGAATGCTAACTGGATATCCTAGGTGACCGCCGAGGCCATCAAGGTGAGTCAACTGTCTGGAAGTGCTCGACCTGCTTCGACACTTCCCTCGGGTAATCTCTACTGTCAGATAACTCACGTGTGCCATTGATATCTAGGCGCTCCGTGCTATTGAGAAGTCCCGCAATGATCTCACCTTCAACCTCCAAGACCACCTGTTGGGCGGTGTAAGTTCTCACAACCGACATTAGCTACGGAGTTATGGGAGAAGGAATCGTTGTCTGACTTTCTTTATATTACAGGCGTCCATTGATGCTACCGGCTCTCCCTTGACCGACGAGGCACTCAACGCTGCTAAGAACGCCGATGCCGTTCTTCTGGGAGCCATCGGAGGCCCTGTACGTTCCACCTGACACCGACCAACCAACGCCCACCACTCCCGGATCCATACTAACCGTCGACAATAGAAATGGGGCACCGGCGCCGTCCGCCCCGAACAGGGTATCCTGAAGCTTCGCAAGGAGATGGGCACATTCGGCAACCTGCGTCCGTGCAACTTCGCGGCGCCCTCGCTGGTCGAGAGCTCGCCGCTGCGCGCGGACGTGTGCCGTGGCGTCGACTTCAACATCATCCGTGAGCTGACGGGCGGCATCTACTTTGGCGAGCGCAAGGAGGACGACGGCAGCGGCTACGCGATGGACACGGAGCCTTACTCGCGTGCCGAGATCGAGCGCATCACCCGGCTCGCGGCACACCTCGCCCTCCAGCACAACCCCCCGCTCCCCGTGTGGAGTCTGGACAAGGCCAACGTGCTGGCCACCAGCCGTCTGTGGCGCAAAACCGTCTCCGAGGTCATGGCCAAGGAGTTCCCCCAGCTGAAGATCGAGCACCAGCTCATCGACTCCGCCGCCATGATCATGGTCAAGAACCCCCGCCAGCTCAACGGTATCGTTGTCACCAGCAACCTCTTCGGTGATATCATCTCCGACGAGGCCAGCGTCATCCCCGGCTCCCTCGGTCTGCTGCCCAGCGCCAGCTTGAGCGGCATCCCCGACGGCAAGAGCAAGGTCAACGGTATCTACGAGCCTATTCACGGTACGCTTGCCCCCTTCCGCTTTTTCTCTCAAGTCGGTGATCCTGGTTGGTACTAACGTTGGTAGGATCCGCCCCCGACATCGCCGGAAAGGGCATCGTCAACCCCGTCGCTGCTATCCTCTCGGTCGCCATGATGATGCAGTACTCCTTCGGTCTCTTCGATGAGGCCCGCGCCATCGAGGCCGCCGTCCGCAACGTCATCGAGTCTGGTGTCCGGACTGGCGATATCGGCGGTTCTTCCACCACCAGCCAGGTTGGTGATGCCGTGGCTGCCGAGTTGGAAAAGCTGTTGAAGTAAAAGTTTCCTAAAAGAAAGTAAATTGTGGGAAGTTCACTATTTAAATGAGATATGAAGCCATCTAGGTACAATAGAATGAAAAATTAATTTCCATATCTGGGACATAATTCTCATGCCTGTCGATTCCGACTCGAGTATTATGCCAAAGCTACAACATATGTGATAAACAAAGTAGATGAGCACGGTCGTGCCTCAGTCAATTCCGCGCCTGAAAGTATGAACCCTGGGGTATCTGGACAAATGCAACCGAAGAACTCCGAATATCAATGTAGCCATCCATCTAACCCGCTTTATGTATGGCTCCTCCGCGATCTTTGAAAACGCCCTAACACCACATAGAACAGATTGAAGGCAAAAACAGGCCTGAACAGACATGGCAACAGTCAGTCTACTACCGAATCACGGGCTCTCCCATCCAATCCGGCTCTTCTAATCCCGTCATCTTCCCGCGGTCAAGATCACCATGGCCCTCACGGGCTTCTGTCGCATCATCATGAATACTACCGCGCAGAGACTTGCGCGCACTGTGTCTGCGAACGCGGCCATCCGCCGAGGCCGACGGGGCATTCCCCATGCGCCGCCGGTCGTCGTCGCGCGCAAACACTTGGAACCCGCGCACATGGGTGTCCTTCCCATTCTGGTGGTTCTCAATCACGCGCATCTGGAGGACCATCGCCTTCAGCACGTTACCAGCGTAGGGGTCATGGTCATCTTCCTCGTCATCGTCTTCGTCGTCATACCCGTACTCATCATCCTCGTCAAGATCATCTTCTTCATTGGGGCGACTCGACGATTTCCGTCCAAACACGCCACCGCGACGCTTGCGGCGCTTCTTGTGGCGGACCTCGCGCACCCAGCCCCCGTTACGACCCCCGACACCGAAGAGGGGCACATCCACCCAGCCGCAGGGAGCATCACCTTCCCAGGTCGCGAATTCGACGAGGTCATTGCCGCCCATTCCCGCAAGGAACGTCATTTTGGTCGGCGTATAACTCTCGTCCATGTCGAAGTCCAGATACACGCGGATCTTCACGATAGCGACAAGCTTGAAGAAGTGCAGTGTTAGCGTGTGCGGCTGGGGGCCGTCAGACTGCCAGTACTGCGTTGGGGAGGGGTTGCGTAGCGCGGAGACGCCGCAGCCTGGTTTATGGGTTGAGACGGTCCATGATGCGAGGGAGGAGATCTCGCGGAGGTTGCTTGGGAGGGGGGACGGCGATCGTTCTGCTGCGATATCAGTATACTTCCTTTCTGAAAGTAATGTGACTGTTCGTTGGGTCGGTCACAGTGGCTTACCTCGATCATGCATCATTTCATCGTCCTCGTCTTCGATCTCCTCGAGCTCGTTCCCGACCATATCTTCCATCCCATCTTCCGAGAGATCGTGGCCTTCGCCGGGATTCAGCTCCGGCCCAAAGTCGGAATGGTCGTCTTCGTGGTCGTCGAATTGGCCCTCGTCGTGCTGCGCGTCGTCGTCCTCATCGTTCTCCTCCGCCGGCTCGTCGTAGCCGCCCATCTCGTCCATCACCGATCCCCGTGGCCGTCCTGCAACGCCGCGACCGAACAGGGAGAATAGAGCGGCCTGCGTTGCGGCGGTGGGATGGATGGCGCGCTGGCCGATGGAGTCGATCGGGCCGGACGAGGGATGGAGTTGCGGAATGCCGCGGGTGGGAGGAGTATGAAACTGGGGCTGTCTAGGGGCATGTTCCTGTCTGGATCCATGTGTCTGTGGTGGAGGAGAATCCGAGGTGTTGGGGTCTGCGACTGGGGCGGGGTGTTGTCGTCGGATGTGATGGCGAGGCATTGTGAAGGTTGGCGGTATGGGCGAACTCAGCGTGATATATGTATGTGTGATATAGTCATGTTCCTGCGTCGGGTTTAAGTCGACATTGTTGTTGAAAGTCCTGAATGGGGAAGCTTAGGAAGTCGTGAAGAAGCTCTTTGCGGATTGCGCGGGGTCACGTGTCGGCTATGTTTATACTTCTCCCTTCTGGGATGGGATTCAGCCTTCACGTTCTCAATAGTATGGATCTCGTGAAGATTGAGGAACAAATTTAGAGGTATCGATATCAGATCCTACAATAGAAAATATTGCGTGGTCGGTTCAAATTGAGATATGGGTAATCTTAAGCAGAGTGTTACAGAGAAATATATTTTAGATGCTATCCACAGAGGTAATTCACATAAACTGGGCTTGCCGCAAGATGGACACGACTGCTGTTAGTATCATGCGTAGGTGTATCCAGAGGTTTATCATACATATTCAAGAACCATAGACAAGAATCAAACAAAGGAGGAACAACACCGAGAAAAGCAGTCTATATACCAAAACAGACCCAATACACTCTACTCCTTGATATCCACATATCCCAACTTCTGGCCAACCTTGATGCGTTGACCCTTCTCAATGCTCCAGTTCCAACCACCTTCACGCTTGCCTTCCTCCCACCCCGCATCAAAGGATTTCCGTGTACCCATGGGGGCCTCGAAGACAAGCACGATCGAGCTTCCGAGTTGGAATCCGCCCATCTCCTCACCCCGTTGCAGCGGGTGTCCTCCAAGCGTCCGGCTGGCGTGGAGGTAGGTTGCTTCAACGAATCCCGGATACTGCTCGCCTCGTTTCGCGGCAAGGTGGGCAGCCATGTCGGCGGCAGTATCGGTGGTAAGGCTATTGGTGCGCAACTCAGCGTCGAAGTTGACCTTGATCGAGCCGACATTGGTGGCTCCGACGGGAGTATAACTGAAGAATCCCCACCGCCACCGTCCCAAGAGAACCACTCGCTCATTCAGCGTGAACAAGCCTGGGAGATGGCGTTGAAGATACGGCGACACGGAGAAGAGCTCTCCGGCAAAATGCCGACGGCTTTCGACAACCCAGGGCACGGGGGAATGGAATCGATGGTAATCACCCGGGGCCAAGTAGATCACAACGTAGTAGAGAGCGTTATTGGACGTCGGCTTGGGCGCATACCAGGGTGTTCCATCACCCCGGGCCAGGTCCGCCTTCACTTCAGCTTCTGCAGAGGGTTTCGACTGTGTAGACGCATCCAGAGAGGCGGATCGTCGGCGGGCACCTCCTTCATCTCCTGCAAAGAGGGTGGGCAGAGTGTATGAAATACCATTCATTCGGGCGAACTCCTCATGAGCATTCATGTTCGCCGCATCCTTTTGCGATGGTTCCATTTGGTGGTCGGTGAACTTCTTGCTGTGATCGGCGGTGGTCGGGGTAGCTGAGCCCAACAGGGCATCCAGACTGTATGTCACACCCTTGACCTGTTCCACCTCGCCTCGCTCAATCAATCCAAACTGAAGGATACGGCCGTCGGATGGGGAGAGGACCGCATGCGGGTCAGGATCGAGTGGTCGGACGCCGGGCTTGAGTTTGCGATAGAAAAAGGCGGCAAGGTTCGGGTAGGCGCGAAGATCTGGCTCAGCAACTTCATCCAGGTTGACTCCAAAGGCCCACGAGTACAGTTTGAACCCCGGAGCCCGCAGACACACGGGGAGCTCCAGCTCATTAAAGCGACCCCATAGACGCGAGATTGCCTTGAGGGGCAGGGTGGACATAATTTGAACCTGCCATGGTCCGCTGGGTCTAATACGATGACGGGGAGGGGGTTTCGCGAAGTCGAAGGACTCTTCCTCCGCTTCTCTGGCGATCCGCTCGCGTTCAGCACGTTGGGACTTGTAGAACTGCAGGAGACCGAGGAGGCCGATTCCGAGCCCCACGGGGATAGGGTACCATTCAACCTTGGTATTCCGTAAAGCGAAGCGGAGTCGAGAGCCGAAGAAGCCCTTGGGGCTCGGATGCTCCTGGTTATTATTGTTGTTGTATTGTTTCCATGATTTCGAGAACTGACGCGCACTGGGTTTGCGACCACCAGCAGCCCTGAAGGCGACCATGTTCATCCACGACTGCTGGCCATGCGGCGGAAAAACGGCGCAGTTCCGGCGAAGGGGCACAGAACAGCTAGTGAGGCACAGGGCCATTATAGGGAATTACTCCATGGAGGACATCCCCTAGCGGGGGGAGTTTCAGGGGGTAACTAGTAAGAAGACTAAGAAGCGGGGAATTATGCAGGAGAAGCAAGAGACGAAGATGATCCGGAGAGAGAAACTTGAGGGTGAAATCACGCTCCTCACCGCCCGGCAGAATAACGTCCCGATGGGTCGATGACCGGTTGTATACTTCAGTTGAATCCATCTCATGCGACACGCCATGTCCTCCTTCTAGCCATCGTTTGCTGGAATTGCCCTCTTACACAGTCTAGAGGTTAATTCTTGAATTGCGCATGATCTTTTTGTCCCGACTCGACCCAAGAAGCCCTCACTTCTCGCATACCAGTGATACCACCGGGTGCCACGTTTCCTATCCCACCTCAGCTTCCATCCGATTCTATCTCGTCTACTTTCGCTTCACTCCATGAGATAATCTCTCCTTTCTATACCGATAGACACTCTCTACCTTGAGTCCTCGTTGTATTTGTCACGTATCGTCATCACCCGCCAACATGTCCGGTCTGGCGCCTTCTGACGCCGCGTCATCTGCGACCTCCGACACCCCTCTCGAGTTCATCCTGCACGTGTTATGTCCATCTCTACCTCCACCGAACCGGTTTACCTTCAGAGACTTAACCGCGTCCCATACTCTTGCCGATCTTAAAGCGCGGATATCCCAGATTCTTCCCAATCGACCCTCTCCAGAGCTCCAGCGATTGATTTACTGCGGGAAGCCCCTGCTGGATGATAGCGTTAGCTTGCAGCGCATTTTAGGCCCAGTAAATGTACGATCTACTCCCCTGGCTTCGTGACTGCGCATCATCCAGCTAACTGAAGGTGACAATGTTAGGGCGCTGAATATTCCATGCATCTTGTCCTCCCGCCCAAACCGCCGTCACTTAGCCCGACAGCCTCAACCTCGCCTGCCTCGGCCCCACGGTCCCCAGCTGGTGTTTCTGCATATCAGAGTCCTTTCATTCATAGCCGATCGGTACCGCCGAGCTCGATACCAAATGGTGGACAGAGTCTCAGATACAGGGGCCCAACGACCCCTGCAGTTCCAAACGAAGCGGAGATTGGGTTAGCGCTGCGGCGTAATATCGAAGCCATTCGTCAACAGATCGAACAGCGAGAGCGAGACGCTTCTTCTCTACAAGGACAACATAGCAATGCGACATCACTTTCAAATCCCCTTACCTCACCACAGCCAGCCGCGTGGCCACGGACGTCGCAAAGTCTATCGCAGCCTCCAACGACTGCAACAACATCCCAATTCTCACACTTACCGTCGCTTGGACTCCCAGAAGATCCACAACAGAGCTTGCGCATCATCCGGCCCCAGATTGCTCTGTGCGAAGAACAACTTAATCGAGGAATTGCACCTCCAATGGACCAGATCATTTGGCTCCGAAGTCAGTTGTTTGCGCTCCTTGATGAGCAGTATCGAAACCCCAACGCAGAACGGGATGGTTCGATTGAGTCCTTACTCAGTCGCGTCTTTAATCTCTACACTCGAGCGGACCAAATGCGCGTCACCCAATGTAGGACTGCCCCGGCTAACAGACCGGTCGACGGTCTTGCGGCTTCCGGAGCCAACGCTCAAGCACAGACGCCCCTGTATCTCCTAACATCACCCACGGGATATCAAGCTCTTGTATCCCCGCAACGGCAAGAGACCATCCACACCACCCTCGAGGCGCTTCGTGCGGCGCATGATGCCCAGACAGCGCCTTTCGCTGGCGCCGCGCATCCAAATGCGCAAAACAACACACAGCCTAACGTAATGGAAAACGCCGTTCGCCGGGCGGCAGTCAATTACCCGCGCCAATTCCCTTTCCCACGACCCGTCCGCGATAACGATAACATGCTGGCCCGGAACGTGCGACGCGTGTGGCTCTTTGTGCGCCTGTATTTCTTCTGCTACATGTTCAGCGAGCCGGGAACTTGGTCGCGCGTGTTGTACGTCGCCTTCGCTGTGCTTGTATCTCTCCTTTCAGAGACGATGGCCCCTCAGATCCTGTATAATTTATTCTTCCTCCCCGTGCAGCGCCATCTTGAAGGACTCGTGCAGAATCTACCCCATGAGCGTGCGGATGGCGGAGACCCCGCAGGGCCTGCGAACGAACCAGCGCAACCGCCCCCGGGTGGCGCATCTCTCCTGAATGAGATGCGCCGGAATCTGCGTCGCGTGGAACGGTCCTTCGCGCTGTTTATTGCAAGTTTGGTGCCTGGGCTCGGCGAACGTCACATCGCAGTGCGCGATGCCACGGAGGAGCTACGGAACGAGGCTCGACGGCAGGAGGCGCAACGGAATGAGGAGCGTGCGCAGGCGGAAGAGGAGCATAATCGTCGACAGGAAGCGACGAACCAACCCCCCGTTGGACAGGGTGCATCCTCGCAGGAAGAGGGCGCTGGAAGTGTCCGTCCAGGATCGACGGAGCAGGAGCCGACTACTGATAACAACCCCACGATACCCACTGGAGCCCAAGACGAAGAGAGGCAGCCATAGCCACACACTTCGTTCTCTCCTGCATACCCATGTCTTCTGTCCTTTACATCCAAATCTTAGCGTGTACATACGAAACAGTGCTGGTGGATCTAGCGACGTCGCGTTTACGGAACCAATCAATTCGATCTTTGGTATCTAGCATCTAGAGCAACCTCAATACAACCCTGTACACCCTACAACTTGGTACCCGGCCACTCAGCCTCCTGACTAGACGTCGGCAACTCCGACGGCGGCGCCATAGGCCCCGTATCAAACGACTCCTCGCCACTGAAGTGCCTGACCGTCAAGTTAGCCTCCCCACCACACAAGAGACGCAAGACAAAAGGAAAGCGAAACTTACCATCCCCTCTCCGCGCCGCCACTGAGAAAGCTACAATCCCCATTAGCCACACAGTCCCAGCCACCAGCCACTCCAATCCCCTTCCAACACGGCACCTTGGCCACGTCCGGCCGGGCAATCCGCGTACCAGGCGCAAGCACGTCCTGCGACTGTGTCTCCTGCGGCGTTTGCGCCGGCGCACCCCGCCGCACAAACGTACTCAGCCCCGCGGTGAAGACGTTAAAGTCCTCCTCGCCGCTGTCGTCGGGCATGCGGCCGGTCAGGACGCGGCCGATGGCGATCAGCGGCGCGGCGTGCGAGCAGATGAGGATGGCCTTGGACGAGGGCGGCTGGGTGCGTTCCAGCTGGGCGATCTCGGCGTCGACGTCGGCGATGATGGCGGCCAGGGTGGTGGCGAGGCGGTCGTGGAGCTGGGCGATCGTCTCGCCGCGCGTGGACGGGTAGACGTGTGCGGGTGCGGTGGTGTCGGCCGCGAGGATGTTGGGGAAGTGGGATTTGAGGTCGGCGGGAGACGCCGGTGACGGGTGGTGGAAGAAGGATGTTGGGCCGAACCATTCGCTTGGGGTCTTGTTAGTATTGCCTTTCAGGGGGTATAGTCCCTTGGGTGTAGGGGAGTATGTATGGGAGGAGGACGCACCCGACGCCGTTCTCGATCCTCACGTCCAGCTCCGCCGCGGCGTCGATTCCATGGTCCGTGCCTGTGGTAAGCTGGCGCTGCTGCGCTTCCTTGAGGGCTTCGACGGCGGGCTGGATCGTCTGCAGACACCGGTAGAACGGGCTCGAGTACACGCGGAAGGGCTTGGGGTGGACGGCTGGGCTGACGAAGTGGGCGGCCAGCTCGAAGGATTGGCGCACGCCGTGGGACGTCAGAGTCGGGTCTGCAGGGTTACCCGTGGGCGTGGGAAATTGCGATTTGTATTCTCCAGTTTTGTAGTCGATGGTCCAGTTCAGACGGTGCTGGTGTTGTTAGATCAGGTCGGAGACATGGTGGGAGGGGATGGATCTGTGCGAATGGACCAGGGCTGGGGTACCTACGCCATGGCGAGTGAGGTATATCGTATCCAGAGGCATTGTTGGATATTGTTCTTGTGTTATATGTCTAGGTACAGGGGAAAGTGAAAGATGCGGATAGCCGCGAATCTGCGGGGAAGATATCCAAACCGACGGCAGAATGAGGCGGTCAGTTGAAACCTCGGTCCGTTGAGCCTGCAAATTTTCCTGACGGGGTTACGGGCGAATGTCTACAAGTGATGGAGTCCAATTGACCAGACAAGATGACTGAATTGAAGAGCGAGAATCGCCCAAGCTATCTAGACGGTTCAGCCGGGGTATACAAGATATCCTCACAACACCTCGCCCAGGAAGGATTTTTCAATCAATGAGCACATTCCCTCGCCATTCTATCCCGTGCCATCCCAATCCGGTGTGGTACTTTTCAGATTTTTTTAACGGTTCGTCTAGTAGAAGAAGCCGAGGAGCTTGCCGGCAACGTGCTTGCGACGAGCCTCCTCGTGGTCCATGATACCAGCGGAGGTGGTCAGGACGACGTAACCGAACTGACGAGAGGGAAGGAGCTGGGTGGCCCAGGTCTCGAGGTCACGGAGCTGAACGGGGTAGCGGGGGTTGATGACACCGCACTTGTTGAGACGGCCGTTGAGCTGGATGACGATCTTGCCGGAGCGGTGGTCGTCAACCTCCTCGAACTCGCCAATGTAGCCTGAAAGAAAGACGAGTCAGTAATGTCGCGAGAATTTAAAAGTTACTAAACACAATGCAAAAGAAACAGTCCAGAAACTTGTAAGATCCCCGCCAAATGTAGTCAATATATCGGGCACTTAAAGGGCAGAGGTTGTGGAGAAGTTCGAACCCGCTGCCTAGTTATCAACCCGAATGATTTGCTTCCCCCAATTGTATCGAAACAAAACAGAAACCGAAGAAAACAATGATATACGAGCAATCTCCACATACCGTGCTTCTGCATGACAGAGAGGAACTTGACGATGACCTTGGAGGAGGGGCGGATCAGGACCTGGCGCTTGCCAGCCTTCTCGGCGTTGTTGATGGCGTTAAGCGCATCGTTGAGGACGGAGGTCTTGACCATTTTGACGGGTAGAGATCGAGATTCTCAAATCGAAAGATAGGTTTTCACCGGAAATGAGGTATCTAGAAATTTTCGACGGACAAAGATTTTCTCTCCGACTGCCAACATATTGGCGGCACGCAGAGAAACCAATGTCCCCAAACAGTCAGCCACCAGTAGTCTTCGAGCGCAAAGAGTGCCCAATAAATATGAAGGGTTCTTCAGCCCGTGCCGTGATGAGAGATGCGTATCATCGGTTCCTCCCGCTGGATCTTTCCCATGTCTCAGGCAAAAAGGGACCAGGGATCCCCGATGATTGCTCTCCCAGACTAGCTGAGAGGCTGTATAAGGGGAGGGAACAACATGGTGTACATACCTCGAGGATGGACGAGGGGGTGCTGGGGTGAGGTGAGAAGCAAGCGCGACGGGATGAAAAGTGATGAGGTTTTCGCCGATGTGCGGGAGTAGGGTTATCCCACCAGAGCCCTTATCTAAGATATCACGTGACGATAACACACACATCCTGCCAGTCGCCACCTGCCTCGTACGGGTAAGGTACTTAGCCTCCTAATTACATGCAACCTAAGAATACAACAACAGGCTGACTCAAAAGGTTTTATCATTCTCTATACAGGGAGGATCTTTTTGATGACAGCGATTATAAGAACACAAGGGAGGAAATCGTGGCAAGGCTTCTCTCAAGGGGTTACATGACTTCTTGGGCATACATGAGGTAAATGCGATGGGGGTCTTCTCTAATTAAAACTGACATGAAGCGTAAAACGGGGGAGGAAGGGGCTGAGAAAGTAGAGGAAGATGATAGAATGGGGAAAAGGGGATGCAACAGAAGGCCAACGAAGAAGCAGTAACATGCATTGGGAGGAGTCATGAAAAGGGGGCGGGTGAGATTCCGAAAACGGGCGATTAGACCTTTTAGGTGATAACCTGGAAGGCCAGGGGAAGAAAGGGTGATTGTAGAGGATTCGAGGGAGATGGGGATGGTGTTTGATGCTAACGTCCGTAACCCAGGAAAGTCTTGTCAGGCTGAGTCAGGCTTTCTGCGTCACTTCAGATCGCACACCAATGCGCAGCAATCAGGAGCGACACGGCATCCGAGTGCCCCATGTAGCATGGAGTTACTCAGGTAAAAGGGGACTTTACCACGGCGTCACTTCCCTGAGCGGACCTAGGATGGTGCCTTGCTCCAACGGGGCGGTCGCCGGACACGCAATCGGTGACTCGACAGGCGTGACGTTGCTTTTATGCCATGGCAGCGGCAGTGGACAGATTGATTTGGCGCTTGACCTGCTCGCGAGTCCAACGAGCAGTGTCAATAGTGCGCGGGCTGAAGTCGCGGTTCTGGCGGGTGTCGCGAACAAGGGCAGTAACCCAATCGTTACGGAAGAAAGCCGCAAACTCGCCGTTGGGGAAAGCCTCAGCCAGGTCACTGCAAAAGTTAGTCAAGCGCCTTTTGGAATACTCTGAGAAGGCGGTGCTCACCCAAGAACGCCCATGGACGATCTCATGAGGCCCTCGCTGCTCCGAGCAAGGTCCTGGGAAATCAAGTGCAGAAGCTGGAAAATGGACTCGACATAAGGCTGAAGCTGGGTGACTGCGATGTGTTAGTAGATGCTGTATATAGTATCCGGGGAGTCTTCCTTACCCTGTGGCTTGCCCTTGTAGGTAAGGAGGATACCACCCCAGGCATCCATGATGCCCTCACGAAGAGAGACGATGTAGTCAATCATTTCCACAGTCACGTCGGCGCTAGCGGTGACAATGGAAGCCTGCTGGAGCACCTGAGCAACGACAGGCAAGTAGGTGTCAAATTGCGTTCCGATAGCCTGGGCGATATCACCAAACGTCTCGAGAATGGCAGGCTTGAGCTGGTTGGTAGAGCTCTGATTTGTGGTTAGCCAAGGCCGTCCAATGAAGCTGGGGAAAATGAGAAAAAAACTCACTCTCAAGTTGGTGAGCAGGTAGTTCATGAACGTATCGCAGTAAGGCTGGACCTTCTCGTTCAAAGCGCGAGCGATGTCGCTCACCAGACCAATGGCCATCGAACAGAGACCAGGCTCCTCCTGATTGCCAAGAGCGTTGTAGAGGAAGGGAGTGAAAGAGGCCATGTATTTGTCGAACTCTTCTTCAAGAGCGTTCGCAATTGCACCAATGGTCGCAAAGACCACATCGGGCACGCTGGACTTGGGAGGAACAGTATTCAGGACCTCAAGCATCACGTACATGATGCGGTCGGCCTGAGGTCTAACGTCGGTCTCGAGGCGTTGCACAATCGCCTAAACAATCAGCACTGTTCTCGTGTACTTGGTGAGAAGGGTGGGGGCTTACAAGTAGGACGCTAGTCAAGCTGGTCTGCATCTCTTCGAGGGTAATACGGTCCTCAACGCTCACAACCTGCTGCTGCATGGGGATAGTGTGCTCTAGGCGCTTGATGATGACATCAGAGAGAGTCGCAACCATGGGAAGGCTATCATTCGCAGCGTTGGTAACGAAAGAGTTAAGGACTTCGTATCCGGCAGTACGGAGCTGGTTGTCCGCATCTTGTCTGTCTGGGATTAGAACTGGCGCGAATCTCTCAAGAGACCGTCTTGGAACGTACCTCTCAGTAAGGGCAAGGAGCGACTTGACGCTGTCTTCGAAATGCTTCGACAGGGGGTTGGTCTGAGCTCCAATATCGCCGGCAAAGCGGTCGGCGACATTCATCAATGCCCAACAGCAAGAGCTGGCAATCTTCGGGGTGCTGGCAAGGCCGTTGAAGAGGCAAGAGATAAGGGGTTGTAAATGCACGTCAGGGTCAAGGGTTTCCGAACAAAAGTCGCACACGCGACCAAGGGCATAGGCGGCCGAATCACGAACTTGGATCGAGCTGTCCTCCATCATACCGATAAGGACACCGAGAGCCTGCTTGATCAAGGGTTCGAGGATCTTAAGGTCAGGTCCATCCATGATAGCGCCAAAGGCGGCAACGGCAGCATCCCGGTGGCGCCAATCTTCACTGCGGATGTTCTCCTCAACGAAGGCCAGGACGGGTGCAATGACGTCGCCCTGGACACACTGGGCGTAGAGCTGTAGAGCCTGGTAGGCGGCACGAGAGACGTTGTACTCTTCCTCGGTGGCGTCTTCATCCTGTCTGCACATGGACTGCAACAGGACGGGCACGACTTCTCTGCAGGCAACGCGAGCGAAGCCGAAGAAGGGGCGAATGTCGGCAATACCGTCGGCTTGAGCCTATAGACCATCTAGTTAGTAAAAGGGAAAGACGGGGTGAAATAGGAGAGGCCCCAACGAACCGCAACGTTGTCATCTTCGATGGCGATTTCCTCCTCACAGACCGTGCACCAGAATTCAATAGCCAGCTTGGCAACGTCCTCCTCTTCGCTCTTCATACCCATAATGCTCAGGCCAAACAGCGCCTTCTCCATGTAGAAGCGCATCTTCTCGTAGTAGGCGCCCATGATACGGTTCAGGCAACCAAAGGCACCGGCCTGAATGCGGAGGTCATCGGCCTGCGTGGCCTCGCAGACAACCTGCATGATGTAGTTCCGTTCACCCTCATTCTCCATGTTGGACCGCACAAAGTCGACAGAGTCACTGAGGGCCTTGATGGCGGCGAAACGAATATCCATATTGGGCTCCTCCCGGCGGGCGCCCTGAACCACGGCGGTCAAAATAGCGTTAGAGTGAGCCGCGAGACTCTCGCGGAGCTCAGCATCCTGAGACTCGCAGATGAAACCGATGGTGATCAGCGAGGCCTGCTTGAGCTGGTCGGAACCGGAGGCGACATTCTGGACCAGGATGTTCATCAATTCGGGCCACTCGTTCCGAGGCAGCTCGATGGCGGCAATGGAGACGATGAACTGGGCGGCGGATTGACCGGCCCGGCCATCCTTGGAGTTGAGGGTCTTCAGACCAAGTTCCTTGACCTGCGTCTTGATCTCCGGGCTAATCTGTTGCAGCCACTTGTTCTGGACTTCGCGCAGCTTGGCGACATCTCGGAAAGTGAAGGCGTTCTTTAGGGCGATACCGGCGGCGGTTCGGATGTGAGAGGCGGAATCTTCATTTGCGAGTTCTTGACCCAGGGTGATGAGGTATTGAGCCTATGAGACCAGAGGCGGGTTGGTTAGCTGGGCTGGAAGGCAAAGGGAAGGATGGGAAGTTCTCCGGGGTTCGACATACGAAGTCGACTTCAGCGGCGTGAAGCAACTGCTGCTCAGCATTTGTACGCGTCGTCGCATCTATAAATTAGGTAGAAGTTTCTGATCAGCCAAGCTCTTCGATTCTACACTGGATTTTCTAGAACACAGAATCTGAACAGACGGGGAGAGGGGGGTACCTGGCGACAGGGTGTTTTCCAACACCTGAGTGACGTTCATCTTGCCGATGCGGGAATCGACCAGTCACGAGTAGAAGGCGAGAGAAAAAGAAAATGTAGAACAGAACAGAAAAAAAAGAAAAGCGGCAGAAATGAGAAACCTCCCCAACGAAGATGTAGAGCGAGGACTGCAAGAGGTGAAAAATTAAGGTTCTGGAGGAGAGAGAGAGGGAGAAAGGAATGGGAGGGAGTGGAAGAAGAGGACAATTATTGTGTGGAGTTAGTTGAGACGGAAGGCTGTTTTTGTGGATATATGACGAGACATCCACCACCACGACTTCCGTCAGACGGCAAGAGAAGGAGGCAAAGAAAAATCAATCACGCCCGGGGCGGGTAAGGAGGGAGAAGGGGGTAAGCAAGAATAGAGCAGTTTGGAGTTGTCGCTTGACTGTATTTTTTTCCTTTTCTGATTTCGGACCAGTCGAACTAAAAGAAGGAGAGGGAAATGCAGGGTCAAATCCAAGAGAGAGGGAAGAGAGGGAGGGAGAGAGGACGAAGGAGGGGGGGAAGACTGGCAGCCAGAAGACGGGAGGCAGAGCAACAGCGGGTACCGTAGCGTTCTGTCAGTGCTGTTTTAGGGGGTGTGATTGGATAGGTCTCCATCTTAGTCATGATTCTACCGTATGTGACAACTGTATTACCGTCGCCGTCAGTGGGCAGGATTGCTTGCAAGACCACCAGCATCAAACCAAGCAGCAATCAATAATCGTCCAGTCCGGGCTTTCCATCGCTAATTTTCGTTCGGTCTTCTAGAAACGAACGATCTTCCTGTTTTCCTATGTACAAGCTCTTCCTTGACTCCGGCCAGTCTCACAGCATCGTCCACAATAGACTTCAGCTCCCACCACATACCCAAACAAAGAATCATGAATCATCGTTGCCTGCCCCTCTTTGCAGTGTTTTGCTTGTTTTGATTTTGCTGCTTCCAGCGCTCCACCCACTGTCCCCTCCCGTGGCCCCGGCGACCGCCATGGTTTCCTCCTAAACCAGCGCACTTCAACCCCATCGCACAAATCTCATCATCTAATGGACCCTCAGCACTGGGTGGATTCATACACCTCATTTCTCGAGCCTGGAGAATTGCTCGCATAATTTTATCTAGTAACCGTCGCGACCCTTAACCGTCACAAAGCTCAGACCGCCAAAGGAACAATGACAAACAACGGTCAGAACGCCGGTTGGTGCGACCACTGACCGACCCTGATTTTCTTTCTATAAATAAATTGTATAGAAGCTTGGACTGCATACTAAAGGAACGAACAAGACAAAGCCCAGCTCAGTGGTATTCTACGTACCGTGACCCCTACTCCTCTCCCTCCTCTCCTTCTTCATCCAGCTCCACATCCAGGTCCAACACCTCATACCGCATACTATCTCCATACAGTACACAAATCGCCCGTCGTCCACGTCGTCCGTTGACGTCCACTCGAAGCGGTCGAGCCTTAGCCCCCGATGCTGGGAATACATGCTTCACCAGGCCCCAGGAAAAGACATCCACCGTCATCGGCTCCAACGCAGGTGATGTCTCGCCGGGCCTGGACTCTATGTCTGTGAACTCCACCAGGAGCGGGATAGTAGGCTCGTTGGCTGCGGCCAGCTCATCCAGCTCAGCCCCAGTGGTAGGTGTAAGTTTGAAATTTAGAAGATGAGAAACCTCTGCACATCATGTTAGCACATCCATGCACCTGTCTAACCCGTATCCCGGATGGTAGACTTACTGTTCCCATTGGCCCAGAGAATCATCACCGTATCATCCGCCACGAACTGGATTTGCCGAACTTCACCCTCCTGGAAATCCAGAGCCCCGACAGCGGTGCTTCGTGTCGAGCTAACGCCGTTCTCGCAGTCTAGGACCACGCGGTAGACGTAGACTAGACGAGGAGTTAGCTTGGGCCGCCAATATGCCGAAGGACATCACGAACCTAAACGGGGTGACTTGACGGATCTGGTTGCCACATATATCACACATGAGCTTTGACCGTTGACGTCCTAAAATGATCAGCAGCAAGCCGACAGTAGGATAGCCACGGTGCCTAATTACCTCGTATTCCATGGCCATATCAGCAACATCCGTATCACAATCAGCGTGGAGAGAAAGCGGTGATCGATGCAGGATGCCCCGACGTTGCGTCAGCGCAATCTGACCAAACACCTTTTCGAACTGGAGCCCCAATCGCCTGGTCAGATCATTGAGTTTGGGTGACTCGTTGGTATTCTCATCATTCGAGCTCTGGACCTGGTGCTCCAAGAGCTTCTTAAACTTGTCGTAGAATGACCGATCGTGTCCCGTGGGCGCCCATTTATCCGATGCAGCCGGGGGTGGTCGTGGCTGGCCCATCATGGGCAATTGCTGTACGAAATGCCGCAGAGCGCTCTTGGTCAGGGCGCCCCTGATGTACTTGAGTGTCTGAGGGTATTCGACCAAATCGGTCTTGTCCATGAGCTCCTCCAGCGTCTGAGACATCGGTTCGGCGCTCTGCATATCGATCTCATGGCGAAGCCATCGAGAGAACGCGTTGAACTGGGATAGTTCCTCGTTCGTGTAGATGAGGATATTGTGGGCCAAGAGATGAAGACAATCCAGCGTCTCAACGATGGCATTCAAACCCGAAGTCTCCAGCCCAAGTACTTCGCTCAGTTTATGAAACTTGGACAGTCCGATAAGTCGACTGAGCAACACCTCGCATCGTTCTAGAGCAGGGAGAAGACACTCGTGCGTCAAGCGACGCACATTCTCATACCCCGTCGAGACCGCCTTCTCCCATCGTTTGTGTCCCTGAAACCCGTCAGTTCTCAAAGCAGCTCAAAGCAACACACAAAACCTACCCTTTCGCCAACAATATCGACCAGAAACTGCCGTAGCGGCTCAAAACAATCCCCGGTCACGACGAGATGATACGCTGCCGTAACAAAGTCACAATGGCACTTCTCCTCCAGATCCTGGTTGACACTACGCATATACCTCATCGGCAGCTCCTGCGCGTTCTTCCACTCCAGCTCAATCTGCCGCTGCACCTGACTGATATAGCGCAGCAAGTTCTGCAGCTGCGTGGTCTTATACGCCAGGAGGGCGAGATACCGTCCGGAACGCGTAATGAACCTCAGGTCCAGCGTGAGCAAGGACAACGTGCCCGCACCAGTACCCGAGGACGCGGTGGAAGCCAGCAACGCATGGGTCGAGCTCAGCGGGTGGGAAGCATGGCGCAGGATCGCGCACTGCTCCGCGCTGCCCACGGAACTTCCGACCTGGAAAGAGCCGATCTCGAAGCAATCGAAGATCCGCAGATGGACTGTGCCGTTGTCCGCGCCGACCAGCAGGACGTCCACGGCGTCACTGGTGCTTTTCGACGCGGAATGGAATATCGCGTCGATGGACGCGCGGGAACTAAACACGTCATCCCTGATGTGTCCGAGTTAGCGACGGGACGGCCGGTTAGGAGAGTTGGAATCGTGCACCTACTCGCTTCCGGTCGCTGGTAGCGTGCTCAGCTTGGGTAAAGAGTTCTCCACGTCCAGGAGGGCCAGCTCGCGCGGAAGGTCTGCCCTGAACCAGGCGGCAGCTGTCGAAGGGTTTGTTTCTGGCGACAACAGCTCGTCAAGGGTGATTTGGTTGCTGGTGTCCTGCAGATGACGCTGCACCGCCCTGCTGTCTGTGAAATTTACTCCCCATCCCAGACAGGTGACTTTCACGGGCTTGCATTCGTCTTCTGGCTGGTACGCATGGTAGTGATGGACTGTTTTCCCACTGTACGAACTAATGATACGGACGGTGTTGTCCGCGCACGCGACAGCGAGCAGATGGCCTGGTAAGAATTAGCGTGAGCGAAAAGGAAATAGAGAGGAAGATCGAAGTGTGATATGTTAGCATAGCAGTGAAAGAGACCGTACCATTGTTTTTCCACGTTAGCCCTCGGATCTCTCCTCCACCGTCATCTTCATCCAGGTAGGGGTCGCCTTTAAAGGAGCCTCCAAAGACCTTTTGCCCGTTCAGGCGAAAAACACACAGTTCGTCATCCTTGGTAACGACGGCGATCAGGTCCATGGTGGGACAGTACGTCAGGCTGCCTGGCTTGCATTTGGCGGGCAATGACTTCTCCCCGACGGGGGTAAGCTGCGGCTCATGGCGCAGCGAGGAAGATTGACAACCATCACTGGCCATGTTTGTTTTGCTTTTTAAGGTCGGTCACGCATTCAATCCATTATCTTGTCGACAGATGTGGAATCTGTTGTTGGCTACCGCTAGCCTAGACCTTGGAGGGATGGATGGGGAACAATCTTGGCAGGCGGTGTTTTGCAGTCGCGTTTGTTTTTTGTTCCCCCCCAAAGCTCCCGGAGCGGGACGATACAAACTCCATGAGTCGACATGTCGCTACGCGGCGCAGCAAGATAATTGATGTTACAGATTCAAAGGTCAAAGAGAATGGTAGAATGTATTCAGTTCTGTTGGTTATGTCACTTCTATCCATGATCTATGTAAATGCTACCTAGCTTCCTTCCAGCACTAGACATCTCAGATATCTTCAACACCCCCAGTACCAGACTGGATCATGTTCTTTAAATAACTTAATTCGTCCATCATTTCCTGCATGACGGACTGGCCAGGAAAGGATGTCTTGCTGTAACGGTCAGTACCCTCCCCTGAAGTGACGCGATTCTCCCCGTTCACAGCTTCGCCTTTGGCACCCCCAGCGAAGTGGATCGCCGACGCGTCCGGACTGTGGGGGAGCCCAAGACCTTCGATGGACTTGATCGCTCCAAAGAAGGCCGCATGCCGCTTTGGATTGCTCTCCACCTCGTCCGCGTCCTCGATACATAGACCCGGCACGTCTAGATCAGAAGGAGAGAATGGCCCACTTAGCTGAGGAAGGGGGAGCTCCAGTCGCGGGGAGTCGGTCCCAACCGTCGTAGGGGATAGTTTGGAATTGACGGTGAGATGGGGAGTATCGGGATCGCTGGCTTCGGTCGGAGCCGAGGTTTTCCATAGGTCGGGCACTTCCAAGGTGTCCGGAACAGGGGAGTTTTGGTTATCGTCGCCGAATGCTTGCGAGGATGTCATGGACTCTGGCGAAACGAACTCGGTGTCAGTACTCCACTCCGAGAAGTGGCTTCTCTCGCAGGGTGAGTCGCTGGCGATTGAGTCGTCCGTTTCACTGAAATCTGAAAAGTGACTGCCAAGGTACTCGGTGTCCAGCTCTCGCTCTCGTTCTTCCAGTTCACGGAGCGCCTCGTCCATAACGGAAGATGGCGAGTTTGGTAGCGTGGGCAGGCGCTTCTCACGGAAATTGAAGGCAGTGGGTGTCGTCGCATCTTCTGACGGACGAGGAATAGTCGCCGTTGGCTGTAACACAAGCGAATCCAAAGACGAGATCGACTCCTGAGTCGCATGGGAATGAATATTGCGACTATCGACAACGGCGGAAATCTTGATATCTGGCCTAGTCTGCACAGTCAATGGATTCCGAGGTAATGCGTGCTCCGCCGATTTGGAGTTCAGAGCACGCCGGTCCCGAATAGACAATGGCATGAAACCAGGCTCGCAAGTAGATGCGGGGCGTCTTGGAGTAACGTCATTCTGCGGGTCGGTCGCATTGGATGACAGACTCCTGGAGCCGTTTCGAGAATGCAGATCGAATCCACGATGGCAATCGCGGGATGTTCCAAGCGCCATATAGCCGGACGCCGCCACTGGTCTCTCAAGTTCGCCATCTCGACTGTACGCGGCACCGAGATCCGGCGACGACGCATTCCATTGCCGGAACGCTGCCCGCAAGCCTCGAGAGCGCGGTGGAGACACCGACCGCGCGGGCTTGGATGAGCCTTTGGCCGCATCTTGTTTCTTGCCCCTTGCCGATGAGCTGGTCGGCTGGGAGACACTCTTGTTGGTAATCAGGCCCAATGGAGAAGTGCTGAATGACCAATTTGGAGCCGGCTGTTGCAACAGGGGAGGCGACGTGCGCAAACGGAGCTTCGGCTTAGGAGGTCTTCGCGGGTTCATGTATTTGTCGTCTGGATTCATTGTCCGCTGATCGGCGTTCAGGGCGCCGGCGCTGTCATCGCCGGCCTGGGCTGCTCGTGTATCGGGGAGAATGATGGGCACTTGGAGAACATTGACGGGTTGTCCGGGGAGTAGGGGACAGAGAGAGGTAACGGGTTCGGCCTGGTTAAAGAATTCCACATCGTCGTCTAGCACGTACTGCAGACTTTGTTAGTTCCGTTGATGCGGGGGAAGTTGGTGACAGTGAACGTACGTAGTACCAGTAGGTGCCTCCCATTTTGAGGCCCCCTGAGCGGGCAGTGGACATGTCTCTAGGAGATCCATCGCAAATGATATCGGTGAAGTTGTGGCACCCCCTCCAATGACCAGGACCGACCCGCTTGTCTCGTTCCATGATATAGGGCTTGGAGAAGTTGTCCCACGAGCCCAACAATTTGACCGAGTTGACTTCGGGTTTGGTCGAGCTTGGTTTCCAATTAGCCTGAGATTGAGCGGACGGAGATAAAATACCCACAGAAGAAACGTCATTAGTGTGGTCGAAGACATGGTTGCAGAATGAGCGATTTGTGGAGTTGCGAGGGAGAAATGGGTAGGATATACGACGAGAGGAAGATTGTGCCCCAAGACCAGCCTGGACGAAATCTAACGCAAAGCAAGTGGACGGACTACAGCTCGACGAGTCTCGAGCAGTCCGTTATACTTTATTGCTTTCGAGGGTCGCAGGTGTGATAGGGGCCCCGAGCGGATTGGTCGGGGAGAGCTCAAAATAACAACGGCGCCATCCGACGCTAGACGGGAGTCGAGACGAACGATTGTTTTAGAAACCCTTGCAATGGCACGATTCAGTAGCCGCGAACAGTAGGGGAGTTTGATTTGGATGAGCCTGGACTTTTGAGGAGGGCCAATAGCACGGATGGAAGAGGCACCGGAAGCGCCGACAAGGCGGATCCCGAGACACGGTCAAGGGGGAGGGAGAGGATGTCGCAGAATGTGAATGTCGGCGCTTGGAGAAGGGGTTGCGGTGGGTGTTTAAATGATTCCACACGTGGCTGCAATCGGAACGTCCAAGGGGGGAGTGAAAAGCAATATAGCAGACCTGTGGTCGTCGGGGACGAGGAAAAGGATCAAGGCCGATTGACGGACCGAGATCGATCGGAGAACGGAAATATAAATCCAATCCATCGAGATCAGCTAGCTGATGGACAATTGCAAAGCACGCCTATCATCATGGTGGGATCCACCGGCCGACGGAATCACCACGTCAGAATGGCTGAATGCAGCAGCGCAGAAGGTTTGCAGCGCCAGCGACTAGCGAAAATTAGGGAGGCAACGATGAGATCGCTGTGGGGGGGCAATGGATGGATGGATCACAACAGCCACAGCCAGCCACGCGAGAAGCCATGCAGAGACCGTCAACCATTGGGTTATAATATGCGACGAGCATAATCCCGCTGATAAGATGGCACATGTAACTAGCTAGTCCCCGTGGCTCTCGTACAAAGCTGTATGATGCTTTGTGTTGCACATCCGAATGCAGCGAGTTACAAACAACGACCGGATGAGGTAAGCGCCGATCCTCTCCCCGCCGGTCGCCACGTGAGAATTCGACCCACTGGGTCCGCTTCGGGATTAGCTCGTCTTAACCATCGGCTGCCTTCATCCCCATCCGGAGGGACCGATTGATGGCCTCCTTCTCATCTCTTGCCCATACTCAATATCTTCAAAATAGTCGGAGAAGAATGCATCTACTGCTGCCCAGGCAAGAGTCTTGGGACCCCAATGGCCATGTTCGGACATTCTAGGTGATTTGTCAAATCCACCTTCCATCCGTCAATAGTCGCCCTGACTAGGACTTCGCCGAAGATCCCACTCTCACGGACCACGCCCTGGCGCCTCTAGGTACTAACCACTGCAGGCACCAATCGAATCAGCTCGCTCCCAGGCCAGCCACCTTGATACAGACGATCCGTGACAGGCGCCCTGGATCTACCCAGCAACTCGGAAAATGAGAATCCTTCGGGGTCTTTTTGACCACTTAGACCCAGTCGCTTACACTAGTCTCACCCGGTACCTGGTACCTGCTGCTGGGCAACCACCCGATCGCACTAGCGGACCCCCAGCGTTGTGGCTGATGCTCAGCCTCTCCACGGAGTTCCCGAACTACTCCGTACTCGGCCGATTTTTGGACATCTTTATTCGTTTCGTCTTCACTATCTCTGTACTACAGATCTCACTCTCTGTGAACAATTTCAAACCAAGTTCATGTGGCCAACCAGGACCCTACGCCGGTCAGCAAGGAAGACCACCTACCTAGGTACATTAAAGATTTCCGTACTACTGGCAGTGTCCTCACAACCCCTCCCCCCAAGCAAACGGATTCAAGTAATACTCCCCAATGTACCCAGTCACCATCTCCCATCCGCCGTAAACCAGCGCCCCAACACCAGGCGTGATATAGGCTCTCTCAACAAGCCATTGAACCACTTCGGTCTCTGCCCAGACAGAGTATGCACACCGCAACATAATGCCCACGATGGCCGTCCGCACAGCGATGTAACACAACGTCACGATGGCCTGGGATTCGATGGGGAGGCGGCGGGCAAGGTGCCAACGTAGGATATTGCACTGGTAGGCCAATCGATCTTTTGCAGCGGGGTATTGAGATAGCACGAAGCGATCCATGAAGGTGGTGGAATGGGAACCGCGAAGACGTGCAATTATGGCCGCAAGCATCTTGCTTTCGAGTCTTCCGTGCGACAGCTTGCTATCCTGCCCGGCTGTCTTTTCTCGTTCACTGTCCAGGGAATGCGCTGCTGTACTGAGCACTTGATCCAGGAGCGAGTTATCTGATACCTCCAGACGGCGAGAGTTTGGGTCAGCGTCTGTGGGGGATGCTGCTGTCTCTGCCGAGAAAGCTTCTGCAGCACTTGGATGCTCCGGGAAGGAGGTGTAGAATCGTGGTGTGAGAGGAGTGATGGTCAGGACGGGTCGAGGAGAGGACGTTGGGGTCATGGGAGAGTGAAAGGTGATGGGTTCAAAATGTAACCGTTTCGGAGGGGTGTATTTGATGGAGATCGGGAACTGGCAGTGCGCAGTGAGCTGAGACAGATACTCCCGGAAGAATAGTTCCATGGTTCTGCCGCAATACAAGAGACGTTAGATGTCTAAACTAATGGGCAGAGAAGCATATGAAAGGAGCATACCTTTCAACCTTGGTTTGCTTTCGCGGCACACTGTCCGCCCGAACCTCAGGTCGCTGCAGGTACTTCAGATTTCCGCGAAAGCGGATTCTGAGCGCCTCTTTGACGATACGTGGTGCAGACAGCGCACCGACATGCGTCCAACGGGCGACGAAGCTCGCAATGCTCCAACTGTCGGACAATAATGGGTCCACGGGCTCTCCCCATGAAGCAAGACGACTAGTCACCTTCACCTGGCCATCGGGGGTATTGGAGCTCAGGTTAGATTGAAGCGAAGGCCCCAGCATGGGGTCGACGAATTTGGCCGTCATGGATCCTCCTACTTTCTCAAACGGAGATCCGAAGATCAGCTTCTCCCAGGAGCCTTTGTAATGTTTGCTCTGAGATGCAGAAGAGTGGAAGTGGATGGAGACGCGCTCCTTAGTATCCTTCGCCGTGGCAGTGATCGTACTTGCTTGGGGTTGGGGAGAATCAACAGCGATGTCATCCCCGGTCAGACGGAAGAAGAAGTTTCGTTTCTCATAGAAAGAGTTATTAATCTCCATGATCATTGCCGTCAACTTGCGCTCGGACGAGTATAGATACCAATAGCTGATAGCGCTTTTCTGCCACCATAGAAAGCGAGGGACGCTGATGAGGTATGCATATGGGAACTCTTGCGGATTCTCGCCCTGGACGGCGTTATTTCTATTCAAGGCGATTGAAGAGCGGGTTCGCATATCAACATACCTGAGACTGTAAGAAGATATGCAACTTCTCCTCCAAGGATCGATCTCCACTGCCAGGATCGAGATAATAAGTGGGATCAATGGTAAACCAGCACTTCTCCCGGCTGTGCTCCCACGCTGGCAGGTTATCGATCGAGAGAAGGTTCCCAATGCGGCCGCGAAGTCCCACTGGCACTCCCACCATGAAATAGTCGTACCAGTAATTGTATCGCTCGATCTGTGGGAACCTGCGTGCATGGGATAATCGGGCTGGAAAGAGAAGGGGTTTGCCTACAAAGTCGTTCCTGGCATTGGGGTGGAGGACGATCAGGCGTCGCCACAGGCAGGCTGCTATGATCAGTTTTGACAGGAGAAACACAATGCTGATTACAAAACAGGCGATAAATAGTTGAAGAAGTTGTTTGAAGCCTGGATGCGATGCTCTGAATACCAAGCCTGCCGTAACAAGAAGAATGTATAGGAGGGTACTCCAAAACATGATGACTCCAGGGCAAGAAACGCGGACTTTACAAAGGAGTAAACTTGAAGATTGGTATGGCACTGACTTCTAGAGAATTAAAGATCATACAGGGTCTTATATAGTTGTAGAGTGATGTTGTTCCCATTCATCTTGTCTGGACAGGGTATGAAGCAATGGCGAATGCGTCTCGTTCTTGGTGTTTACCCGAAAAGCAAAGGTGCATATTTTCAACAGACCTGTGCTCTCTGCCCACGTCAACGGTGCCATCATACCCTTACTTCAACAAGTAAGAGTACTTACAGTTTGAAGAATTCAAAAAAGGCCAGTTTCTTTAACAGGAGCGGAGGTGAGCGGTGTCTGCAAGCCGACCTTACTGGACACATACGAGCGAGGTCTTCACAAGCTTTGAGATTCTGCACATTCTCAAAAAGATAACGATTTTCGAAACCACCCATATCGGTTCTCATCCCGACGAATCGTTTGGCGCGCATCCAAGATCTCCCGACAATTACCGACAGGAGGCGCCGATCTGCATCGATGACGGCACGCTCTATTCTATACAGACGTAACCTTACTTCGTCTTTACCAGAACAGTCATCTCGCATGCAGTTTCCATCCTTCGAGATGGGTTGAACGATCTGTGTGGAATACGTCAAAAGATAAGGAAGCGAGGCGTCTGACGGAGACGAGTACCAGCATGCTGGTGCCCGGGGAAGCGACACGAAGGTTTTACCTAGGCAATCGACCGACAAAGTGACCGCGAATCGCCCAGTAGCACAGCATATGATTGCCACGGCTGTGTACCAATGCGTATGCAATCTTGTCAGACCTTCTTCTTGGCCGTACTCCCGCACATTCGCCTTTACTGCGTCCAACACTGCTACTGATTGGTTTACATAGGAGTAAGTACCTGGCAACTGCAAGGAGCCAACATTAAGGAATTTCGGGGTTTCTCGCGCATGTTTCGAATGCATCGGGATTTGGTATACAACACCATTCGGGTAACCTGACCTTTCCAGGCCAGCGCGTTCTATGACCATTGGATGAAAGTTGACTTGTATATCTAGACACCTCTATGAGAAGCCTAGAATAACCTAGTAGCTTGACAGAACCCAAAGCTGAACGGGCCTAATTTTCTAGAAGTAGAACTCGAGCCTAGACTTGGTCGGCCCAGGTATCCCCCTTGGGTTATTGATAGAACGATTAGGAGCATACCCTAGACAACTATGATTAACGTTCCAACTTTGCTCTACAGATAAAGATTGGCAAAGTCATCCGATGATCATCGTTAATTTATGCATACTCACTATGGAAGGATGTGTTTTCCTTGATCCGGATATCGACAACAGAGGTATAATCGCTGACCGACTTTCAAGAGACTTCCACTTCTAGAATCTCGCGTATATGATAGGAGTGTACGACGTCTCGAGGGTACTGGCTTGGGATCATTGCAGTGTCTTGTTATCGGTCCAATAGAACACGCAGCAGAGGCATCCTGAGCTCTGTTGATCACCTTTGTAGTGACTCAGGAAAAAAATTCCGGGCCCTCACAGCCCCATTCTGGCGATCTCTCATGTTGCTCGACTGACGTGCAGCTGATGGCTTGGTATGCGCCGAGTCATATGTTCAAAATTCAAGTATAAAACGAACACAGCCGGCCAACTCACCGAGTTACCTCTTCATGAAAGCAATAATTGTTGACTTACCGTAACAACCCGAAAGATATTCCCGTCATGGCTTCGAAAGAGTCCCCTCCCTTCAAAAGGGTCGTTATTGTGGGAGCCGGGTTTTCGGGCCTGGCAATGGCCTGCCAGCTGAAACAGAAACTGAGATGCCACGACTTTGTGATCTATGATAGAGGAGCTGGGTTCGGCGGTACCTGGTTATTCAACACCTGTATGTTTGACCTGTTACCATTCTCCATTTCTTGCGTTGAAGCCAGCTGATGAGCATCTCAGACCCAGGTTGTGGCGTTGATATTCCCGCCGTGTTATACAGCCTCTCCTATGCGCAGAACCCAGACTTCTCAAACTTCTTCCCCAAACAGGATGAAGTCCTCCAATACATGAATGACGTGGTGGACCGTTTCGATTTGTCCGGCCACTTGGTCGGCAATACCGACTGGATAGGTGCTTCCTGGCAAGACGACACCAAAGCCTGGCTGGTCAAGCTGAAGGACCTATCCAGCGGCCAGGAGTACGTCCAGCGCTGCAGCATACTCATTTCGGCCGTGGGAGCACTGACGAACCCTAATCCGTTCTATGCTCCGGGCATCGACCGCTTTCAAGGAAACATCATCCACACAGCCAGATGGGACCACAGCGTTTCGCTGCGAGACAAAGACGTGATTGTGATTGGCAATGGAGGTAAGTCATCCCCTGTCGGCTCCATGGAACGCTACTCATAGTTTATGAGCAGCGTCCGCCACGCAGTTGGTACCCGCCGTAGCAGGAGAAGTCCGCTCTATCACGCAATTCATCCGGGTTGGTTCCCTGTCCCCCAGGTTTGGCGAAATGTCGCTAATCAACCGTGGCAGTCAAGTCAATACGTCCTCCCTGGGGGAGACAACACCATAATTACTCCATTTTGGCGGACAGTGTTCCGCTACCTACCCGGCGTTCTGCGCTCTCTTAGGCTCCTCACCTTCCTGTACCTCGAAACGTCTACTCCCCAGTTCGACACGACCGAGCAAGGAGCAAAAATGAGAACACAGACTGCGAAAATTAGCGAGCGCTATATAAAGGCAACGGCACCAGGTGAGTTGGCCCGCAGCTTGCTCAACTATGGACTACAGAGTATTAATCCCACAAATAGCGCATTACTGGCCGCTTTTGATGCCCGATCATGAGGTTGGATGCAAGGTAAATCCACGATCCTCCCCAGATATTACGGATGCAACAGTCAGGCTGAAAACAGATTAGCGAAGAGTCTTCGACCACAACGGCTACATCGCATCGTTGAATCGAGAGAACGTCCATCTCACCGATGACCCTATTGTCGCTGTTAATGAGCGCTCCGTCGTGACCAAGTCAGGCACAACATACCCTGCAGATGTGATTGTACGTGGCTCTTGCATCTCCTACTATCATCCGCTATTCGAACAGAGCTGACCATGGCCCAGGCACTAGCCAACGGCTTCGCTCTGACCCAGTTCGATGCCGATCTGCGAGGCCGCCATGGACGCAGCCGAAGCGAGCACTGGAAGGACGTAGGTTACATAGAAGCCTTCCACTCCATCGGCATGGCTGGATTTCCCAACTTTTTCTACATCCTGGGCCCCAATTCCGGCCGCGGACACACTTCAGCCGTTCTTTCTATCGAGAGGTAAGGAAGCCCGATTTTTCTTCTGGGCTCAATAAACTAAGCTCTTTGGCAGCTACACGAACCTCATATCGCGAGTGATCAAACCAGTGATAGCGGGGTCTGCTCTCTCCGTTGAGCCCAAATCGTCCAGCGAGAAAGAATACAATGAGCGTTTGCATGGCGCACTAGAGAAAACAGTGTTTACGAATGCGTGTCGGAGTGTAAGCCCCTCGCAGGTTCCGTGACAAGTCCCCTGGACACAGGCTGACGCAATCGCTTTTGATATAGTGGTACATCGACCCAAAAACGGGATATAACTGGGCAGTGTACCCATGGAGCTCGTTTTACATGTGGTGGACCACGCAGGTAGCAGGGTTGAGCGGCTGGGTTTACGAGGTCAGTCACTGTCCCCTCCTCAACGGTGAGATAGTCCAAGACTGACTGGCTCTGTGTATAAGCTTCCCAAGGGAAAGCCCAAGAGCGCAACCCGTCCTTTCCTGTTGAGTGTTGCGCTGTCGGTTTTTATGGTGACGCTGGCTCTGTGGCTATACGACATCGAGCCTCTGGCCATATCCAGCATCGAACCGGATCAGTGGATTGGTAATATGTCGCGATACGTGACATTTGATACTTTCCAAGGGAAGCTTTGAGGAGGTTTCTTATGATTTTGGCAGGACTCGCTTGCAACGCCCTGCATGAGACGACCTATAGTGTTTTGCGTTTTTGTGGCTCTTGGCTCATCATATTGGGCCTATTATCAGAGCTTTATCTCGGTAGACAAAATGAGTATACCCGTTTCGTTATGACCGTCATCTAAACGTATTGAATCTACTCTCCCCGTCCAGAACGCTGCGAAAAGTCTATGGAGGCATTCATAGATATTAGTCAAAGCATGTGAAGCTGCTTGAATCCTCTTTTGGTAGAGACAATAGGGGTAATATAACCAGGAATGCCACACCGTACAGAATAGGCACCGAGATCGCCACTGCCTGCTATTTACAGGCTGCAGAAATGCATCAACCTGTTCCTCTGGGTTGTTGTCGAGCTAATTGCGCGCAAGGGAGTGCCATTTGCATACGGAAGTCTTGTGGTCTACGTCCGATGTTACTGGTATTGCAAGATATATGGAGACATGTGACAATGCTGCTGCATACAAACAATGAGCCTGAATCATCACTATGCACTTAGATTAATTAAGAAGCATCTGAAGCATAATTAGATTTAGTTCGTCTTCTGCAGAAAGCTAGTAATAATCTCGCCTGATCCTGTCCTGTTTTGTCTTAGAACAGCTCCAGTTGCCCATGACCAGCAGTTACCCTCATTATTCACCAACCTGAACTCCAATAAAATCATGCATGTCCTCTGCGGGCAAGATCGACATCTCGGATCCATGGAGAAAGAAACAGCGGAGAAAGAATGAAAGCAAGACACGAAAAAGAAACAAGAACGATCACTGAAACGCATCCCGCTTGTCATATTTCCGATTCACGGCCCCCAAAACACATTTCAGAATCCCGTCCGCATTTAACGTCTGGCCGGAATGTCCCCTCCACGGCACCGTGTCCACCATATCCCGGAGGTTGTCCTGTCGACTCAACACCCCCAGATCATCGTCCAGCGCCTGTAGGTACACACGCGCCGCCTCATCGTCGCCGACCTGGAAGAACTGAATGCCGACCTGCCAGGGCACGGCGCGAATGGGCGGGCCGTCCAAGCGCTTAGCGACGTCGACGATGACGCTCTGCGCGTCATCCGTGAACTCACCGTCCGTGATGGCGATGATATTGAGCGGCTTCACCGACGTGCCGGGATCATCGCGCGCCGGGTGGTGGTTGCCGTAGTCGTCCGCCGCGTTGGCTTCCCTGCGTTCCAGCCGACGCATGTACGGCCCCAGGATCTCGTGCAGCCGGCGGCCGAACGGCGTCGGGCCGCGCGGCTGGACACTGCGGAAGATTTCACGCACGGCCTCGGAGGTCGTGACGTTCGGGTAGGCGCCGGTGGTGTAGCGGGTCGCCCGGTTGCGATGGTTGAGGAAGTAAATGTCGATGCCGTCTTGGTCGAAGCTGGTGCAGATGGGGGCGATGGCAGCGATGGCGTCCTCGGCTTCCTGCCAGCGGTGGCCAGACATGCTAGAACTGTCGTCAACAACGAAGATGGTATCGAACTCGCGCAGGAAGGCATAGGGGGAGTCGCTGGAGACGGAGCTGAAGGACTGTCGGGGCTGGGTCGCTGAGGCGGAGTACGGTGGGGGAGACCATAGATTAGGTCCCCCTGGCGAGAGAAACTTGCTTTTCGTCTCGGGATACTGTGAGGACGTTGCAGTGTAGTGTTGGTGTCCCTTCGTCCGCGACTGTCGATGGCCCATTGGTGCGGCTATGTCTTGTTGAGTTTGGAGGGTAGTGTCCCTGGTGAACCGGGAGGAGCGAAAGCAGAGGAAAGGCATGGTGCTGGCTTTGTGATTGTGTAGTTCCAATGATAAGTGTATGTAGTCAAGAGAGATTCACTGCCAGTCTCAACTTATCCTCCTTCCCGATTCACCTTGACGCCCACGACCTCATTATATAGGAAGCTGCAGGGCGAACCACAACTCAGCCTTGTTAGTGATGTCGCCATTGCATATATTGACTGTCTACCAGACTTCATTGTAAGAAGAACGCTCAAAATCATACTGAACCATGGGTACATACTTACACTGCCCGGTGGTCAACTTGTTTGAAATGCGCCTGAACCCCGCCAGGATCCCTCGCTTTTGCCAAGGGGCGCAAGAGATACAAGGGGTAAGCCCTAACAGGAGGGCAAATCAGCCCGTGGAATTTTACGAATTGTCTTTGAAGGTCTGATCAAAGAAGAATAATGAACCGGTGTGCAGATAAAGGGTAGGGAATTCGGATGGGGCTGTAAGGTGTCAAGGCATTTTCTGAGCCGCAGCACCGCCCCCCATCAACCCTTTTTCTACTAGGCTGTGCAGGACAACCATCCATTACAAGGCTAAATTTTACGGTCATCAACTCATCATTGGAACGTAATATATACACATGTATCAAGAAGTACATGACAGTCAAGCACCCCAGGTGCCTGTAAGAACTTTGTTCCCGGCGGTGGTGCCTCCGTATTCCAGGAAGTAAACGCCGTTTTCGCCATCTTCGATGCCATCAAAGATGCCCACCTCCGTCTCCAGGACTTCAATCAAGGCCAATGCCTGGTCAATGCCCATAGTGTGTCCGATGATTCGCAAACAATCGATCACCCAGACCCGCAATGGGTGATTCTTCCCCTCTGTTGCACCCGCCAGAACCAGCGGCCAGAGAGCGAGGAGCCCGCCTAAGTAGGCCTGGTTCAGGGGAAGATATTCGGACGGCTTAGTGCCCACGTTTCCGATGCCAAAGTGGAAGGGCACAGTCGCGCAGATGTCACGCGCGAGCTCTCGTGTGCTGCTGCGAAGCCGAGTGCAGTGGTTCTGAAGTTCCCCAGAGATAGCCATCGCAGGTGACCGGAACGACAGCCGTCGGAGGCAGCCGAGGATGATTTCACTGACGATGATCCGCGCGCATCGGTACTGATTCCAACTATGTGCAAGCCACAAATCATGGTAAATATGGTATCGATTACCGCAAGGACTCTCAGTCCGACCCAACATGTTGGCAAACGGATCCGGAGAGGGATGTTCAACCACGGTATACATAAATTCTGGAGGGAGACCTGCAACCCAGGCCATCAGCTCTGCTTCGATGGCATACGCAGCGGACAGGATCTCTCTCTGATCAGTCCGCATTTTCCGGTTAATGTCGGCGCGTAGATTAGACAATCGACCCGCGATGGTAATCAAACGGTCGCCGTAGGCTTCGGTCTGTGGCCGCAAGTACATGGCGATTTTGGCGCACTCTAGGACCGACCGTGGCACGTGAGCGGCTCTCTGCAAACAGCTGGTAATCTGTACGACGTTAGAAAACGCCCAGTTGTAGAGAATGGCGATGGAGATATACATACAATCTGGAATCTCAACTGCACAAAAAGCTTCAGTCCATCTTCATCCTGGAGCTGCTCCGCCCCTCGTAGCTCAAGCAGCGCCGCAGCCCCATAGATATGACTGGTCCACTTTTCAATCGTTCGGGGCGTTCTACTCGTGACGACCTGCCCGCTCCCGTCAGCCACATGCACACGGATGTAGTGTAACCAAGCAAGGATGGCGGGTATTACCTCAAAGATAGCCAGTAGTAACACAGCAGCAAGCGTTGCATTGGTCTTGGCTTCTTCTTCGTCCATGACCGCGGCAGTTAGCAATTGCAATGCATGACCATAGTCTCTTTCGGCATCGATTTTCAGCGACCCTGATTGTCGAATGCGTGAGAGCATCGCTGATCCCACCGATACCAGACTGGCTTGCATCGCTTGTTGACTTGGGGAGCCCTCGTTGGTAGTTCTGAAGAAATCCGGGGAAAAGTCCATCATCCAGAAGGAGCCCGGCCATTCAGTATTCCTCAGGGAGAAGCAATAAGCTTCATCCTTAGTAAACTGATAGGACGGCTGCAACCCCAGACCCGGCGAAGAATGCGGGGTGAGAAGCTGGACCGACTCGGGAGACTGTTGAGGATAGGAGAGATCGTTGAAATCCACAATCTCGGGCGGATCACTACTAACATCATTGGAGACTTTCGGCGTCGCCGTTGGCGGCGATGATTTTGAAGGCGGTTGTGGGCTGGGTTGGCTACTACTACTGCCACTCGGAGACGTGTGTGTGGTGGATTTGCGGGTGTTTTTGGCCCGACGGCCAGATGAGCCAGTTTTGGCCTTTCGAACGACCTGCTGGCTCTCATCGCGAAACATGAGCGACAGCTCATCGCGATATCCGGGGCACACGCGGTTGCCCTTGATACATTGGGAGCAGGTCGGGCGGGCCTGATCACAGCGGATCTTGCGCGATCGGCATTCGCCGCAGCCTTTGCTCGGCTTGCCGCAGAACACCATGTTGGACAGACGTGGGGTAAGGTAATGATAGCACGAAGAGGGGCAGGGGATATGCTCGGAGACTGCACCCGGAGTCGTTAGGCTTTCAACGTTTAGAACTCGAGAGGTCCAGAAGGAGCAGTTGCTGTAACGGGTAACCTATGCGAGCCACCCCGGCACGGAGATCGCGATATCGTGGTGGTTCTCCGAGATAGAATGATTAGAAAAGAATGCAGGCGAGGGAGATCCGGTGCAGAGTTAGTCCGAAGGAGTCCCATAGCCATGCACGACGGATGACATATCGGTGTCCGTTTTGACGACGACGACGACGAGGATGATGGAGATGGGGTTGGGGAGAAGAGGAAAGGGACAGGAGGACCGGGGAAACGCGAGGAGGGCCAGATTTCCCCTCATTCCACTAAACCTTCTCGGGTATCTCCTGCGATGACTAATGCCTCCCAGCTGATTCCTTCGGTTTCATCTTGATGAACGCGTGATGTCCTCTATATAGTACTCGGTTCTAATGTCTGTGTGTGTATTTAGGCACGTCTACTCGTGGTGGAAGAAACTCCAGGAACCTTCAGGCGAGCCGCTGGTACTCCGCGGGAATCTCCGGCCACTCGTCCACGCCATCCATCAAAGTCAGCCCCATCCCACCGTTGAGATGCACTTGCACATGACAATGCAGTAGAAATGGTCCTGGATTCACCACCTGATATCGGATCGCCAGCCAGGTTGCCGTCGTCGTTGCGGGCGGAGTGTAATATGTATCCCGGATCTGCGGCGTGTCAAAGTTGAAGCTCCCCGGGATAGATTTCATCGCCTCGGCCACCGACGAGTAGTTCCAATACCCGTTACCTTGACCGATTACGAAGAACTTGTTGGAGTGCTTGTGAAAGGGATGAGGTGGCTGGAGCGGTTTAACCACACGGAAGATCAGGTCTACCCATGTCCCATTTAAGGTCTCGATGGAGAGATCCCTTTGCGCGGCAGACGGGTCGAAAAGAAGTGGAGTGCTCTCTTCCAGTATCATTGGAAGACTGGAGTTACCCAGAGTCCACCGATACGAGGCGTGGTAGTGGTCAATATCCAAGACGTAGGTCTGCGTCACCTCATAAGAAGGTATTTCAGCAGGGAAGGGGATGATGGTGCTCTCGTTCAAAGCAGTATAGTTGGCTGAGATCAAAGTGCCGGCGATGTCAATCGATGGGACCGAGAATCTCTTCTCTGCTTCTGTGGCAAATGATGCACCATAGGACAGAATTGCCGTGGTACCGAGGATCTGATTTACGCCGGTTGTTGCGAGTCGAATAGTATAGTCGCCTGCCGGCCTGTCCAGTTTGACCATAACGGAGTATCGGTTCCCATTGGCCAGGGTAATTGCGTCCACCAAGGTCGGCACGATATACCGCCCATCAATGGCATAGACATACATGGGATGTTCGTCAATGGAGAAGACAACTGTATTTATCCCGGCTGCACTGACCAGATCATAACTCACGTATGAATCGGCAGGATCCACAAGCAACCGTTCACATGCACCGCGAGATGGAGTGCAGCCATGGTACATAGAAGGCACTATGGCGCTAAGGTTATGGGGGAAGTTTCCCTGTGCCAATCGGTTCGTCGGGGGAAGACATCTAAACCGGTCAACCATCAAGGGTAAACCAACTGGAGATTGAAGATGGCGCGTCCTTACCCGATATCAGTGAAATGGGAGTTGTTTCCCAGAACTTCCCTCTGGCCCGCAGTTGTGAACTTGTCTAACTTCTCCTGGCTCAAACAGTCGATCGAGCCTTTGCCATTGATCAGAAGGGCATTTGCACAGTACGCATCCAGCCCCGTTGCCTCTTCAGCAGCCCATATCTCGGTTGAGGTCAATTTACGCCAGTCCGAAAGCATAACAGGCGCGGTCTTTGACTCTGCCGCCTGCATTGCCCTCAATTCAAGTGTGTCGTTCGTGATCAAAGAAAAAGGTCTCTCCACCGAGTCATCAGGATGGATATAGATGGCTCCATAGAGTCCATCTTCTATCTGGCCTCTGTGATGGGCATGATAGAAGTACGACCCATATTGCGTTGCGCGCCATTTGTAGAGGAACTGGTCGCCTGGCTGGATCGGTCTCTGCGATAGACCGGGAACTCCATCCGACCATGGAGTGCCGCTCTGGACGATTCCTGCGATCCTCAAATAAGATACAGGAAACAATCAGCGAAATCACCAGTCCGAAACTTACCGTGGAAATGAACCGTGACAGCCGCAGGCAGTTTGTTCACGACTAAGAATTCGACATCATCCCCTTGCTGCAATTCAAGGGGCGGTCCCGGGAATTGTCCATTGGTGAGGATTGTTTTTCGAGGTATCCCGGCTGGCGCCCAATCTTCCCAGGTCAACGTGGCTTCAAAGCGCACTGTATTTCCAGTTGATCTGGTTAGCTGGTCATATGCACTTGTCCAGGATAGTAGACATAGGAGTGAGAGTAAGCCTAGTGTACGCTGGGAAATCTCCATGCTGAGAAAACAGACGAGCTATAGAAATGCGGGCAATTTGACTAGATGCTGACGATACCAGACTGGCTTAATAAATGCAATGCCCCCTCGATGGATGTGATATGGCATCTTATGCTCGTGGCCCAGTGTTTTTCAGCCCATTTCTCTGTTGATAAACCACTGTAGATCATACTCAATAATTGGGTTCGCGCCGGGGGCCTTGCATACCATCAACCCTTACATTCTTAAGCATAGGATGGCATTTCCTCCACTCTAAGATCCATTAGGAATAAACACTGCAGGATTGTGGCTGCGGCTCGCAGGGCTATATAAAGCTGGGATACAACAAGTGTTCATCACTGGTAGAAGCGTCTGTCCAGCCTGGAGTGATCGACCCGAACTAGTATAATAAAGGTTAGAAGGAGATCAGTCGTCGGACCTCTATTTGATCCACGTAGTTCTCGGTAAACGAGGTGTCTTCTCGTTCCGTCGTACGTGTCAGAGCCGAGCCTCAAAAGGGGGCCTCGATTGCAAACGCGGTTGGATTCTCCGTAAGTTCTCGGAAAACCCACACCTGATCGCAACCAGGCAAGTATTCTGTCACTTGCCTGGAAGAGGAGCAGATCTCACAGAGGTGGAGGATAAAAAGCAAAGAAAAAAGGGAATAGCTCTGTCGATCCTAGCGAAACTGATACTAGCACATCCCGCGCAGGTCTTGCTGCGTTTAACCTCTACGGAGTACTACTAGTAGATTAGGGGAACCAAAGCCAGAAAAGGCTATCTACTTTTCAATGAAAGGACTGGGCTAGTGTACAATAGTCATACAATGCAGACAGAAAGTAGTTAACGAAAGCCGCGAGCGGTGCGCAATCTGCCGAATCGGCTGTCCCAAATCAACTTTTTCCGACAACCAACCAGATGAAATCCTTCTTCTTCTGTTCTCCCTTTGTCTCGTGCACTGCAGCATTGGGAACGAAGACGGGCGCGTCTGCGCAGAGCTGCGATTTACCACTGTGTCCACCCTTCTTCTTCTGACCATCTTCATTCTCCATGACATACGAGTTCTCTTGCTCGAAAGGCGGTTCAGGAAAGCTTGGGTCGTATTGAGGAGGCTCATATGTCTGCGACGGAACTGCAATGTTAGTTTTGTACGAACAAGATTGTCCTGGGTGGGTTTTTCGCACTACCTTCTGCGGCCCAGCAAACCGGTATTGTTCCATGAAAAGCGCACCAGAAGGGTCACTGATTGAGTTGAACTGGCGACTATCTCTCGAAGCTTCCGCGAATCTCATTCCCTCCAAACTCGGATAGCGCATGAGGTGCTCAGGAACAATCGGCTGGTGGTATGTAAAGCTCGACGGCGAATGCAGAGACTGATGGACTCCCAAGTCCCTGAACTGGGTATTCAAATGCGGATCCAGGGGTCCTTGCAACAGCTGCTGCGAGCGTAGATTATGGTAGGGATCGTGTTGGCTATAGGCGTGACCCGTGTATTGAGAATCGCTGTGCAGGAACCGCGCCTGTCTTGAAGTATCTGTGGAAAGATTTTTTCCTGATCCACGGGTATAAAGCATATTCTGGGTGTGGTAGTCAGCTGCAAGATGTCCAGGGTCGCGTTCCACCGTCTCCTGATAGTAGGGACCGTTCGCAGACGAGTCCCTCTGTACGCGGTCAGCTGTCATGTCCCAAATGTATGGCATAATGATGGTGCATCACCAAAGGAGTTTGAACATACCCTGTTCTTGAAGAACTTTCGCGACGTCCTCATGATGGACGCTGAGAATGCTTCTACCTGGTGCAGGGAAGATTCAAACCGGAAGGGACGAAGTATCCAGGCAGTATGAGAAGGCAACACAAAAGAGTATGTTGGATACGAGCGGGATGGCTCGGTAGATAATAAAGCCTAAGGTGTAAGATTGTGTCCAACCAGGCTAGAAGGGTTGGTCCTTGAACCGAGAAGGGTGGTTGGGCAACTGAAAGAGTGAAGAGAAGCTGGAGGTTAGGAACTGGAGAAGGCAGTCCTCCTTCTAGAATTTGTGCATATCACAATGGCACACCTGCCCCAAACAAAGGGCTTCAGCACACAAAGGCCCTTTCTTCAATCTTTGTGTTAGCCATAGAATCTGGAACGTACGCTTGCCTTGATCTTATCTACCTGGGTCAGAGAAGGCTGTCTACACTACAAACTGGAACGCATGACTCTAACAGGGGCTAGTTAATAGTATCTGCTAACATACATGGCCTTTTTTGTGGTTTCTTTGATATTGGTCTTTTTTTTGGTCAGTTTTTTGTTTTCCATCTTTTTTACCCTTTTCTTTGTATGTGTCCAAGTAGTGACCTTGGAGTGAATGAAACCTGAGCGAAACATGAACAATTGGAGAGGCCATGATGTTGTGTACTTCTGTACACCGGCCAGAAAAGAAAAAAACAACAGCAAACTTGCAAAGCGAGATCATCGGGAAAGAAGGCGCTTACTCTAACAAGGTTCAATCATCATTCATAACTGAATGGTTTCAGGGAAGAGAGCGGGGAGTGGGGAAAGAGAAACCGATGTGATCGACCGAAAGCAACCAAGGCCGAAGGGAGAGGGCTTCTGAACCCATCTCTATTCCTCGTGGAGGTGAGCTTTCACCTGAGAGAAGTGCTCAAAGAGGGCGTTCTCTGCCAGACACTTTTCAGAACGCTTCTTGTTGGCCAGCTCTTCAGCCTCCATCACCTCCTTTCCGATGTTGTTGTAGTTGCTGTATTGGTATTGCAGTGAGAGAGCCATCTGCAGGAACGTCATCCGTTAGTTGCAGAAGACAAAGACAATTGGATCAGACACAAGAATTCCTTACCCGGATGTACCCTTCTCTCTTGGAACGGGCGTTCTCGTCAGTGGCCCTCTTACAGAGAGTCTCGATACAGGCGTGGATCTCGTCCAAGGTCTTCGTGATGTCCGAAGTATCGTTCGCGGTTGCAAGACTTTTCCCAGGTGTCGAGCTGAGATTGGATCTAACTGACCCGATAGAGCGCGGCAGGTTGATTATATTCTTGTGGCCAGAAGACAGGCCGGCATGAGGAGTTCTGTAACGACTGGGGCGCTGGGGACTTCCCGTGGGCGCAATCATGATATGGCCCTTGCGAACCCGAACATCTGAGCCGCCGACACTCTGTCCTCTAACGGGAGCGGCCTTGGTACGGGTCGACTTCGTCGGACGAGCAAAGGATGGAGTGTCTTCGACATGTTGCACCACAGGCGCGGCGGGCGGCGAGATCGAAGTAGACTGGCGTGCAGAAGGATGTTGTTCATCAGATGACTTGGGGCTCCGGGGTGTCTTGTTCCAGCTGACGCCATCCGAAAGCCTGGTATATCTAGCCCTGGACATGAAGACTCCTTTCGCAGGTCCAGTTCTGTTATCCTCGTTTCTGAGACGTATAGCTGTGACCGGAGTTTGAGCTCTAGCCTCGGGCTCCGGAGTTTCACGCTCTTCCTTTTTTCCACGGCTTTTATCGACAGCGTTCTTATGCTTGAAGATGTTGCGGAAGCTATCGAGCATACGGGTACTCTTCGAGTCAGGAAGTCTAGCCAGCTGCTCAGCCTGGGTAGTCGGCTCCTTGGAGAGATTCTGAGGCGCGACATTGCTGTTTTGTTTTTCAGACTGATCGGAAACGTGGGCAGACACAATTGCTGGGCCTGGTCCAGACTGCATGGTTCTTTGCGATGCTTGATCGCGAGACGACGTTCGAGGGGGGAAGGATCTGAGGGACTCCGGGCTACCAGCGGTGTTTGGGGTTGGGTAGTTCTTGGGCACGGAGCCTTCACCCGACTGGGAGGTACTCTTGACGGGAGTCACCGGGCTAGCTGATTTGCTGCCTTTCAGGTGAATGCTGTACTTCTCAGGGACCCTTGGAACCAACGGCTCATGCTCGTCCTGGCCCGACGGGGAATAGAGGCTGGAGAGACTAGGGCTATTGACAGGCTTACGCTGGATCGCGCGATCACGGCCGGAGTCTTTTCTTGGAATGGATTCCAGAGATATAGCAGATCGGCAATAGTTTCGAGCAAGTGGAGTACTCTCCGCTGAATTGCTGTCCTTTTTGTTTGAAGATGAGGGCCCGAGGATAGGACTGGAGGAACTTCCTGTATCGACACGCCGTTTTCCCGAGAACCGTGTAGGAGTGTCCGGGTAGTGGACCAATGCAGGGTTAGACCTCTGGGTGACAGCAAAAGTACTGCCAGGGCTATCTGGACCCATGATCAATTTCTCGGCTGAGCGAGCAATTCTTAGCTTGGGACCGTAGAATCTCTCTCCAGGTTTATGCAACATACGTGTGCGATATTCGCCAGTAAAAACATTCTGAGGGCGTTGAGCAGCGTCATCGTCGCCAAAATCCCAGTCACTGATAGAGGATGAAGAACAGCTCTTACGATCCTTTCCTTTTTCTTCGTTGGTGGCGCTCTCCTGGTCGGGAACAGCAAGCTGTTCGTCCGAAGAAGGCTTGGGACGAGGCCCATTGGGCTTGTCTACCACGCGGATTCCGCCGGCGAAGCTTCCACTAGGAGTAACACGAGGGCTACCCATAGCTTCCACACTATGCCTGCGGAGAGTAATAGGAAGCGGGATTGAACTGCGGATGTCAGGTGCGGCCCTGACTCCTCTAAGAGAAGCAGATTGAGCTCCTTGGCTAGGCTTCTGAGGAACACCCCGAGGGATACGGGTTGAGCTGTTGGAACTCAGAAGTCTGAGCTCTTGCGTCTCTTGAGCCATGGGTCTGTCACGAACGTTCTCTGTTAGATAGTTAGCTGGATCTCTATGGTGTATGACATTAATAGGGGAACGGTTCTTGATACCTTTATTACGGTCGAATCTGGACGGGTTCAAAAGGGGCTTGTCTTCGTGGCTCGCGGAGAACCTAGGCTTCGATTTCTGTACGAATGGATCGGTGGTGTCTGCAGGAGATCACTCAGTACGCTGATTGAAAGAGGCTTCCTGATCCAAAGGCAAGAGAATGATCTTGTCTGGTCCAGCTGTTATGAGGGAATATGGATTACCTTTTTCTTGAGGTCCGCCTTTCTTACCAGGCTGAAGCGCGGAGCCCTTGTCTCCAGCCATGGGTGAGTCTGTGAACGTATCCTGCTCAGCTGTCTGTTTGGACGACATCTCGCGGATGGCGTTTACGTTGGACAGGGTGATTGTGGTGTCTGAAGGGGCAGTAGAAGATGAATCGGATGAGGGATCGTCAGGAATGGGGGTAGGGGAACGGTGATGGCAACAGGTGTTTCGAGTAAGAAAAAAAAAAAAGGAACTTTGACGAGCGAGGGCCGGCGAGGGAGTAGTTGGGGGGGTGGGCAAATCGTCCTCCTCGTCAACAAAGGGGATTGTGTTGTCCTGTGCTAGAACCACCCAGTCCCGGAATGGTATCAGTGAGGAACGCACTTTGCGTTCTTCATCCTCTTCATTCACTTCATTCACTTGGTCCAAAACTGAATACCTCGATCCAGGCGTCTTCCCACTGGGATTTCTTACACCTGACCGTCGCTTCTGGTCCCCCAGGATTTTCTTCTGTGTCTAATCGGCGTCAGCTGATATAGGCCTCCAGAAACCCATACTCCTGGGGGATCCAAACTCACGCTTGCAACCGAAAGGCGCTTCGGATCTCTGGGTGGTATGTCAAACCACGTCGAATCATCCTTGAGAGTGATAATTCGGCATCTCGGTATATACTAACAATCACAGTCCATCATCAGCGATTTTTCCTGAATCAGAGATAGGACTTTGATCTACCTCGCTCACCTGGCTACTCCTCTTCACAACCATCTTGGGTGATTCGATTCTCATACCCATCTTCTGCAGCATCTTCGTTTGCATGAATTGCCGCGCCGCACTTTGTCATCCCTTCCTAACTTTAGATTGAGGGTCCATGATCACTCCCAAGATCCTGTGGGGCCTTGACTGGTGTTCATTCTCAGACTTCTTTGCACTTGATCCTCCCTCAGCGATACTTGATGTTCTCGATTGGCGTTTAGTGGCTCGCGGGCGATACACCACGGGCTGGATCTGTCTTGCACGAGCAGTACACATAAACCTAGGACCTCCAGTCACTTCGCTGTCAGAGGCCCAGTTTGGCTTGACGTTACGAAGCTCCAGTCTTCTTTTGGGGTGACCTTGTGGCGTGGAAGTCGACCTTACCGAAGAGCCGTTGTTGTCTGCTGGTACAGGTACAGAGGACTTGCCTAACGGCCGTCGACGCTCCAGAGACCCAGAGACTGTGGGCACGTCATTTCATAGCATCATATTAGGAGCTGATGCATTCCCTTTGAGCTGGCGTACAGTTCTCTTGTTCAGAGCTTGCTGTTGTTGGGTGTTTTCAGCAGCTGGTCCTGCGCCAAGTCTGCGCTTCAGTATAGGGGCAGAAGCTTGACTCCTCGGGTTTAGGGTCGCCGGTTTTTGTTGCATCTTGGATGACACCCTGTTGGAATCCTGCGAGGCATTCATGATAGTAGCCTATGATCCCACAAGGGTGAGCAGACCCTGCGTTTGTGAAATGGTCCTTAGCAACGGCTTCTAGCATGAAATGGTATGAGAACTTGCCTGAGATATATCTGGACAAGACTGGCTCCTCGCAGAATTGAATGAGGAAGTCCTAGTACAAAGCAGCCTAGGAAGCACTCTTGAATCAAAGTGAGCTGTCGAGTCATGCGTGGATATGTCTCTGATAGATGAGCTTCTACGAAAGGCGAAGGGTTGGGGCATGTTATGGAAGCTTTGTCAACGAACGGGAAATGACAAGGATTTGATGATGGTCGAAGGATGAGTTTTGACTCAGAATGGTTCTGTTCACCGGTGTTCAGTGTGCGAAACAGACAAAGCTGTGCTTCACTGTTTTGTAGATATGGCAGCTTAAGCGACGCGATACCTAATTAGGAAATCAACAGTGTTCTGTTGCGGGCACGGGCCACCGGCATTAGATCCATTGTATACATGTTCAGGTCCGTTAAAGAACGACCTGGTCACTGCCTATAAGCACGTCATAGACCTTTGGCAGTGTGTAGTATCTCATTGATCCTACGATGTCTCACACTACTTTACAGCAGCATCGACCTTCAGTAGACACTACGATATCTGAGTAAATCTGATGCTTTGAAAGTATTTAGTCACCATTGCATACCCATATTTCAGACTCAACATTGTAGCTCTCTCCGAGCCTATACAGTAAACTTGAAAACTTATAGGGGTAAACAGGTGAGGAAAAGACTCAAGGCTCATTAGTGCTAAAAAACAGTCTAAGCATGTATTACAGTCTTTTAGCCTATCGGTAATATGATAAGATGAATATCATCAAGCATCCTCCACAGACGTATGGTGACCACGCTTGCGTTTTCCAGGAGCGTGGATCGACGAGGCGCGGCGCGCCTCATGGCTCCCATCATTTGTCCATTCGCTGATCTCCCATTCGATTCTGGTAGACTGGTCATCGCTCATTCCAATCCCACGTCTTGTTTTCATCAGCCGCCCCAGTCGACTTCCCTCAATCATCTCCTCAAACCAAGGGATACCGTCCGTCGTTCCTTGGCGAAAGCTGCGCGCGACATCCATTTCGCCTCCTGACGAAGGCACGGGTGCAGTAGAGGATGTGGCCTGCACCGCTGGCGAGACGGTCACCTGCTCCGCCTGGGGAGAGGTTTCCGTCTCGACTTCTTCTTCAGAGGAGGACTCCGGGAGAAGATCCAGATCTTCCAACAACCGCTGATCGTTTCCATCCAGGCTTCCGACGGTAACGGACATGTAGTCGGCCTCTTCGCGGGGATGCTCGCTCCAGTAGCTTAAGGGGGTGCCGCAGAACCCGCAGAAGACGCGCTGGGTATGCGGTGCGTGGTGAGGAGAGAAGATCCGGCGGATCGTGCCATGTGTTTCGTCAGGGAAGAAAGATTGAGTATGGGATTGGTACCATGTCAACGGTACGCGGAGCCATGCTGTGAGAGGAGTACCGTGAAATCTTCCTGTGGAGAGACCTTTTGTTAATGGTGTCCAAGATGTACGAAGTGTGATGGGTAGGGTTCAGCAGCGGAGAGTGATGACATACGATTGTCGCGGCTAGTGTCAAAGTAGATTTGAGCGTCACTGGTTTGGTCCTGGGGAATTCGAATAATGTACTGGTTGCGACCACATAAGCAGGAGCCATGGAGGGGCTCGTGGGTTGTCATTTTTGTGATCAATTGTGGTGACCTGCTGTATGAAACTGATGGCCGTGCGACTAGTGTCGTCGATCTAGTATGAGGTCATCGGCCACGTCGTCAACTGGCGGTAATTGAAGAGGGAGAGAGGCGTGTCTGCCTGCAGCAGGACGGGCACCAGCTAAATCGATGGAAGACAATGATAGTGAGCGACCCGGATGTCTATCACTGAGAGGGATGGATGAAGATCTACAGCTACCGTAGGTATTGTCAGGATAGTCGATGACGTGAAGGGCCAAGCCTCCGGATGACAACGGCTTGGCATCCCTCGATCCGGCAAGTCGACTGGATGGGGATTAGTCTGGTTCTCCGCAGAGAGAACCTGGGGTGTCTTTACTTATTACCTAGGTAGTTACCTAGTAGGTACTAATTCTTTCTCAGTACCAAACGTTAGACTCCTCGGGTCTCCCCTGGTTCAAGCGGTTTGGTTGCCTGTTCTGAAACACCAGGGGTTTTGTCCCTCTTGCATTCCTTCGCATTTCTTGTGGTTTTCTTTTCTTCTTCGTTCCTTCGCTCCCTATTCCCATCTTCTTTCTGTCGGTCTTTTCATTTTGATTTTTGTTTTCGCCAGTCCTCACGCTGAACAAGGTGTTCTGTTTGGTTCCCTTGCCTTCTTTGCCCTAGCCTGTCCGCATTAATTGTCAAGGCTGCTGCTCCGGCGGGTGAATCGACCTCTCTCCTCACAGTCACATGAAAATCCCACCCTCGACTATCATCAACCACTCTACCACCAACAACTCCCAATACACCCACCACCATGCCCGCGCCTGCTTCCAGCTCGTCCGAGACGTCTTATTCTCCCAACGCCGCCAGTGTGGGCCTCAATGCAGACGACCGCGATGACCGGTCTTCGTCCACTCCCACAGCATCCAAGGTCGGCGGCTCCGGCCCTGACAAAGAGAAGCCCCGCCTCACCGAGCAAGAAAAGAAGAACAACCATATTGCCTCTGAACAGAAGCGTCGGGCTGCCATTCGCGAAGGCTTCGATCGGCTGACGGAACTGGTCCCGGGATTAGAGGGCCAAGGCCGCAGCGAGAGCATCGTGCTGCGGAAGACGGTCGACTTCATCCACCTGCAGCTCCGGGAGCGACAGGAACTGATCGCGGAGATTGAGCGCCGCGGCGGTCGCATCGATGATACGTTCCGACCATGACGGGGGTTGAAACACCCTCTGCATGTTGGGATCCGCGCGCGGCAGTGATGCGCCGGCAGTTGCGCTGCCTACCGAGGTCCGATCGGATATGAGTGCTATGATCTTGATGACTTGATTTGTGTTTGGGAGTGCCTTACAGAGGGAGGAATCGTGTGTTTGATACGATTGTCGAGAGGAGGATCGAAAATACAGAAAAGAAGGCGGAATTCTTCTCTCAGTTTCCTGCTGCTCTGTATAACATGGGTTATCTCCTTTGAGGCTGTCCTGGTGATTTTCATCTATTGTGAAGACGGACTTCATGGCGAACAAGGAATTTCATGTACACGCTTTTACTGCGGTTTAGGCATCTGTCGAGCTTGGTGTCGGGGCGTTGTTGATCATTGGACATGGCTGTATACGCACTGTGACAGCCTCATGTCGGTTGCTTTTGTTTTTATCATTAGGTATGGAAAGTACACTCCAAATTGATATTCGCTTCATAGCTGGTCGTCCTTAGCTGGTGTTGCAGCGGCAGGTCAATGATATGCCGGTTCATGGTGTATACCAGTAATAAGAACCAATGCTCAAGATCACATCATCATCATCATCATCATCACACCAGCATACCACTATCTTTTCTTGTGGCAGCAGAAATTAGTAACAATATAACATGGTTAGAGAATGATTAGCGACCAAGTGTGACTTGTTCAGAGAGCACTACCAAAGATATATATTATGAGTACACCTTCATAACGTCCACTCAAGTCATATGTACAACTATCAGAACAACCTCTCCAGAACCACGTATTTACAATCTATATCTGGAAATAAAACAAAAAGACAGAAATACGTAGCATGTACTTGTCAAACAATCGTTATCAATATCGGGATTCTGCCCCACCTCACCGCCCCTCTATCACGAATCGAGTCACCGTTTTGCTTCAGCCCACCTCACCCCTCAATCCCCATTGCAACCCCTCAAACCATCGACCAACATGTCCGACTCCAAAGAAGGCCTGCTCGCCCAGGCCGAGCCCGCCGACCCGCCGCCCGCATACGACGCGCACCCGCCACAACGCAGCAGCCTGCCGCGCCCACCACCCCTCGCGCTGCCGGTGCTGAACGAGCTGCGCAACAAGCGCGTGATTCTCGCCTCGTCATCGCCGCGCCGGCGCCAGATCATGTCGCTGCTGGGCCTGCCCAATCTCGAGGTTATCCCGTCGAACGCGGCGGAGGACTTCCCCAAGACGATGGAGCCGTTCGAGTACGTGCTCGCGACGGCGACGAAGAAAGTGCACGCCGTCTACGAGCAGGAGATCGTCAACGAGGCCCAGGGCGAGCCGGGCCTGATCCTCGCCGCCGACACCATCGTCGTCGACACCGTCTCCGGCACCATCCTCGAGAAACCCCGCTCCGAGGCGCAGCACCTCACCATGCTCAAGACGCTGCGCAATAACCGCGACCATAAGGTGTTCACCGCCATGGCGGCCATGGCGCCCCTGGCGAGTGCGCGCCAGCCGGGCTATGTGCTCGAGACCGCTATCGAGGAGTCGACGGTGCGGTTTGACACGGAGGTCACGGATGAGTTGATTCTGGCGTATGTGCGGACGCGCGAGGGTGCGGATAAAGCGGGCGGGTATGGGCTGCAGGGGCTGGGGTCGATTCTGGTCGAGAAGATCGATGGGAGTCACGATAATGTGGTGGGGTTGCCGTTGCGGGCGGCGCTGAAGTTGATGGAGAAGGTGTTGGCCAAGGCGGATGATGATGATCGGTTGTCTGGAAACGAGGGCTCCGATGAGGAGTTGGAATGAGGCTGAGAGGTGGGTACTTCGGTTGGCACATCTTGGATACCACTGCATTGGGATAGACGCTGGTCGTTCTAGATGTGATGTTTTTACGGCTAGAGTCACAAAACGTACAATATCCAATTCAACTGTTACATGTCTTTTCCGGCTCAATAAAACACCAGTCACCGATAGAACGGTCTACTGAAACAATTCGCATATACATAGGCAGAATGCCTGAACAGAAGGAAATATCAAAGGAAAGAAAAAAGGTATATCAATGCACCGTCATCTACGCCTTCCACACACGCTTGATGGCCTCCGTCACACCAACGTCATTCGTCTCGAACTCGTAGAGACCGACAGCGGTGGTGAGAGTGAATGCACGCAGAAGCCAGTTCAGGAACGTACGGAACTTGGGGACACGACGCTCGGGGAAGTAGTCAATGATGGAGGCCCTGTCGAGTATGAGTACTTAATACAGGAACAAAGGACCGCTTTGACTGAAGACGTACTGGAAACCGATGTGGGAGTGAACAACCAAGAGAGAGCAGAGAACGGCATCCATGACAGGGTTCAGGGAGCCGGCAGCGAAAGGAGCGATAGTAAGGGGGATCAGACCAACAGAGACGAGTCTAGATGTGTGAGTTAGTCTGGGTCTGTTGCCTTGGATTCGAATGGTGAACAGACCTCTCGAAAGTCCAGTGGTAGCTACCGTGGGAGGGGGAAGGCTTCGGGATGGGAGCCGGGTCGTTCACTAGATGCTGGTTAATGCGGGTTCTGGATCGATAGCATGTGCGACTAGGACGGATAGGCGGAGATGCTGAAATTCAGGTTTCCGAAGTATTCCACCGACTATCGATCGCATTGAGAAAAGGGAGCGTGGGTTCACATACTGGTGCCCTGGACGACCTCTGTTCCGAAATTTCGTTAGCCATCTCTCCGCAATTCATCCCCACGCTACATTGGCTGCCGCAACCACCCGCAACCACTCTAACCAGCCATATTGCAACACTTATCACAAGCACAGGGATCACTCACGAGGAAGGGGAGGGAGAATCTGCTTCTTCGCGGAGGCGTGGAAAGCCACGACCTGCGAGACACCCGTGACATTCTTGGCCGCCAACGGGGAGCGGAAAGCCGACAGACAGGTCTGGCGGAGGAGGGGAGACTGGCGCGCAATCGAAGCCATGGCGAAGAGCGGAATAGTGGGAGTAGAGAGGAGAGGGACTGCGACACGAGACAGAGATGCAGACAGACAGGTCGTGAGGTCGAAGTCGTGAAGTCGAGATGGTCCGGCAGGAACCTCGGGAGGTCCGATCGGGAATGCGGTCATCACATTGTCGCCGCACTGATTGGCCCGTTTCTCTCCGCCCAGCCGAAAGTGTCCGACACCCGGCAATTCCTTTCTTACTACTTAATCCTTGACATTATTACTTGCTATTCCTTGCACGACGAAACAACACTGGTACTTTTTGATCATCAGTTTGTTTAGTACTAGCCCTAGAGGTATATACAATGACTCGGAGAATACTGTCATTCGATTTATTTTCGTCATTCGTTACAGGTTCTGATAACCGAGACCGCAAGGACAGCCGCTTGCCGCCCTGCAGAATGTTTTTGCGGCCCCAGCACTCATACAGACAACGATCATATCCTCATACCGTCTTGCTTAAAACTTCAGAACAGCCTTGCCCTTGTTCTTGCCATAGAAGATACCCACCAAGCCGTCAGCGGCATTGTCGATACCCTCCGTCTCGTGGATGAGGGCCTTGAACGAGCCCTCCTTGATCCACTTCTGCACGTTCTTCTGGTGCTCCTCGGTGTACTTGTCACCCATACCCTTGTCGCTGACGATGAATCCGCGCATGTCCAGACGCTTGATGAGCACGTTGTGGATGTTCTTGATCGGGTAGGGCTCCGAGTTGTACTGGGAGATCAGACCGCACACCACGATGCGGCCGAAGTTGTTGAGGGCATCCAGGGCGGCCTCCAGGTGCACACCGCCGACGTTCTCGTAGTAGATGTCAATGCCCTGGGGAGCAAGGCGGGCGAGCGCATCCTTGGGGGTTTCTTTCTTGTAGTTGAAACCACCATCGAAGCCGAGGTCCTTGGTGATGTACTCCAGCTTCTCGTCCGATCCGACACTACCGATGACCTTCAGACCCTCATGCTTGGCAAGCTGGCCGACGAGCTGACCGACAGCACCGCTGGCGGCGGAGACGAAGATGGTCTCGCCCTTCTTGGGCTTTCCGATCTCGTAGAGGGAAGAGTAGGCGGTCAGACCGGGCATGCCCAGAGCGCCAAGGAAAACGCGGACGTCCTCAATGCCCAGGGGGTTGTCGAGGGGCTTGATGGAGGCGAGCTGCTCCGCACCCAGAGCAACATACTCCTGGATGGGCATGTAGCCGATGACGAGATCACCCTCCTTGTAGTTGGCGTTGTTGGAGCGGACAACCTTGGCAATGGACGCGCTGTCGATGGGCTTGTTCAAAGGGAACGCGGGGCTGTACGACTTGGTCTCCGCGGGGCGCATGCGGCCACGCATGTAAGGGTCGAAGCTGGTGTAGAGGGACTGCAGGACGACTCCATTCTCCGGAGCAGGGGTGTTGGCATCGTACGAGGCCTGCTCGATCACGATGTGCTCCCCGGGGACGGGGTATCCCTGAGGGACCTTCTTGAAGACAAGAGCCTTGTTGGACATGGTGGATGAAGTGTACGGAGTATGCGGTGAAGCTCTGTAGATTTAGGAGAGTAGAAACAGGGAGATTGAAGACCGATGCCTAACCGAGGAGAGGGGAAGCGATATAATGATTTAAATACCTAGGCAAAACGCAGGATGCAACACCTTTGATTTATAACCACCAACCCACTCTCCGGAGGAAGCGGGGCAGTCCCAGAAAATCTGTGAAGATTAGAAAGCAGTAGTCATGCAAGAGAGAAGCTTCTCGAGATCCAAGATCGACCGTCCTTCCATGTTCAACGGACCTTCTCTCACACCATGGTTCGCTCCGGGAGATCCAGACCCCTTCCGTTTGCGTCCCAGAACAAGAGGTTCTCTCTGTAGAACATGGGACGGGACAATATTCTGTCCGAGAGCCCACTCTGTCTTGACGTTGCTGTGAAAATCGCCTGCAATGGTAGTCTGGGTGGAGCTACGCGGTGAGTGGAAGTGCTTGAGAGATCGGACGAAATACACCTTCTGGGCAAGAGAACCGTCGGGGTGATCAGAAATCCTTTTCGCGGCTCGGAGATGTTTCTGAATGGAGTGTTCATAGCGGGAGAAATGCGCCTTTGAAATTCATCGCCACTATGGGACAATTCCCATCCGGTTCTGCATAACTGTCCCAAGGTATAACATTATTGTCACGATGATGTTGGAATGTTCTTTCATCAACGCCAATCACGATGAGGTCATTAATTTGGGGTTAGGTTGTTAGTCAGCAATTCCCACCACCTTATTCTTCCTTAGCCTCGGTTGAGTATCATAATCATTTTTCAAAGCATGGGAGTAAAAGCCTAATTCAACACTTTGAAAATCTATCGCGGTTGTTCCTTTGGTACTACAAACCTTACATAGTATCATGAACATGTCTCTGTCGCCCAGGCATCGTGTTTCCCATTAGGTGTGGTGGTGGTGTTCTTAAACGCTCTTTATGAAATTCACTGTCGTTGACTTGAATGTCTTTAATGGGACTTGACGCAAGTCTATGGGGAATTCAAATGGGAGATATTTGCGATTATGAGTATTCGGCAGTACAATCATGCGTATCTAATAATGCTGTGTTCATGCGCAGCCGCAGCATGTCACCGACAGTCCCTACATCCCAATCATTTGGGAGTCGCAGAGAATTACTGCAGCCACACTCGGGATCACAAATCAGAATCGCTCCAGGTTTATATAAACAAGGACAAACTAACTACTCCGTACAGGAAAACAGCGTTAAAATCTGCACATTATGAGCTTCGAAGCACATCTGTATTATCTAGGGAATGATGCAGCGACAGCATTTGACCCCGGGTCATGCTGCAGTTTGGGTGCAAACGGAATATTCTAGATATCATTACAGAGACATAGACCTGTATTGAACATACATTCACTTATGTTCCCGTTGGCATACTCCGTAGTCACTGCGTGGCGTTGGCATGGTTTCATGCAAGGTACTCTTCAAAATCAGGGCTGATCTCCATCACATGATACTTTTGCCTCAGGCTACAATCCTTTTCTGCCCGCTAGACCGCCTTCTGTTCTGGACTGGCCGATTATCCGCCCTGAATTTTCTGCCGGACATTTCTTGTTTTTTTCCGATCCTCCATTGCCTCCCGTTTCCTCTTCACTTTTCTGCTTTGGATTTACAACATTTCATTGCTCATTGAAGAGATAAATTGGTATCTGCATACTCGGATCTACCAAACTGCATCATGTTCGGCGCCCTTCGCCGAAACGCGGTCGCTCATGCGGTGCGCTTTTCTTCTCGGTCTCTCCTGGGTAGAACAATTCCTCAACGGCCACAATGGTATCGCGAATCGTTATCCGTGACTCTTCACGAGATCCGGACATATCATTCATCGACTATCAGCTTCTCGGCTGCTGCGCAAGCCCAGCAACAGACTGAAGACTGGGCGGAAACGCCGGTCCCGACCAGATTTGCAGAGCTTGCCGACCAAGGACTGGTCCATCCCAGGATCATTCGTACAATCACCGCCGAGAAGAACATCAAAACCATGACTGAAGTTCAGAGCATGACAATCAATGAGACATTGTCTGGCCGTGATGTGTGAGTTGCTTTCTTATCCTCTATGATTTCTAATCTAACCTTCAACCTAGACTGGCTCAGGCTAAAACTGGTACCGGAAAGACAATCGCCTTCCTCCTCCCTGTCCTGCAGAACATCTTGAAAGATCAGTCTATAAAGGCGCGCCCATCCAGGAACAATCGTCCTACCCCGTCTGATATCCGTGGCATCATCATCTCACCAACTCGTGAACTGGCTGAACAGATCGCCAAGGAGGCGCGGCAACTGGCGTACGGAACTGGAGTTGTAGTGCAGACGGCTGTCGGAGGAACGCGTAAGAGAGAGCACCTGATGCAGATGAAAAGGCAAGGATGCCATCTCTTGGTCGGCACCCCGGGACGCCTCAAGGATCTGCTTTCCGATCCGTATAGCGGTGTTGCAGCTCCCAACTTGTCTTCATTCGTCCTGGATGAGGCCGATCGCCTTCTGGATGATGGGTTTGCCCCCGATATTCAGGAGCTGCAGCGCATGCTCCCGGACCCGATGAAAGTGGACCGACAAACGCTCTTGTTCTCCGCCACAGTGCCGAGAGAGGTCATGACCATGGTTCGACGGACCATGAAGCCCGATTACAAGTTCATCCGGACCGTCAAAGAAGACGAAGTGCCTACTCATCTAGCTGTGCCCCAAAAGGCGGTCATTCTCGATGGTTACCAGAACGCGTTGCCCGCCATCCTGGAGCTGGCCAAAACCTATGCCGCTGAGCCGGCCAACAGAGGCCGCCCTTTCAAGGCGATCGTCTACTTCAACTCGACTAAGCAAGTCCGGATCGCCTTCGAAGTGTTCCTCGAGCTTCTCAAGGGTCGCGATAGTCCCCTGAAAGCCCACGGCCTCGGCACGCGTATTTACGAGCTGCACTCTCGTCTGTCCCAGGATAAGAGGACTCGCACGTCCGAATTCTTCCGGGAGAGTCGCAGTGCCATTCTGTTTTCTTCCGATGTGACTGCCCGCGGTATGGATTTCCCTGGGGTCACTCACGTGCTGCAAGTTGGACTTCCCCGTGACCGTCCGACCTACATCCATCGTCTGGGACGAACGGGACGTGCCAACCAGACCGGTGAGGGCTGGATTTTCCTCCACAGGGGAGAGATCCCTGTCTCCAGAACGAGATTGTCTGAACTCCCCATTGAGGTCGATTCGTCGTTGTCGATGGCTACTGCCAACATGCGCGAGCCGCTCGACGCCGACGAACCGGAGGGAGAGATCATCACTCAGATCAACAGCGCGATGTCGAAGATCCCCGACGACTCCAAGGCAGAGGCCTATCTGTCGCAACTGACGGGCTCTATCTCCGCGTTCGACAAGAAGAACGTCCTGGCTCAGGCTATGAACGACCTCGCGGTTTACGGCTACGGGCTGCCATCGCCCCCTGAGATCCCGTACCCAATTGCTCAGAAATCTGGCCTTCTCCGAGTCCAGGGTCTCCAGCTCGACCGTCCTGTGAGCAATGACCGCAGGCCTCGGCGCAGCCGGGACGAGAGACCCTACGGACGGCCTAGACGCCAGTCACGTTCCCGCTATTGATCGTCTCTGTCTGCATGAAAGATACCACCAATATTCGACTGCATTGGGCGGCGTTACTACTGTTTCGAACGGCACCGGATCCAACAACCAACTCTTCTCCCCGTGTATTATATCGTTAATTTTGATAAGGATTGTGCGGACATGTTACTTCTATGTTGCAATATACCCGGCGCGTCAGGTCAGGCTAAGCACATAAGGCATCATTTTGTACAGGGCTGCATTCAGGCGTATAGATCAATCAATCACTCTTCACCTACTCGATGCTGCGTCCGTACTACTCCCCAACTAACCCATAGGTACAGTACACACAGGAAACTCCAACCGCCGATGCAACCTCGCCACAATCTCAACATAATCCCTCTCATTCTCCGGCGTCACAACCCCATGCCGCACCAAGAAATCCACCACAACCACCGCACTATTCGGCTTAAACTCGCCCCTCCGCAGCGCCGCAACAACCTCCTCAATCCCCCACAACCTAAACTCCGCGACCTCACCATCCCCCGGCCGCGGCTCCTCCCCCTCCCCCAGCTCCATCTCGTACGTATACTCGACCTCAGGCTGCAGCAGGCCCGTCTCGCCGCCGGCGTCCGCGCCCCGCACATGGAAATACGACACACACCCGGTCGCGCGCACGCGCGCGCGCACCGTCTCCGCCGCCAACGACGCCTCCTCGGCCGCCTCGCGCACCACGCCCTCCACCGGCCGCATCCGCGCCGCCAGCCCGCCCGCCGCCGTGCAGTCCAGCATGCCCGCGTACGTCTGCTTCGCGGCGGCGCGGCGCGCGATCCACAGCGCGAGCCCGCCGTCCCGGCAACGCACATAGCACAGCAGCTGCACGCCGTAGGTGACGACGCCGAACAGCGCGCTGGCGGCGCGCTCGATCTCAAGCAGCACGTCGCCGCGTGGCCCGTACACGGGGAAGGTCTCGTTGCGCCAGCCGGAGAGGAGGGCGAGGCTGCGGGCGGCGCGCGTGTCGTGGAGGGTCTGCGCGAGGCGCTGGGTGCGGGCTGGCGCGGGCCCCGGCGCCGTCAGCGTGACGGTTTTGGACGTGTGGTTGATGCACCACCATTCTGGGGACCAGATGATCTGTGGGATGATGGATGCGGGGATGTAGCCCAGAGGCGTGGGACAGTCGGGTAGTCGGAAGACGTAGTAGGTTTGGAGGCTTTGGGTGTATTTTATGGGGTCTTCGGTGGGGTGGATGAAGCTGTGGTGGGTTGTTGGTTACTGGTTGGGATGGGGGTGAGATGTGGAGGTATGGGGCGTACTTGTCGCATTCTTTGACGATGTCGAGGATAGTTTTTGGCATTTTGCGAGTGTTTATTTGCGTATGTTGGTGCATGCATCCTGCGGGAAGGATGTCTGTAGATCTATTGATGTAGATGACAGGTGTCAACTGGTTATTGCGTATAGCCCGACTGACGGATATTTGAAGCTGTTTCTTTCTGTAAATAGCTCGTTATCTCACGACCTGGTCAGGCTTATGTCTATATATCTTTCAATCTGATTAGAGCAAAAGAACGCGACTATATCTTAGTAGAGAAAGCAATTAAACCAGTCGAATCAAGAGAGTCCCAATTACTTCCTCACACTGTATACAGACTCTTGTTCGACAGTATTAATACATCAAAGAATCATCAACACAAACAAAAAAAAATTCTATTCATCTGCCGTCTACCGTACCAGACATCATCAAAATCGTCGATATAATTGCAATAGATCATAGCACAAACATACAAAGGACACGCCAGATTTCAATGGCACGCCAGAATGGGGATCAGGGAATCAACCTGTCTTACTTTTATCTCTATCATCACCACACAATCTACTCGCGGCAGATCATGTCGTCTCTAGCGGGACCGGTACCGATCCATTTCACAGGCACACCGCCCAGTCCGCGCTCAATGTACTCGATGTAGGCGCGGGCGTTCGCCGGGAGGTCCTCGTACTTCTTGACGCCCATGGTGTTGCTCTTCCAGCCGGGCAGAGTGATGTACTCCACCTGGACCTTGTCCAGCACCTCGGCATCGGCCGGGATCGTGTTCTCCGTGCGGGTGCCGTCGGGGAGGATATAGGCGACGCCGACCTTGATCTCATCGAAGTCGTCCAGCACATCCAGCTTGGTCAGGTTGAGAGCGGTGTAGTGGTTGATGGCCTGGGAGTAGCGGCACAGGACCAGATCGAACCAACCGCAGCGGCGACGACGGCCGGTCGTGACACCGAATTCCCTGCCGACAGACTGCAGCTTGTCACCGAACTCGTTCAGCTGCTCGCTGGGGAAGGGGCCGGAGCCGACACGCGTGGTGTAGGCCTTGACGACACCGATGATCGACGAGATGCTGGTGGGGTTGAGCGAGAGGGCCTGCACAGCACCGCCCAGGCCGGTGGACGAGGAGGTCACGAAGGGGTAGGTACCGTGGTCCAAGTCGAGCATGAGGGCGTTGGCGCCCTCGACAAGGGTGTTGGGCGAGTCCTTGTATTTCTGGAGGAAAGCCAGCTGGTCGACGATGTGAGGGCCGAGAATCTTGCGGTACTCCTTGAAGCGAGTGATCTCGTCCTCCACGTTGTACTCCAGGTCGCCGAAGCGCGCGCGGTATCCGCTCTCGAGGTTGCGCAGCTTGCGCTCAAACAGCGCCTCATCCAGGATCTCTCCGACACGGATACCCCGGCGGGCGGCCTTGTCACTGTAGCACGGGCCAATACCCTTGCCGGTGGTGCCGACCTTGCGACCGCCGAGGCGGGCCTCCTCAAGACCGTCAACGACGGAGTGCAAGTCGAGACAGACGTGGGCGCGGTCCGCAATGAAAACGCGCTTGCTGGCGCCCTGCAGGCCCTTCTCCTCGAGAGCGGCCAACTCCTTGAAGAAGCTGGGAACGTGCACCACAGTACCCGCGCCGATCAGGTTCACGCACGACGGGGAGATCAGACCGGAGGGAAGGATGTGGAAGTCATAAGTATTAGAGCCATGAACAATGGTATGGCCGGCATCTAGACGCAAGGTTAGCCTCGTCGAGACGGAGACACAGCCTCGACTCACTGTGGCCGCCAGCGGCACGGCAGCAAAGCGTAGCCTGCTGCGAAAGCATGTCCGTAATCTTTCCCTTTCCTATAGTCGAACAATTGCAGTCAGCATGAGGTTGTCACTGCGACCATCCGGACGGAACTCATTGCGCACCTTCATCACCCCACTGACTACCGAGAACGATTGTGACACCCATGATGATTGCGCGACGGTCAGACTGTTTCAAATCTGATCGCAATAGGCCGATTGATGGTTCGAACTGGTTCAATTGGCGGGACAGAGTACGAGAGAGTCAAGTGGTGATTCACAGGATATCGATGTGATGGACCGAAACGTTTCCAAATTGAATTCACCGGGGGATCTTGTCGATAATCAGGAATTTACGCCAGATGCGACGAGAGACACAGCAGCAATGGCCAGGGATTGACCCGTACCAGAAGTTGTATGGAGCAGCAGCGAAAAGATCGCGACCGTCAAAGACCAAAAAGCCGAAAAAAGAAAGGGAGGGGAGCCCGCGGAGGCCAACTTAATATAAGGCTTCTGCCGTGAGTCACTATTACCGACGGTATGCCTCCGGTTTCTTTCACCCGCCGTCGCTGGCAGTCGCAGGGTCTTCCAGCGTACCGTTTTGTCCCGTCATTTTTCCCCTTCGGCGGGGCAGAGTCGCCGTATCGGGAAGGTGGCGGCCTCAGGTGCCCGCCGTTATCGGCCCAGGGTTAGGGCTCGGGGTTAGGGCCAGCCCAGTCACGGATGCTTTCCATTCTCCTGATTACGATCAAGGCTTCACTCTCAACAGGATATTATTATACAATAGTAGATCAGGGCCCTAGATCACTAAATCACGGATATGAATCATGACGCAACCCCGCCAAGCAATGTCCTCTAAGCTCTGCGCCCGTCCATGTCCAAATCCAACGCCATCATGCAATAAAGATCATAGATCATACCCATCAACACCAAGACAATCTCCCCGTATCGCATCGCCTCAGATCAGTCTGCCTCCATTCAAAATCCACTCGCGCATCTTGCCCAGTTTCAGGATACATTCGCGATGCAACTCGCGCGCAACGTCCCAATGCTTCTGCACCTTGGCGTCTTCGTCCAGACCGCGCAAGTACGCGCTGTACCCGCCTTTGGCACTCCCTGCAACCATATTATCGTCACTCTCATCTCCACTGGCCCCCTTTCCGCCATCCTCCTCGTCGTTCTGCGCATTGACCCGGAGACGTGTGGAATCCCCGACAGAACCAATCCAGTTGGGCGCCATCCCCGTCTCTATCGCCTCCTGTCGGGCATTAAAATGAGTCAAGATACGCCTGTTGAAAGCGTTCCACTCGCGCATGTAGCTGTTCATCTCCAAAACATATCGGTCCCAGGCCGCCCGCGGCAGCCCAAGTTGAGAAGATCCCACGCTGACAGGGACCAACTTTGGCGGCTCGGGCCGTTTGGGGGGATTCGGGCAGATGAGCTCACGCGCACGAATATCTTGCACCGCGGTTCGAGGCACCTTGGCCCGGGATTCGAATGGAAGACTCGCCTGGATGTCCTGGAGGTCATCGATACCACCATTGTTCCCGCATGTAAACGGGACTGTGTTTCCAAGATTCTTCATGTCGAACAGTTTGCTCGCGCGCTGGGAGTTGTCTTTTCCTTGCCCACTAGACGTGGGCCGAGATTTAGGGCCTTCATTCTCCTTCCCGGAGTCAGAAGTTGATTGCGGAGCACCAGTATTCACGTTGGCCGGCTTTGCAGGGACGTCATCATCCAGGTCCATCGCTTCCCCGTCTTCAGCAGCTCGTGCAGAGGGATTACCACCACCCACTGTCGATTTGGATTCCTCGGCCTCGGTTGAGACACTGGCGGGCTGTGGTGCAGAGCGCAATTTGGTAGCTGGTCGCGCTGGTTTTCGTGGACTCCGCGGGCGCTGGGCGTTTGCTGTATGCTGCTGCTGGGCTCCATCCTCCATTGGCATGGAACGCAGCATGTCCCGGAATCTTTCTGCCCAATCATCCTCCCAGACACCTGGATCGAACTTTGCCTCGGCAAATGGGGTGGGCTTCTGTTGGGAAGCGGTCTCCGCGGACTCGCGAACCGATTCATTCGAGGGCTGGGATGCCGGTGCAGGGGTAGTTCGGTTTGAATCTCCAACTCCTCCTGGAGGCCGTAGATCCTCTTTTGAACTGGGGGAACTGGGGGGAAAAAAGGTGGAATTGCCCCAGTCCTCCACTGAAAATGGTCTACGGAGATTATCCTGGCTACTACTCTTGAAGGCGCCGCTAAACCGAATGCATTGTCAGTAGACGTCCTAAACAATACAAGTACACGGGGGATAACATACGGTCCAAAAGGTTCCGTACCAAACGGCCTCCCTGAGGAAGCTGTATCGTCAGAGTCTGCACAATCACGGTTAGTGCTTGGTTCCACGCGTTCCCGGCCACAGATGGGGCCATCAATGGCCGTTCTCACCATTTTTAAAGCTTGCTCCCTGACTTGTACGGAAGTCGGAGAATTTCTGGTGACGGTGGAGTCTGCTCTTCGGGACAGCCTTGGGCTTATAGGCGAAAGGACGGGCATCATCAGAGTCGGAAAGATCACTGGAGCTGGTGGACGTGTAATTCCTGTTATCCCTCTCCTTCCTTACCTTGGGACTGGCACTTCGATGCCTACCCGATTCTGCTGGAGTTGGGCTAGGGGGGCTGGTGCGGGAATGCGATTTGGAGCTATCAGGCGAATTGCGCACGCTTGATGATCGCCCCAGCCATTCGCTGGAGAAGAAAGTCTTCTCTCCTCCAGTACCTGCATACTTGCTACCAGCGCGTTCAACATCCGGCGTCCTTGAGTTGGCGGCTCGATTTCCGAAACCGGCTGCCGCCTTCCGGGAGGTTGGCGAGGGGGCGGCACCGAAAAAGTGAGCCGACTGAGGCCGTTCGGAACGGTGCGCGCTATTATATGAAGCGGTCTTTGCAGCCATAGGCTCATCACCGCCGGCGGCCCGCGGGGCAAACCCTTGCTTCTTCTTGGTGGACGACTGTGGACGCGCTGACGGTTCAGGAGTCGCAGGCTTGCTCGAAGTCTTCGACTGAGACGCAAAGTATTCGTAGGCAGACTTGGACATCCTGGGACTACCGTTGGGGAACTCCGCGCCGCCCGTGCGAGGATTGAACCGTGACCAGCCATTCTTCATATCCTGGAAACCGCGGTAGGCATCCGCCCGCGTCTGTCCGTCATCCTGCCCCTTCTCCCACGGTTGCTTCGGCGCCGCCCGGGCGTAGCTTGCGTATCGTTGAGCACCCGAAGAAGGGCCTTGCTGGTGGAAAGACTGGGGCCGACCGGAGAAGGACTGTTTTGCGGACTGAGGTCTGGTCGAGGCGGTCGAGGCAAAATTATTCGGGGCGGTTTTACGCGGCGTGGTTGGCTTTCCGGGGCCATATAGCTTGCCGTATCCAGCGCGTAGTCGTTCCGTATCGTACCTGAGGCGTTGTTGAGGGTCACCGAGAATCTCATGTGCTGCCTGAATGGCCTGGAACTTGGCGATGAATTCCGTTTCTCTGCCGGGGTTTCGATCGGGGTGGTACTTCAAAGCTAACAAGCCGACAGTCAGCATGTCACCTAACAAGGAATTATGGGGATCATTCTTACCAAGTTTCCGGAACTGCTTCTTGATATCCTCCGTCTCCGCGCTGGGGGTCAGACCCAGGTCCGCGTAGTAGTCCCTCCGTACATCTGCCTTCACCATTATGATTGAACGTCGTGATTCGAGGGCACCCAGATAGCGCGAAGTGAACGTGGATCACCAGAAGTTGAGCGACTCCCAGCAGTCGTCGTGCACATGACCTGGCGCGGGGAGCGAAGAGTCTCAGCTGAACGGGTCGACTCGGTCTAGAAACGAACGACAAAGGCGAGGCGACGGCGCCGGATCGGCAAGGGAATGGTACAGAGAAGACACTTTGGGAGGTCAAATCGGAAAGGAATGGCGCGGAGAGTTGGTTCGATCGCAGAAGGACTGAAGGCGGCGACAAAAATCGCAACAGCGAACGGTTTCTAATCAGTCTAACCCGTAAGCAGAAACTTCAAAACAATCGAAGGTCGAACCGGCAATAAGTACCTCCGAATCCACAGGGAACCTCTTTAACAGTGGTGTCTTTGTCGTGCTGCGGAGGAGTCGTGCGTCCAGGAACCAGGGTGCTTCACGTCCTGTCAACGAAGGGTGAACTTTTCCAGGGCGGTTCGCGAGCGGCGACGATAAACGAACATGTTCTTCCCACTCAAGGGACTCGCATCAACAACGCGCACCCACCACAGGAGTCGCAAACACTTGCAATAGCGTAACAAAGAGATCTGATGGCAGCGATGACCAGAATGAAAGCAAAATCTCAAAAGCAAATAGCATAAAGTCCAGGATCTGGACTTGACGAAATGCGCTGCAGGTCAAGTTGGTCCAAGCGCCGCGATCGAAGATCGGAAGAACTACACGAGTTCGAGTGCAGACTGGTTGACGTGCGGAACACTATTCCCACGACAGGAACAATAATCACCTGGATATTGGGGAATCCCTAAAGCACATCCGCTGTAAAGAAGGAAGCTTGCGTGCGAGCGGAGGAAAGCGAGGAGAAGATCCCCAGGAGAAAGTTGGAGAGTCTCGTTGCGCTCTTTGACGCTGCGGCCCACCGGGCCAACTCAATCTCCCCAGTTTGTGCCCAATTGCTCTGCAGGCCTCATTCCTGGCCGACAGTTTTATATACAGGGACATGTCGAAGTACGCGTATCTCTGTTTTATATATTCAGATAGATATGATGATTATCTGTATTCTTGACATTCTCCATCCTATATATGTATCACGCATGTATACACAACCACCGTATGATATCGACAAAACATCAAGTCAAACCAATTAATACAGTTGCTTCGTGAGATCATTTCGCCCATCCCTTTTAGTGACCTGAAAGACCCGAAGACCGGCGAGACAAAGGGATTTGGAAAGAAAGAATAGAAAAGCCAAACAAAAAGACTGACGACAGGAGAGAAAGAAGTATATCCAGGTATCCGCCAGATGTTAATCTCCAGACGTCCCAGGCCCTGATCCCCCAAAGAAGTATCCTTCCAAAATGTCATAGTTGGCGTTCTCACTCCAGTCGTGTTGGAAATCCACCGCCATTCCAAACCCGAGGTCAATCCCAACACTATGACCGACTCCGTGGCCCAGAGAAGGCATAGCCTGCAAATTGTACTCGGCATTTTCATCGGATCCGAGTGCCATCTGTCCATCCGCTCCGGACGCGTCAAAATCCAAAAAGTCGAGACTCAGTCCGCTAGAGGGATGTTCTTGGTCGGGAGTCTGGAACTGGTTCTGATTGGGGTTGGCTACAACACTATTCGGTGATCCACTTTGCTGAGGGGACCGACCATAATAATACTGTTGCTGCTGCTGCTGCTGCTGCTGTTGTTGTTGTTGCCGCTGCTGCATCTGCGGCGAAACGGGCCCTTCAAAGTTACCGTAATACTCCATGGAGGGCGTGCGATGGGCCGGTGGGCGCGAGGACGACGATTCAGAGTACTCCGGCCGGCTGGCGAAAGACTGCGCGGGCTTTCTTCCCTCGGCACCCGGCCGTTCAACAACATTGCTATTGTCATTGAAGAGATCACCGAGGTTCATATCAAACCTCGGTAACGGTCGCGACTGACGGGTTTGGGTCGGCCTCCGCGGGCCTCCATGAGATCCTCTCTGTCTATCCATCGTATACCGGCCATATTGCCGGGGACGACCAGTATACGGAGCTGTCAATGGATGCGCGGCGGTCGGGTGGGACTGGGCGGCAGAGAGATCGACTTGCGAGCCAAATCCAGTAGTCGATAGGCACATCTGAACCGTCGCCTTGCTCATTCGCTCAAACGCATCCCGACACGCTTCGGCTGGGGGACACTTTTGCATCAGGTCACCCAGAACAGATGTGGCGGCAAGGACAGTGAAATCAACCTCGTCAAGCGTCTAAGGGCTGGTTAACACCACGATCCAGGGCGATATGTTTCTTGACTGGTTGATGCAGGGAATACGTACCAGGCGACTTCGAACCCAAGGGGAATGCCACAGGGCATATAGGAATGATATGCCCGCCATGAATATATGATGCGTGGCCAAGTATGTGTAGTTTACCAGGCGCACACGATGCATCTGGCGATATATCCGAATGACTTTTTGGCCGGCCTCCGCTACTTTGAAGTAGATGTCATCTTCGTCTTCTGCCTCGTCAACATTTGAGAACGAAGGGCTAGAGACATCTTCAGCTGGCGTCACTTCATCAGCCAGTTCGGCGGGGACAGTAAGGCTCTGTTGATATAGCATAATCACGGCCTGCCAGTAGTTCAGTTCCAGAAACTCAACAGGGAACCGTACACCCGTATCGCGTCGTGTGGGTGCACTTTGTTTCCACTCTGCTAACCGTCGATGCACATCTTTCCGCCAAGAGCGGAAACAGTCGAAGCCTTGAAGGAAAGGTGATGAAATATCGGAACGCATGAATCTCCGCGCTGCATACGGAGCCCTCTGTCTTGCAAAGCGCGCCTGCTGGTGTTGGAGAACATCCTGGATTTCCGACTGCAACACGCGCAACTTGAAATAATGATGGGCTGCGTGTTTGTAACTGGGGGCTCCGTCAGGAGGCGCCACAATTCCAGATTTCGTGATGTATTTGTCCTCTAGCAAGGACGGGAATTCGGTGCTGATGGCCTGGTCGCTAATGCCAAAAGGTCGACCAACGCAGCAGCTGACCAGGCGGTCTAGGCTGTAGACACACCACCACAGACGGCGACGCAGGTCACGGACCCATTCGCGACGGCCGCGCTCGCGGGTGTCAATTCGGGGTTTTGAGTTATCATCGGCCCTCGCCTGGGGGCGATTGAATCCCTCGTCTCCAGCTGAGTCGATACCAGCGTTGTCCTCATAATGAAGACCCAAATCAACCGCCAGTCGCATTGCCACCCCAACGATATACCAAAGGCCAGGCGCAACAGGTCGCAGAAGGGCGAAACTAGCGAGAAGGAGCACGGCTTGCAATTCCTCCAACGCGCCGAACCCGTCAGGGGACGATGCACCTAGAAACGATTCTAAGTGGATGATCGCGGACGCATGGTACTCTTCTGGCTGGTACTGATGGCTCGATAGACGCGGCTTTTTAGACGTAGCTGGCGACGAGGACCGGTCACGTTCACCGGTGCCTTCATCTTGTTTCTCTTCAAAAATGATGCCGGCGCCAATTGCGAACACGATGTTAAGGGTATAAAGACTGCGGGGCGAGCGGTTCTTTTCCTCTTCAGAATATGTACGATCCAGAAGCTCCATGAAGTCGGCTCGGTGAAGGATGGGTATTTGGGGGTTGGCGTGCTCGAAATACAGATTGACGAGCTTCTCGGCAAGCTCCCGGTCAGGAAAAGCAGCGCATTTCATCATCGATCGGGTTTGCAAGCCGAAGAAGGAATCCCGCATGGCACTTCCGGCCGTACCTGTGGCGCTATGGGGAAGTCGTTCGTTCGGACGCATCGGACCGCGTTCTGACACGTTCGATCCCACAGAGCTCTTCACCGCGGCAAAGACCACACGAGCAAATGATATCCCCGACGTGGATCCCAGATACCGAGGGTCCGACGTGCCCTGGACCGACACCATGCCGATGTTCGACACGAGATTGTGTATCCGCCAGTTATCTTCGTTCTCATTGTCCTGGGCGTTCTCCGAGTCTGGTGCTGTATCCGGCGCCTTCTCCGTCGTTGGTGCGGCGCTGTCTTTATCTTTCTTGACGCGCGCCACTTTGTCGGTTCCCTCAGCTGTTGACGACTCCGCAGCCCCTGATCCCTCGGAGCCGACGGTCTGGGCTTGGACCGGATCGTACCCGGCCTCGACCTTGACGGCTTCTTCTTCATCGAAAGCGACGGCTTCTTTGAAGTCGATCTGATTGTCCATCAAAAGTTTCTCTAAATATGTCACGCGAGCCTCGAGGAAGTACACGTAGCTGCGGGGGATCTCCCGCTTGGTGATGGGATCATAACCGACGCAGCGGACACCGGCTTTCTCGCAGGACTGGCAGCGCGGAAGGCGTTGGTCGCAGCGATTCTTGCGCAGGCGGCACCGGTTGCAGGCGGAGACATTGCGGAACGAGGAGGGGTTTGAAGAGGACGAGGAGGAGGGAGCGGCAGGGAGAGTTGCCGGCGCATTTTGTTGCTGCGACTGCGCCGATGGGTCCGGCTGGGCTGAGGACTCAGCCGGGGGATGTGGGCGTTTCCTCCCTAGGGAGGTTGGTGAAACCGGGGAAGCAGGGTTGAGCATCACGGGAAAGGTACGAGGAACGGCGCAGAGGCACAACCATGTCTCGACGACGGAGGTCTGCAGTCAGTCCAGGCAAGCGGGGGAGGTCGTATACCGAAGACTCAGAAACGAATCAGCATTCATGTTCAGCCATGCGCTGGTTGTCCCAATCCCCTCAATCGAGGCTCTCGCGTTGGAGAAGGTCGCGTTGACTTCGCGTTGACAGCTAACGGGAAACTGACTCCTCAGTCGTATCCCGATCCGCGGGCTTTATTAATCTCCGAAGTGATAGTCAAAGGCGATTCTGTTTGGAGGGTGAGAGACGGTCGCAGCCCATGACGGAGGCAGTTCAGCCACCCCCCACTGCAGCAGTAACAACGGCGAGCCTAGAACGAAGAACGAGCCACGACAGAATCTTGGAGGGTATCGAGGCAGGGGAAAATTTGGGAAGTTAGATAGGGCAAATTTGGTGGAGTCCCGAGTTGGATGGCACTTGGAGAACCCCGGCACCTAGACTTGGTCCCGCTTACTAGTACAGTAACATGGAACCGTTGTATGGAGGATGTAAGCGGGTGCATAGTGGCGGATGACTGTGCTGCGTCTTGGTGGACTAAATCGACTGTCAGAGACGATACATCGAGAAGGGCTCAAAAACACATCATTCAGCCTCGACAATGGCCGATAACTCAAGGAAGTCTTGTCGTCGGACCCGTATCTGGTATGTTGGCAGCCTCCGTACTTCGACAGAAGCTGGTGTTATGCACGGTATCCATACCGTACTTATACATCACGTGACGTATAATGTTGGGACCCATGTGGTTGGTGCGTGGGCCATGTTTGTCATCCGCCTGTTGAATGTACCTAGGTACATAAGTCCACATAAGTACTGGTAGGGATACTACCTACATAGAAACTAGTTAGTCTTCAAAAGAAGATGGAGAATAACGTGGCTGACAGGGAACCCCGCACTGTCCACGTTGCGAAAGCGACCCTGACAGTCCGGGGGTCAATGAGGTACGTGCTATTCAGGGCTAAAGGTAAGCAAAGTCTGATACTTAGGTCCTACGAACTACGTTGTCTCAAGAGAAGTAAAATGTGTAGCGCGAAGAGGAAAAAGCAGAGTTTCCTCTGTTTGTCCTTCAAAAATCAATTCTGCTCTCCATAAGAGTTGGATATAATGAAAATGACAAATAGCCTCCCAGATGCTTAAGACAGATATGTGCTGAACAATGCCTCATCAAAGAAAAATCAAAACAAACAAGCCTCCCCATGCTTTTTGAAGATGCATCCAGTCTATGAACTGCGCCATCACCCAATCCTGAGTCATGATCTAAACATAAAACGAAAAGAAAAACCAAAAGGAGGAGGAAAATTCCAAAAGACAGACCGGACTCGGAAGCACACCATGGAGCGAGTGTCAAACAAAAAGAGATTAAAAGAGATAGACAAGCAAAAAAAGTAAGATGCGGTCAAGGAAAAGAAGCAAACAAAGATGGAGGATGCTGGTAATAGATGAATGAAATATGACGTCAAGTAGTCAATTTGACAAGTCAGTCGCGCTCAGACTTCGGCAAGACTTGTGTCAAATCGACATTGGGGATCTCGGCGTCATCCATGCTAGTCCGGGTGGAAGACAGCAATCTCCGCACTTCTTCCGCAGTAGCGTCCTCCTTGCCAGCGGTGTATGGGCCCCGCAAGGTCTCTTGCTCGCCATCCAAGTTGGTAGCCTCGGATTTCGTCTCGGCGCGTCCCTGCACCTCACTCTCCTCCATCCAGAAGCTCTCGATGGCACCGATGACGCACACCAGACCGCAGGCCCACCATGCCAGAACGGAGTACCCGCTTTCGAGACCCTTGGAGTGAAGAAGTCCAGTGACCGTAGGACCGAAGGCACGGCTTAGACTGGCGGTTGATGCGGCTGCGCCGTTGATGGAGCCAAGAACTTTCGAGGAGGGGGCGGCATTGGCCAGCAGGATGGCGGTAGAAGGGAAGGCAATGACATGAAACGTGATTTTGCTGATCAGAGCCACGTAGACGGCGGTCGTCTGGAGGAATTCCGGGAGCAGAATCAGGTACGGTACTGCCAGGTAGAGAGGTGGCCAGACAAGTAGGACGAAGCGGAAGGTTCGCAGAGTACCGAAATGGCGGACAACAAAGGGAAACAGCCAGAGCTGGGCGATCATCGAATAAACGCCCTGAACCGCAAGCATAAAGCCGATGGTCTTTGTGGGAAGACCCAGACCCCCAGTAAATTTGAAGGGAAGAGTGACATGGTCGGTCGATTTGGGTGTGCTCAGGAAAACAGGCATCAGCTGGTCGAAGGAGACGCTGTGGCTATATTGGAGTTAGTATGCACTGCGCCTTGTCCAAGGGATACACTAGAAACTCACTATGCGAGAATTCCATAGGCGATAATGTTGAACACAACCTGTCTCGTAAATGCCTTGGGCGGCTTCTGGTTCTTCATCTGGCTTTCAATGTCGTCATCAACCGCAAGGTTGTCGGTCTCTTTGACAGGGGACAGGCGAGGCGAGGATTCGGTGCTTCTGTACTCCGGGGGAGGAACGTCGTCGTAGTCAAAGTATTCGGATGCACTCAAGTCAATCTTCACATCCTTCTCCTCATCAAGCTGGACACGGGATCCCATGCATCGCGCCACCAGCAAGTTACCGAGCTCCAACCCAACATCGCGGCGGAACTTCTTCTCCGGGTGGGTTTCCTCCAAGAACAGAAACCCAACGACGATACCGATGATCAAGACGACCACACAGACCAGGTTGGGCAAAAGGAACGGGAAGCGATCCAGAAGGGTGTTGCGCTGGAAGAGCCAGGGGTAGTTGTCGCAGGGCTTTGCCAACGCACCGCCCATCGCGGGCCCAATGATGGATCCCAAGCACCAGACAAAAGGCATGATCGAGTACGCCCGAGGCTGGTGCTCCTTGACAGTCACAATCTCCGCCACAGTTGTCTGGAGCACACCAATGTTCCCGTTCAGCAAACCTCCCAAAGCCCGAGCAATCATCGCCGTAGCCAGGTTTGGGGCGAATCCGAACGCAATCATACTGATGGCGGTTCCGATCAGGCCCATAATAAGAACGGGCTTCCGGCCAATCTTGTCGCTCATGCGACCCCAGAACATGCCCGCGGAGAACTCAGCGAATGTGAAGGACGATGTGATCATGCCCGCGTAGAGAGCAATTTTCCGGTCATTATCTGTCACGTGGAACGACTCGACCATATGATAGACATATGGGAAAATGGACATAAACGCAATCGGTTCACAGATGCGGCATAGTGCTGGACAAACGGTTAGTCGCCTGAAGGCTCCAGCGGTAATTTGGTCCAACATGGGTTGCGAACAAAGAAAGCGGCAAGCGACATCCGCACCATCAAACAGGCAGGTCCCGATGGCAAACGCAATCAAAGTTCCTCATAACATGCATCTTTCCAGGAAATTGGGCGCAAAAAGGAACGTACCTAGCACAAAAAGCTGGCGGATAGGAAACGCGGACCAATCAGCGCCGGCATCACTATGCCGGCGTGCTTGTAAACAGGACGGACGTTTGAACATCTTGTTGCCTTCGTCGCAGAGCTCGTTCTTCAAGAATCCCAAAAGCCGTTAGGCCAAATTAAAACAGGTGGTCTGAAGGAGGACTGGGTCCGAGAAAGGAATGTGTAGATGATTCGGTCCAATTTCCCCGTTGGCACAGAAGGGAGGGAATGCGGTAATGATAAGATTGTTGCACTGAAGAAGAAGGGACCGTTGTTAAAGGGGTCTCAGCATTTCTTCCCCCTTCCGTGTGTTGATCACAGGGAACCCTATTTGGTTGTATAGCCTTGCTTGGGGTTCCGTTCGGGGCTTGGGCGGACCAGATGGCTCAATTGGGTTGTGACAATCCCAATTGAAGACAATGAGGTAGGGAGAGAGTCTTGTGTTGGTATAGAGTGGTGGGTTCGGGGTACTTTGAAGGTGTAGGGAGGGTTTGGGAAGAGTATCAAGAAGCGAGTCCGAGGAAGCAATCTTGCAACCAGAGAAGGAAGTAGGTCAAGTAGATATAGTTGGGAGAAGCGGTAGCGGATGGAAAATTGAGACGAGAAAGGGCTGGAATGGAAGCAAGAAGTCGGTTATATTTAAAGTCAAAAAATATTTTTTTTATTTCTGGGAAGTAAAAAAAAAAATTAAGGTAGAAATCCCTGGAGGATCTGATCGGGAAGGGGAATTAAATGAAGTATTTGAAGTGGATAGCCCAGATATGTGACCAGGCGAAAGGCCCAGGTAAACATCAACGGTGCAGCATCTGAGATGACAATGATGGGTTCCATTTCGGTTACAGCTGTACAAAAAGGATGCATGATACAGTCGACAGCAAACAGTCCAGGATTAACAGGATCCACCGCTCAGAAAATAAAATAAAATAAATAATGATTTTTATTTTATTCGATTTTGATTTTATTTAAATTATTTTTTTTAGGCTATGATCATTTCAGCGGAGAGGTGGAACGGGTGCAGGAGGTTTGGAACGGAGCCATCCGACTGGACCGTACTAAGCACCAGGAAAATAATGGGTACCACATTGACGGAAGGGAGAGCGGACAAAAAAGAAGAGCACCAAAAGGGGAAAAAATAATAATAATTGTTAATAATAAAGAGGGAAAAGAAAATAGTTCAACAAGGAAGGAAGGAAACCGAAAGGGGGTGGAGCCAATCGCAGAGCGCCAGAAACAGAAATTGCTCAACCGCGATTCCATACATCACTTTAGGAATTTATCTACGTCCTAGTAGCTTCTTTTCTCCGATCCGCACAGCAGCTCCTCCACAGTGGTATGTCAGAATCACCGGAACCCAGCCGGTTCGAATTTCGGGGGGGGAAGTGGTGACCGCCTCACTGGTGGCCCTTATGGTCGGTTAGTTGGCATGGGACTTCATCCCGTACATAGTAGCACATCGTTTCCCAAAATGACTGGATGCTTTTTCTTCGAAGCCGTGACTAGTAGGGGGCTCGGGAAGTTAGGTAGCAGAGGAAACACTGCCATCACATCAACAGGGACGGCACAATAGGAAGATCAGATACGGATGAAAGGTGGGAATGAATCAGTCGACCGACTACTGTCAGACCATCCCCTCTATCCCATAGTGCCCGAGAGGGGGCCAAAGGAAATAAAATCAAAGACATTGAAAATATAATTTCAGGGAATAAATAATAAGAACAAAGACTAAAGTCCATTCAGGAGGGAAAATCCCCAAATGATTTCCAGAGCAGCCACCGCCGCAGATTGACCGGTAGACCCATCGTCCTGAAGCCCGGTCTCCGGGGAAGAAGAATAAAAACGAAAAGCGTGTATCGACAAGCGCGCTCAGTGGCCCATAAGGCCAAGATGATCCGCTTTCCAGGAGTCTGGTTTAGTGCGACTTTAGTGAGATGATAGATCTAACAGTCCCCCGGCCCACTTTTTCCAACTCTGTCTCCTGCCCATCCCCCGGCCGTCGCCAAAGGTCCTTTTGGGAGGGGGGAAGACGGGAGACAAGTACGAACCCATTCTCCGTTTTCTGTCCTTTTGTCGGGGTCCATCTGGTGTTGGGACGACGGAACCAGGCCCACTGCTCCGGAATTCTAGAAAACTTGCGCGGATGCTCAACCCCCTCATCCGGACGCTTAATCACAGGGGGCAAAAAGGGGATCCCTCTGCCAAAAATTACATCAGGCCGTCGAGCCGGTAGACATCCGGAATGACAGAAAATAAGACAGTTCCATTGGGTTAGATTGGTAGGCAGAAAAGGAAAAAAAAAAAAAAAAAATAAAACGTGAAAAACAATGAAATGATATCAGTGAACGCGTACGTACAGGGATGCAAGCACACAAGGGTATTGAGGAACAGCAGGACCTTATCTGGGGGTGGTGATAATATGCGGTGTAAGCCACTGAAGAGTAGAGGACCGAGGATTCGGTAGGTTAGGTAGGTAGATCGGAGCATGGAGTTGGTGCAGAGGGGTTGGTAATTGGTAATACATCAGGATACCGAGGAGATGCCGAAGATCAAAAGGAAAGAACAATCATAAGGATAATAATAATAATAATTATAATATAATGAAATACTCCGTAGAATAAAAAAGTGGACCAGCTACTGGTAGATTGGTAACGGTGAGCGCTGGAGGCGAGCAGTCAGCCCTTACGGTGAAGAGACAGCAACAGCACCACTAAGCCTCCTCTGGCCATACACCCCGAACGGATGGGTAAGTGCGTTACCTCTCCAGAGGTGACGACATATTCTGCTGTTGGCCAGATTTGGACGACCTACTGAGTATCATGTATAGACACTTCCATTATAAATCCTAAGAATGAGTTGAAGTGGTATTATACAATACTTCAAAATCCCATCCTGAAGAAAGGATCCAAGGCTTCTGAAGTGAGGAGGCCAAACAGCATTACAGTAAATATTAAATACGGCATGATTGGAGCTACAGTCGAAACTCTATTGTTTCTGTTCTGGGTCTGTCAGACTGGCCGGAAACAAAAACAACAGACTGGCTGTTGGATTTCACAATAATAGAGTCGGACCATACTCCGTACTCGAAGTCGGGCAATGGCACTATCTACCGTTGGGGTGTGGCAGGACGGACGCCCCCTTGGGAATTCCATTGACGTCACTTCATTTCATCCCAACGATCGTCCCACTCTCAGTGCTATAGTAAGACCTGTGAATAGAACGGCTGAGCGCCTAAGAGAGTTGTACAGGCTGCTGCCCAATACCTCTTCGGTTAGTCTGTTGTTCGTCCATCTTTATCCAGACGCTCTGAGTGGCAGAAGTATAGGAGGCGACCATCATACATTCTCTCTTCAAAGGTATTGTCGCGTAAAGCTTAGCTTAATCGACCATCCGAAAAGTCGGTAAAAAGGAGATCCCCCAAATATGCCGAGCATGGGTCCTCCGCTCCAGTCATGACAGGAGGTCAAGGGCGGTCGGGAAAATTCCCGGAACAGGAATCCATTGAATTTTCCCCATACCTGGTAATAGGTAGAGGCGCCATACTGAGTATTGGATCTACGATCCGATAATACGCAAAAATCATTAACCGGACTGCCACGCTGCATAAGATCTCATAGTCCCTGGCTGGTGCAGGTCAGATCTGTATTCCCTGCAAGTAAAACGGAGGTCAAGGCAGGAAAAGAAGCGCAATGGAAGAAGGAAGACTGCAGGTAATCTCCTGACCGACACGTTGGAGACTGAGGTTGGTCGGTCGGTGCAATTCCTCCCAAGGGCCAATAATGAAGGGTGTGCTTTCGCTCGTTCAGGAATCAGGTAACCTAGAAGCGGTCGCGGGGGATTTGCAACGTCACGATTCCATGACAACAGATTTTTAGATCACTCCTGACGCGGCAAGGAGAAAGAGAGAACGGGATCCAGTACGGCCGTTCGGGATGGACGTCAGGATGCAAGGTATACAACAGGGCCTCAAGGAACCTTGGTTCCCACGCGGGAGGGATGCAACCCTAACCATGGCTCTTCAGGCGATCATATCAGAACCAAACAATAGCAGGCTACCACGTCGGTCTTCGTGTCCTGCCTGGTATGAAACACCACGAGCAAGCATCTCAAGCAGCGAGGCCAATGCCCATGCCTCCTGGGAGATTCCGATATGGCCGCCTCCACGCTTCCATAGTAAGATGAGGCCACCTACCCCACCGATGCAGGAAATGCATCAGGCTGGTGGACGACCAGGGCCAGCATCGCTTGAATCGGGAGCTACAACAGATAAGCGGAGATGCCGCCGAAGAATACGTGATGATCTGGCGGTGACAGCAGGTTGCGGGCGAATCATCGAACGGCGGGCGAGATGGAGTGGGTAGAGCTAGAGAGCCTCGAGCTCAAGTGATCACGATCGTGTCCCTTCCGACGACCATTCGGAAATTTCGGAGAAGATCAGAAACGGCTGAAATGTCATCATGATGTGCCTAGGAATGATGTCGCTATGCACGCATCGCGGCGGGTCATGTGAGTATAGCCCGCATGCTGGCCAAAGGCATCATTCGGGAATCATTGGATGAAACGTCAGACGAGGCATCTGGCACATGCTACCAGTGGCCAGCATCCTTGGGTTAATCTGCGTGGTGTTGGCAGGTTGGCAGGATGCCCTGCAGCTTGTGTAATAACTTTGTTCGGGGCGCTCATGGAGGAGAGAAAGCCCGACAGTAAGCGGTGAGGAGGGGCCCTGCAGGCTCGCTTTGGGTACAACAGTATTGCGCCCAGGGCAGTGCCAGGTTGGAGATTGTTTCTGGAGGTCCTTGCGCTGACTGTGCCTTGCGGTGCTGACTCCCCTATATTTCTTCGCCATAGGTCAATAGAATACATCCGCCCTGCCCCGTTACTTTGGGCAGGAATGAAATCACGGGAATTCCTCATGCAGTCGCCCATGAATGATGCTGGCATCAGTCACCAGTCATGGAGGAACCCTGGTCTACCTTGCAGGCTGCAGACCTCGGAACATACGGTGAGCGTGAGAATCTGCCTGATTCGACACAGCCACGTTGAGAGTACTTCGTAATCTTTCTGGATACTCTCATCGATTTGGCTGGAATCACTCTGCAAGATTGCTCGTTTGATGTCTTCTCTAAGGTGGGGTAGCCCCGCGGACAACAGTACTTAGGTAGTTACTCACCTTTGGGCGTGTTATCAGTACCTAGTACCTTATTAGGTAGGTACCTGCTCATACCTACGGTACATCTCCATCGAATCGCCAGCATCTCCGAGGTTTACATTGTTCCCTGAAAATGCAAGATCCTGTACAGATAACAGCGGTGTAGATGGCAGGTCATACACCACCTGGCGTTGCCCATGCAGTTGACGTGATCACTACCTATCTAGCTCACTTGTCCTCGAGCATGATTTCTGAACCCTTCCCCTCGGTGATCACATTGTGGCTGTCTGAAAAGTGCAATACGATGTACCCGGCGGGCTGGAGAACCATCACGGCTGATAAGCTCCGTATCGACCTCCTCGGGACACGCCACTGAGTCCTCGTTGGCTGGAGATGGGGCCTTCTGCAAGCGATCGCAGGTTGCGAGCCATTCTGTCGGGTCCATCGATCATTGAAAGTTTGCCATCTCGATGTCTGCAGCATGGCCTGACCCTCCGTTCTGTTTACAACAACCAGTTTTTCTTTCCTGCCGAGTACTGGACAGTTTCGCGGAGTATCATTCCTGTTGTTGGTCAATTTTTGCCACTAAAAGCCGAGACGCCCTATTTGGCGGTGGTGGGGGAGCTGAGATGGTGAGCCACTCCGGCGTTGTCCGTACCGATGTACGCACTACGTACATGGGCATGTTTCAGAGATACTATCAATCGTCATCATTGATGTGGACTGTGGATGCGGCATGGGTCCAGCCCCCTCGAGATGCTCTGTATCGAAATCTTCTAGAATTGGATTGACATTATCCCCGACCACCGAAGTCCAGGAACACAATACATACGGACTACTCGGTTTCCATGTAACAGATGATGACAAACAAATGGATCAACCAAGCCCAGTCGATTATACGCAGCTGCGAGTGCGGATGTGGCGGACAACAGGGCGACCCGACAGCTTGCAAGATCCCTGAAGAGTTCTTTGTTTCCGCGCCGGGATCTATCCTGGTCGAATTCTACGCATCAATCTCCCTCACTCCCTTCAACGATGGATTGGATCAGGATCGAGTGGTGAAACCCCGCTTCTAGTCCTTCGACCCCCACTGTGACGGTGGTTTGGTCTTGGAGCCGCCGGATGAGATGGCATCCTCCGCGGTCGCAACCATCCCGTGTGATAGTGGAACGAGACCCAACCCTTGGATGGAGACGAGACCCGGTCGGTACCTGGTAATAATAATAATAACAAGAACAATAGTTATGCAAAGTCCATTGCCAAGGTGCCTTGGGTATGAACCCACGGCTGGGTGCGCGGGAGCGGATGGCCCCCTCCGAGCCAATTGACCCCCAAACGCGGCCCATTAGAGGTCCAGTTTCGGGCGTCGTGAAACTGGAGACGGGGAACGATGGCATTATCATGGATCATTCGATTCGTCCGTACGACTGGAGCCAGCACCGGGGATGATCCCCGGAACCAAAAAAGTACGGCCCATGGTACTTCTGGGCATAGTACGTGTTAGGCCACCCCCTAGCTACGGAGTACCTTAGTACCTGCAAATGCAAATGTACCTCGCCTCAGTGGGATATCAGCCGTCCTGACGAAGGGGCGCTTCAACAGGCTCCACCTTTCAAGGGGGAAACACGTACGGGATGGACGATGCGCCAATCAAGGATGGGACCATCCATCCCCTATTATTCTACAAAGTTAATCCGCTACGAAAGGGAAGAGAGACGGGAGGAGGAATCAAACTAAAGTACGGCCGAGTAAGGTTTCCATTGTCATTTGGGAGGACGTGAGTGAGACCACTGTCGAGGGGACTGGCATTCCCGGTTAGCGTGGTTTCGTAGCAAATCCTCTAGCGTGATGTCGTCGACGAGGTTCTCCACGGAAGTACATACCTAACACATCCATGCATTTCATCTAGTAGTGGTTAGTGGCAAACCACAACGACCAGGATTCCTGGGAGGAACGAACGGGATCCATGATCCGGTGCCGCGGCGACGGATCACCGTCGTGGATCTAGTCTAGTCTTCTGGGGCTGTACTAGTATCCTCTGGAGTACTTTTTCGCTCGACTTTTGGCTTCCGAAGTGTGTTAGTACTATTGCCCGCCCCGCTGGAGATTTTTTAGAACCGTTTTAGCAGCTCCGACTATTTGGGCCAGCCACGATCATGTGAACTGCACGTCGAACAGGATCCATCCTGGCTGTTCCGGTCGCCTCTCCCAGCTTTTGCGCCCAGCATCTGCATCTGGAAGGATTCGACTAAGGCAACTCTCCCCTTTCCCGCGGTACCAGATTCCCCTTCCCATTTGTTCATCGCGCGATTGTCCTGCGGAACCGCTGCGCTCCACTGCGGGACCTTTCAGCTCACTCGAACGACGGTCTGTGTGATGAGCCCGAATCTCCCATCGCGAACATGCCCCAACGTGGCAAGTCGCGATGAATTCCCTTTCTCCTAATGCCAGGAACCAGGTCCGGATGTCAGTGGAGACGAAGTGACACTTGACCAGCTGACGGGGAACATGGATCAGGGTGTTTGGGAGATCCTTTGGATTGGTCTCCTACTCGGAGGACGGAATAGGTAGGTAGTCCCTGTGGTACTCCGCATCTTCCGTACAAGAGCTTTCGCTACGGTGGAGGGGGCACAGCCAATGGGAGGATCAAATACTATGGTTGTCGATAAAGATCGATGGAGGTCAGAAGTACGCCGATAGTGGCTGACTTGGTGTTTGTCAACTTGATCAAAAGAATTTGCATACGCATATGGTCTGACGTCGAGCCTCCTCTGTGCTACGAGGCATACCTGTTTGATCCCTGCGCATCAGCATCACCAACATGACTTGCAGCCTTACGTGAGTCTACAAAACCAACACCATATTGATAACAGGCCCCAAACATACTCCGTACAGGTAGGTAGCCACAATAGAAGCCGATCCCGCTAGCCACCATCCCCCTCGTGATGCAACGTCGTGACACAACCGGTGTGCTCTGGTGGTCTAATGTGGGTAGATGCAGACGGAGTATGGCTTCCGCCCGCGACAATAATCCTCAAATTTGGCCGGTCGAGCCAAAGATACCAGGGAAACGTACCGTTTACCTAACGAGGCAATCACCATCAGTGAATGATCAGCCTGGCGAGGTGGAGGAACAGCCTCCTGTCGACCAACAACCCGATGCAGCGATATGTATGCACTGTCAATGAACTGCGTTCGCCCGCCCCCGTCTATTCGACGTGTAAAGTGACTACCGTTGTTGAGGGCGATCATTGTTCTGTATGGGGTACGAGGCCTATCATTCTGCGCCTACTCGCCATTCTGGAAGCATCTGACTAGTCTGGGCGATGACAGCTGCACGGGCACGCAAATTGCCGTCCCTATTACCGATCAATTCGAGATAGTTGCAGAATACCACTTCCCTGACACAACAGGTCACTATCGATAAATTCCTTGTCGAATGACGCGGACAACTTCACAACCAAGGTCATGACATGAGTCGGTCATGCACCTATCTCATCCAGGTGACTGGGATTCGTCATACTAACACTCGGACGTCGGGACTGTCTTGGTGGATTTGGTCCAGAACCGGAGGATGAACAAATATGGCATCTGGAGTACCCAGGAAACGCGTCCAGATAACGTATGATGCCATTGACGGCAACCTGCATCTGGACCCAAGATGAGGCCATCAATCGAGGGCGTCCCGATCCAGACGATCACCGGATTGCTGGATTCAGATGGCTGCAGTCTGACAGGCCGAAAGCCCCATATCTGTCCCATTCCCAGCTGAACGGGCTAAGAATAGTCGCTTGCATGGTACTTTTTGCGACTGTCAACTTCCGGTGCCGCGCGACTAGCAAAAGGCTAGGCTAGCGGAAGTCTAGTAGTTCGATGACAGAAATCCTACAGATCGAAATCCTTCATACGGGATCGGCATCGTACGCCATTGATTGGTCCCATGGATCTGTCATCCCGCCATCATCCCCAGGGAAATGGCCAATAACACCTCCAAAGTGGATGTGATCACTCCGTGATGGAATTGGGGGTCACCAATGGATAGATAGAGCCCATTAACAATGCACCAGGATCTAGATTGTGACAGACTGAGGCTTGGATTAATAGTATTCCTTGTCGATTATCATCCTCAGGTGGAGTATTCTTCCAGGGGGGTTTTCATTTCTCCACTAAACCCCTCCGCTGCCCCTGACCAGCCTCACCTACCAATCGGTACCTACATGATACATCCAAAACACTTCCTTGGCTACAGAATAATACAGCAATTATTAGAAGTGATGCGATGGACACAGCTTGCTCCATTTGGTGCCGTGTTGCTATCTCCACGTCTGCATGATCGGACATAGGCATTGTCCAGCTCTAGTAGTGCGCGCAGCCATGCGCCATGCGCCTGCCATGTTGTCCCAGGCGACTTCGCAATCCTTCCAAGCTTCTCACGAAGAGCGCCCACCCATACATCGGGCGCAGAAGATGCGGTCTACTCTGTATGTTTACCGACATTTGGGGGCGCATCCGCTCAATCGCCCTGCACGATCGCTGATTGGGGAGACTGGTGTCTTCGATCATCATGACGTTCGCACTCGCATCGAGATGCATGTGCGTTTCGCAGGTTTTAGGGTCTGCTCAACGCCCATTCAAGTATATTCCCCGTGTCCTTCTTCAGGCAAGAGATCTAGATCCCCGGATCCTGCCATCGCCAACTTCGGCAATCCCAATTGCCCTTTCTTCGGGGTTGAGAAATCGCTCAGCTGACGTCGTGCGATCATCTCCATTGGCGGGTGAATCCCTCCTTCTTACCCTCAGCCGGGGGCTAGCCGGTTGCCTGGTAATCCAGACTCCGTGCTGGAGAAACGGGATGGCATCGCCGATACGTAGCCCCATGCCGCTGTGCTCGGCCGAAACGGCTGGCATGGCCCAGCTCCGTGGTTGAATGTGGCGTTCTTTCCGTGGTGGCTTGCGTATCCTGGTAGGGTCGTGTAAGCCAACTGCATAGATTCGGTCCCATGGCTGTGGATGTCCTCTGCAAGACTATCGCAGGCTCGCGTCAGATAGCTCCTTTGGCGACTGGCGCCCCTGTCTTTGATTTAACCTTCATGTGGGATGACTGGTTTTTGGGAAGCCAGTGAGGCTTCACTTGCCATCGATGCTCTGACTCTCAACAGCATCTGGCCGCCACGGGACCGTCCCGGGACCGTCGTGTTGGATTACGTGGGGTTGGGTCTTGGGATGCAATTTAGACTGTGCAAGATACTTTGCGTACTCTCGTATAGATGCGTTGCAAACGATGAATACGGTCGCCCCATGCAGGCATCAAGTTGCTAAGGTGTATCAGGTGTAGGAGAAGACAGTCTTCGACATTGATGTTTGTTAGTCGGTGTCCAGAAAATTGTAGGGCCTATCGTTCTGACCTTCAACAGACCTTTACTGGATATCTTAAGGCTAGTTAGGAATACATGCCTATCTCGATGAAAACTCGTAGCTCATTCTCTAACATTATGGGAAGCTTGTGTCTGGCAAATATATATACTGCCAGACAGGATGTCGGATCACCTGTAGAGGAAATGAGCTACTCCGCAATACACTCGATACAATACCCAAACGCGTTAGAGAGCACGAATATCTCAATCCCAACCTCAAATACATTACCTACTATCTCATTCTTCAATTGTCCGAATAGTTGTAGACATGCAGCATTCTTATCAGGCTATGGCATATCGATAAGGTCACGTGCACATCAGTTTTCGCGATGACATCGTCCGCATTTCTCAACACTCAACACATTCTTCAAACCTGCAGACACAACCAAACCATGCATACTGATTGACTGCCTGAATTACGTACATCGTACATTGTGGCTGCTCATCCTGAAATGAGCAATGCCCATCCTACGTCACATCATGCCGACCCCTCGAATATCATCATTTCCCGCCCTCCAGTTGACTGTACGCCTACGCCTACGCCCATCTGGCACGCACGAAAATGCCTATCGATTATACAGCACTGCTACCGGCGATCGGACGACCGCAAACCGAGACGGCGCATCCAATGATTTCTCGGAAGCGTCACACCTGAACCCCTCCCCGGAAGACTACTCGAGATTCATTTTTCAGGACAAATGTCGCTCGGTGATATATGCTGGGTCTGGTGGTAATGGATGTGTCTCGTTCCTTCGGGAAAAGTACGTCGAAGAAGGACCTCCGAATGGTGGCGATGGAGGCAGCGGCGGAAGCATCTACATCCAAGCCGTCGAAGGCCTCACCAGTCTGCACAAGCTCGCCCGACGGGGCATCATCAAGGCCGGACGGGGGAAGAACGGGCAGGGCAAAAGCAAGGGCGGCAAGCGGGGGAACGATGTTTTGATCCAGGTGCCCGTCGGCACGGTGGTGCGGGAGGTGGACAGGTATGACCCGGTCGCGGAGGAATTGGCCCGCCTGAAGAATCGACGAAAGGAACCGGACGCGGAGCAGGACGAGCTGGACACGATCGGGTTGCCGTCCATTCGCCACGACCGCTGGGTCCTGTACCCTGGAGCAAACCCCTCCGACTTCCTGACGACGGTCTTTCCGAAGAATCCGCCGCGACGACAGCATATCGCCGCTCTGGAACCAAAGGCGCCCATCCACCTCGACCTGTCGCATCACATGGACAAACCGATCTTGCTGGCGGCGGGTGGTGTTGGAGGCCTGGGCAACCCGCACTGGGTGTCGCGATCGATCACGCGCCCGAAGTTCGCGTCTCGCGGCGAGGGCGGCATGCGCTTGGAATTGGAGTTCGAGCTGAAGCTGCTTGCAGACGTCGGGTTAGTGGGAAAACCCAATGCCGGAAAGAGCACATTGCTGCGGTCTTTGACCAACAGCCGTACGCGGATCGGCAACTGGGAGTTCACCACATTGTCGCCGAATATTGGCACCGTCGTGATCGATGACTACAAGGGGAGACCGCTGGTTGAGTCCAAGGGCAAGGCCCCACGCACCAACTTTACCATAGCAGATATCCCCGGATTGATCGAAGATGCCCATCTTGACAAGGGCCTGGGATTAGGGTTCCTTCGACATATAGAACGGGCCGGAATTCTGGCCTTTGTGGTGGACCTCAGCGCGGGAGACCCTATCGAAGGCTTGCAGAAGCTGTGGCGCGAACTGCGTGAATATGAACGCATCCGCGACACTGAACCGCCTGTCGAACATGGGGAAGACTCACTAACATGGGTTCCGCCGACGCATGGCCTGCCCGAGCTTCAGCTCGAGGAGGATGAACCGCCGCTGAGCTCCAAACCGAGCCTCCCGTCTCTCCGCCTGCCGCCCATTCACACGAAGCCGTGGTTCGTTGTTGCCACCAAAGCCGACCTTCCTGAAACCCAGGAACAGTTCAAGCGACTACGTGAGTACCTGATTGCAGTCGAGAAGGGTGAGGTAGAGCATCCCGGCGGTCATCCCGATGGTTGGAGAGAGAAAGTATGTGCTGTTCCCGTCAGTGCCATGAGAGGTGAAGGGGTTGATCGCATTCCTAAGCTTGTGATGGAGTTTCTGGAGTGATTGATCAGATGAATATTGTACTATAGCCTATTTGTATTATACCTTACTCAACAAAACATACGAGACTTGGCCTACTTGAACGTGATGGTGAACTACTACGTAGTATAGTTGAGATAGTAACCACGGCACCGACCCACTTGCCCAATCGGCCTTTTCTCCCCGCATGACGTCGGTATTGCTGAAAATTCCACTGTCAACAATACTTCCCCCCGCACCACACCTACCTATGTTTTGATACAATCTCCCTGGTCGCGTTCAACTCGTGTTGGACTCTCCCCGCGATCATGGTCGCCCTGAAGAACTCCATTCTTCATGTACTCGGCCGGATCGCAGCTCCAGACCCCGACGACGAAATCCTCGAATGCGTCAGCAACGACCGAGAAGCTCTCCGCGAACTCGTCTTCGACAACCCCGACAAGGCCCTCCAGCTGGCTGACGCGAATCTACGCGTCTTTCCGTTCAAGGATGTGAAAACGAGCTGGCGACGTCTCTACACGGACGCGAGCATCGTCAAAGCGTGCTATTCGATTTGCGAACACTCTGGCTTTTCACAACCAAACTCTGACGGATCATACTATGAGAATCTGATAGCCTTTCTAAACCGGAATCCGTGGAATGGAGACGGGGCGACGAAGGGCAGCTTGACTATCAACCCAAACTCTGTGTGGCTCTCGCCGACGATACATCTTCTCGATCGAGCGTTGATCATGACCGGTGCTCCTGCGCGCGAGGGAGACATCAAACGCCTCTTGGATGCGCTACAAAGTCTGGCAGATGACCATTCGAGGGATAGCCAGGTTGGAGATGAAAGTCACGGGCAAGATCACACAGATTCTTCTTTTCCTGCGGCGAAGCGCAGAAAAGTCTCCGCTCCGCTGTTCCCTCCGAATTCGATTCCTCCTCCTTCGCTGAAATTCCCGATTCCGCGCGTGTCGGCGCCTTCTTTCGACGCGATGGAAGATCATATTCGCACGGCCAGGACACCGCTGGTTATCACGGACGCGGTGGACCACTGGCCCGCGCTGTCGACGCGGCCTTGGTCGTCCAGGGACTATTGGTACCATCGCACTTTTGGCGGGCGGCGACTGGTTCCGGTTGAGGTTGGACGATCGTACACCGACGAGGACTGGGGCCAGCGCATCATGGAGTTTGGGAAGTTTGTCGACAGGTACATTTGGGGTGGTGAGGAGAGCGCACGGGATGAAGACGACAGCGGCGAAGACCATGCCGGACAGACGGGGTACATGGCACAGCATGATCTGCTGGCCCAGATTCCCGAGTTGCGGAAAGATATATGTGTTCCGGATTACTGCTGGATTGATCCTCCCGGGCCGGAGCCGGGCACGCCCGTGTACGTCAAGAAATGCCGTGAGCGGGAGGAGAGAGCACAGCAGATAAACCTGCCCGAGTCCACTGCACGACCTCCGCACCACCCGGATAACATCTCGGAGAATGGATCGCACTCGTCGACGTTGGGACTGGGTACGGCCAGTGAGCCTATCATCAATACCTGGATTGGTCCTTCGTGGACGATTTCCCCTCTCCACCATGATCCTTATCATAACATCTTGGTTCAAGTGGTCGGTGCCAAGTATGTTCGTCTTTATTCGCCCCGTACTCCGGCCTCGCAGATCTACCCTAGGGGGATGGAGACGGTAGGTTCTTCTGCAGCAACTCGCGAGGGTAAAGCTCAGACAGGCCTATCCACCGAAGCGGATGAGCAACCTCGTTCGATTGACATGTCCAACACGTCGCAGGTGGACATTGCGGCCATAGAACTTTCTCCCGCTGAATCCGAACAATGGAACGCCATGTGGCCCGGGTTTCTGGACGCAGAGTATGTGGAGACGGTTCTCAAGGAGGGGGAATGTCTGTACATACCCGTCGGGTGGTGGCATTACGTCCGGGGGCTGAAAGCAGGAATCAGCGTTAGTTTCTGGTGGGAGTAGGTTTGATGGGTTTAGATGGCTACTTGGGAGATACGCCGAGTTGTTGGATTAGATAGATACCCTAGAGCAGTGTAATGGTTTACAAGAATGATATTGGATGCTATCCTTAGATGGACAACTCGGAGATACCTTATGATGCTCTGTGCTCACGTTCTTACCAAAACCAGAGGCTTACCAGCTTCAATCGAATCCCCCGGCTGGACCAAGACCTTTTCAACCACGCCGCCCACAGCTGCAGCTTCTGTGCGGACTGCGATCTCAAGCTTCATCGCTTCCAATATGATGACCACTTGATTCTCGCCCAATGTGTCACCCTCTTTGAGTTCCACTTTCCATACATTAGCGTTCAGAGGAGCTTCGATTGGGACGATGGCCGGATCTAGAATGATACATTTAGCGTCGTCTCAGAGCAACAGCGGTCCTTCATCCTGCCCACCTTTGAGTAAGTTTTCGATAGCATCCATAGGAACGCCCCTTTCGGCTTTCTCCTTCGCCCACCGCTCCAGCAAGTCTGCTTCTAGACGGTCCATCGCGGCCTGTGCTTCACGCTGGCGAGCGCGGATGGCGGCGACTTCTTCTTCAGTGTCCCGCAGGAGCTTATTATGCTCTGCCATGTCGAACTCGACCTGCTCCCATTGGTACTCGTAGCGACCGCTATTGAACAGCGCGAGCTCCTTTTCGTATTCCGCCTCCGAAACGCGGTAGAATGTGATCTGATCGAAGTCCTCGAATAGCCAGGGTCTATCTGCTGCATAGCCTCTCTTCGATCCCAGGATGTCGACGCCGGGAATCGTCATTCCGGTCATCTGGTACCCGCCCGGCGAGTCGACGTTGTATAGCCTGGAACGGTTGTGTTAGAGGGTCGTATACTTTATACTTCATGCGTGCGGGAGGAAGAAACTCACGCCATGCAGCTCCCTCCCCATGACACCGAGCCAGCGGGAGTGTACACCCTGCTGGGGTTCATTTTTGGGCAGTTCATTCGCTGTCGCGGGTCGACGGGGAGGGCCAGCGGCAGAGCCGTGAAGAATCCCACCGCGACGACCATGAGACTTGCGGAGAGAAAGATGTTCTCGAACTCCTCCCGGGTGAACGCGTTGTTCTTGGCGACAAAGTCCATGTTGTCGGGCAGATACGACGCATACGGCCTCTGCGTTTCCATGTATCGAGTGATCGCTTCCTTCTGTCGCTGGCTCTCGAACGTGAGTGGGAGTCTGAAGAGTCGACTGGGCATCTTTGCTGTGCTGAGGTCGCCGAGTTTTGCTTCCAGCTCGCAGAGATACTTGAGAAGCTTTGCTTGGGGGATCTTGCTCCCGTCGTAGTAGAGCATTAATGCTGTGGATGTTAGTCAGTTGAGTGTGCTACGCCGTAGGACGGGACAGGGTCATACAGTTGCCGCATCCGACGGTTGAAATCAGTCCGGTTGAGAAAGTGATGTCGGCGGTGGCTTCGTATAGGGCGTTCTTGAGGGCTGTGGCTCGACAGCGATGGTTCAGGTCGAAAGACCCGGTGCCGTAGTCGATGAGGAGGTAGTCATCTCCCCCCTGGAAGGTGCTGATTAGTATGATTATCGTCTGGAATGATTCAGTTTACTTGGCTCACCTGGCGGTATGAAACTAGGGGCTGATTTCCGCTTGCCGGAATCTGGTGGATGACACCAGTTCCGCGTTGCTTAGTTCCCAGCTGCGGAGGTGTCTTCTTCATAGGCGTGATGGCGCTGAAATCACTTTGGGTATAGCAGCATTGCACTATATCATGGATAAACCTCTCTACTTCGTTGCGGGCTGCCAACGCATCCTCCAAAGCAGTCGCTCGATACCGCAGCGTGTCACCCGCTTTGACTTGTCCCAGTTTCCACAGATCTGCCTTCACTATCGTGTGGCTACTGATGAATCCACCAAAGTCCGGGGCATCTTGAGGGAAGATCACAGGGTCGTCGCCTGTCCAGTTGAGAGATCCGATGGCATAACCGTACTCGATGAGGTTTGAGGGATGCGCGCCGCCTTCTCCTCCATCGGCGCGAGCCCATGTCGGTTTCGGACCAATAAGGCGAATACCGCCTCTGGCTGCGTTATGCGAGATCTTCCACTCTGTTTGATACAGCATGTCGATGCTGTCAGGGGTCAGATACCCTTCATCATATGGGCCCGGCATGGCCATGAGCTCCCAGTGCTCGGGGTAGTCAGGAATGAGATGGTCGGGTATGCAGAGCTCGCCACTGATGCTCGGAAGCTCTTTCGTAATGGACAGTAAATCTCCTGAGGCGAGCTGTCTGCCTTGGTAGCCTCCAACTCCGACCATTGGAGCAGTGGACTTGGACCCGAACCATTTGGCAACATTCAAGAATCCTCCAAACACGGACAAGTATGTGCGGCAGCCATTCCCGGTCGTCTTCCCGATCTTCAAACGCTGGCCCTTCTTCACCAGCACTCGTGACCACATTCGAACGGGCGCCTCGTCGAGCGTCGCGGCGATCGGTGCACCGCAGAGGGAGATGATCGCGGGTCCGAGGAACCGCAACTCCGGTCCACTCAACGTGATCTCCAATGCCTCGAGGCCGACGGGATTCCCGACTAGTGCATTCGCTATGCGGAAGGCCAGGGGGTCCATGGGCCCAGCGTGACAGAATCCTTTGCCGAGTGTTGGACGGCCAGGCCAGTCTTGGATCAGAGTATAGGCGCCTCCGGATACCACGTCAATTGCGGACAGGTCAAATTGGAAATGGTCGAGAAACCGTGTCAAGGTGTGGCCAGAGGCAAACGTCTCACTCCCGAGTATTTCAGTGAGAAACTCTAGATTTGTCGGAGGCCCGCAGATACGCGATCCGGCCAGAATGGTCCTGATTCCCTCGATGGCCTCCGTTCTACTGGGTGCATGGAACATGACCTTTGCGAGAAGGGGGTCTAATCCGATACAGTTAGACAACACGGGACCCCATCTACCATTGCCGAGTTTAGTGCATACCATAGTTTGCCGATACCTTGATACCCCTGTAGACCCAGGTATCGATTCGGGACCCTGGGAGCTCTTTCCACTCTACGCTCTGCAGAACACCCGGGCACGGGGCGAAGTCCTTCACGGGGTTCTCCGCATAGACTCTAGCTTCTATCGCGCAGCCCGACGGACCTGCTACGGGAATATTAGCGAGGAAACGAGCATCTAGTCCGCTCTTCCCGGAGAGCTGGGCATCCGCTTGTTTCAGCATGAGCTCCACGAGATCAATCCCGTAGCAGAGCTCAGTGATGCCATGCTCGACCTGCAGGCGTGTGTTCATCTCAAGGAAGAAGAAAGATCCAGTCTCGTCATCAACGAGGTATTCGATTGTCCCGGCCGAGCCGTAATTGATAGACTCCGCTAACCGGACAGCTGCACTGCCCAGGCTTGCTCGCAGGCCTGGGTTCTTGGTGACAAACGGGCTCGGGCATTCTTCGATCACTTTCTGATGTCTCCTTTGAATAGAACATTCACGTTCACCAATGGAGATGGCCTTGCCGTTCCCGTTGCCAAACACTTGCACCTCGATGTGGTGACTCGACGGATAGTACCGTTCGATAAACACCCCGGCGTTCTTGAACAGGGCATCGCCTCGCGACTGAACTGTGGAAAACGACTCCCGGACATCTTCTTCCGAATTGCACGTCAGAAGGCCCATACCGCCACCGCCTGCTGTCGCTTTGAGCATGACCTAACGCGATCTTCGTCAGCTGTTGTCATCCCAATTGGGAAACCAACGCAGTTTAGCATACAGGGAAGCCCAAGTCTCTCGCTACACTGACAGCTTCATCTCCGCTCGTCACCAAGCCAGCTGAGCCAGGCACAATTGGTACTCCAGCTTTGGCCGCAAGGTCTCGTGCAGTGTGTTTGAGGCCGAAGGCTTCGATGCTTTCTGGCGCGGGACCGACAAATACAAGACCCGCATCGGCAACAGCTCTGGCAAAATCTGCATTTTCGGACAAAAATCCATATCCCGGTATTACTGCATCCGCCTTGTGTTGCTTGGGCAATCCCGATGATCTGGTTTCTGCGCGTTGGTCAGAAGAGGGATGCGTGTAGGAGGCGGGCTGGCAATGATGTACCCATCTATGTAGGCTTTCGACGGTGGGCCGGCGAGAAGAACTGCTTGATCAGCTAGGTGGACGTGACTAGAGGCAGCATCGGGCTCGGTATAGATCGCAACGGTTTGGATGTTGAGCTTCCTAAGGCGCCTTTAGTTTCGCCCCTTGAGCCTTCGGTGTATCCCCTACTTGGCGGTCTTTATAATTCTCGCGGCGATTTCACCGCGATTCGCGACGAGTAATGTCTTCAGAGACTCCATGATAGATTTTCGATTCATGTATCAACCCATTCGAGCACAGGCGTGTCAGGGATGTCTTTCGGATTAAATGCAAAGTGTATTTCTTCACCCTGAGTTCGTATCTACCTACCCCTCAGCACGCAGCCCAATGAAACCACACGGCCAGCTGCGATGATGCAACCAGGGTATACAAGATAAGTTAATTTGGACTTGGATGGGATGATCAATGCCCAGGTTGGAGAAATTGGAGAGGGTGTGGAGATGCTCAGTCCCAGTCGGCGATAACGACCCCTCAGATTGGAGAAGATAGCCGCATTGGTTCCAGACATGCTTCCCCTCTTCGGGGTTTGGTAAACGCCCTCATTTCATTTTGCCAGTTCATGCCTGATATCTTGACAGTATCCTGTTGATCGCTGCCCTCCGAAAATTGAGATTAAAGGTGTCGAATTTGTTAGTCGACTTGAACCGGAACTGTGAAAGTCATGGGCCCAATCAAGCAGAAAGCGTTGATAAACTGCGACATGGGTGAAGCAGTACGTCACCTCCCACCAACGAGCCCGTTTCTCTTCAGCATGAGAGCTAACTTATGCTCTGCAGTATGGGAACTGGGTGTGCGGCCCGGATCTCGAGCTTCTCCCCATGATTGACATCGCAAACGTCGCTTGTGGATTTCACGGTGGTGACCCTTTGATCATGATGGAGACTGTCCGAAACTGCAAAGCCCATAACGTTCGCATTGGCGCCCATCCCGGGCTTCCGGATCTTCAGGGTTTCGGGCGACGAGAGATGAAGCTCTCCCCCGAAGAGCTGACTGCCATTGTCATCTATCAGGTGGGAGCACTGCAGGGGTTCCTTGACCGAGAGGGCATCCCTCTCAACCACGTCAAGCCCCATGGAGTTCTGTACGGGATGATGTGTCGCGATTATGAGGTGGCCAAGGCAGTCATGCTGGGGATTCCTAAGGGGATACCTGTGTTTGGACTTGCGGGGACCAACATGGAGAAAGCGGCCAGTGACCTTGGGATTGAATTTTGGGCAGAGCTGTATGGCGATGTGAAATATGACGCCAACGGCATGTTGGTCATCGACCGGAAGAAGAAGCCTTGGGATCTCCGAGACGTGGAGAAACATGTACGACAACAAGTGGAAGAGCAGTCGGTGACGGCGATTGATGGGAGTATTGTGGAACTGCCATTGAAGAGTTATCCGTTATCCATTTGTTGCCATTCGGATTCTCCAGGATGTGTGGACATTATCACGACAGCGCGGAAGGTGGCGGACGAGTTTAATACGAAGTATGGGTTGTGAGGGTGATCTGGGAGAGTAAGTGTGTATATGCCTTGGGTAGGTAGGATGTTTCGATGTTGCTGTAATGAGAATTTCGGTATTTGGTGTCTTGAGTGCATCTAAGATAGATCACCAAGTGGGCTCCCAGGTAGCTTTCCCTTTTGTTTCAATTTCCATACAACGTTGGTATTGGACATTTGACATCATATAAGATGCCTTTATATAGGATGCCAGGTCCATGGACCCAGACTCCGTCGGACGTTAGAGCCTAACTCCACGTGTGCAACCTATTGAGTTAGTGTGAGCAAAGTTGGCCGAGACAAGTGGTGGACCAACAGAGAACGCCTCTGACGGAGTGATGTGTGGAATGGGATTGTTGGTGGATGTGCATAACGGTCTTGTGATATACTTTCTTGCAGCGGTGAGATGTTTGTGATTCTTATCTTTCAGGCGTTGATTGATAGAGTTCGCGCCCGCGGAGATGGCAAGGACTGTTCGGTCTAGAAACGCAGTGAGATGGATGTCTCAGTCATCAAGGGCATCATGGTTGGACGGATTGTGAATATAGTTGATCCTGGCTGGGTGACGCGTGATAGGCATGTGTGGTCATTGGACACGATGACGTTGGCTTTATCAGATGATGGCTGGATCCATGTAGGCAGGTATACGAGGTCAAGACAATCAGTGCCCCCGATATTCGGTGGAGGAGGGGTGACTTGGGAAACAACACGCGAGGATACGAGGGAGCAGCGATATCAAGCGGCCTTGGGAGGCTCCGATATCGTCTGGGGATGAATCACCCCTGCCCGTTTGGGACTAGCGGCATGCACGCCCTCCCCCACTGGAGCTAACCGGATCGGGGCAAGCGTTGTCAACGGAAGGGCGTGCATGCTTCCTCTTTCCTGTTCGCCGTTCGGCCCCATCTGCTTTTCTCCGGTTGCTCCTCTGACTCGGGACTCTGGGATGCCCTCTGATGGGCTGCCCGCCTGTCCACTCCCTGCCGCCCATGGTTAGTCTGGCTGACGGCGACTGCAGAGAATGGAGGTGAGGGCCTCCTCGGTCGACCCAGCATGCGGCCCTGCTAGAAGGTACTAGCACGCCTTGTCGGTCCGGCATGCCTTTGATACCCCAGACGCAGAAGCCGTTCCCTCTTTAGGTCTGACAGTGCCCGTCCTCGCCCTTCTTCTCTCTCCATGAGATTTCCTTGATCCGCTTATCGTGGTCTTTTCTTGCTCCATTGTCCTCCTCAATCTTGGCCATAAACCTTGACTGGTGGTCGAGACGGAGCTTCCTTCGTCGTTGGCTCCTGACTCATCAAACGAGGTGCACGAAACTTACGGAGTAGATCCACCCAAAATGGAATACTTCGATTTCGATGAGGCCTCATACGGGTCTTATGCCCGCGACGATGATGTGGCTTCGGACCATCGCGAATTCGATGACAATGACGATGCTGTCGCCAATCATGAACTGCTCTCCCTCGAGCAACCTCTGGAATTCTCCAATGACCCGCCGGAGCAGCCACTTCCTGATTGCAGCCGGAGGGATCCCATCGACCCGGTGATAGACAACCGCGTCTATCCCATGTTTCGCGCCAAAGACCCCTGTGATTTCTGTCGCCATATGGGCCTGGACTGTTTCGTCGCGAAGAGCGGCGTCATGCAAAACAGTGGCTGTACTTGCTGTATCACGCTTTATCGAGAGTGCAGCTTCACCCATGCCAAGGCCCCCGGCAAATTCCTGAGCACTTTCCCTCCAATCAATGAGAATGTCGACATCCCCATTGGCGGTCTGACCGGCAAGAAGGCTCTCAAGTCGCTGACGGGAATGGCGACGCCAGAAGAGCTCGAGGCTCGGTCGAGGAAGAGCACTTCGCGACTCTCCCGTGAGGCGGTTCGCATCCTCAAGACCTGGCTTCAGGAGCATCACGAACATCCCTACCCCAACGATCAGGAGAAGGATGATTTGAAGCAACGGACTGGCCTCAAACGCACCCAAATCTCCAATTGGCTTGCCAATGCCCGGCGACGCGGCAAGGTGCGGCCTCCACCACGGAGTGGTTCTCCGGTTCCCGGCGCCATTGATGTTCCCGGACAGTCACACCTCAACATGGCTATGATGACTCCGCTGGAACGTTGGAAGCACTCTCCCCCAGAAAACGAACCTGCTGCGACCTCGGATATTTCTGCGAGCCCTGGTGAATACGCCTCTGGACCCATCGCAACGATCGTCCCAGTCTGGTCACGTGCGTTCCCATTCTCGGAAGACGGGGTCCAGTGGTGAGTCAAGCCATCCTAACTCCAATATATTCCATACCCCATCCGTCAGTAGCTTGGAGACAAGTCGGTCGGCAAGTCATTCTTCCATCTCGGACCTGTCCTTTGCCTCTGCCTTCTCCCATCGATCCTCCCTAGGGTCCTTTGGTTCAATGGAACGAAAGGAACGCCGTCGCCGTCGCAAAGCATCCGCCCCCGTCAACACCTTCAATCAACACAAGGCCCGTGGGTCACGGATCTTCCAGTGTACCTTCTGTGCCGACTCATTCCAGACCAAGTATGACTGGCAGCGGCACGAGAAGTCATTGCACTTGGCCTTGGAGAAGTGGACCTGCTCCCCCCATGGAGGTGTAATCATTGTTGACAACGTACGGCGTTGTGTCTTCTGTATGGCCGCTGATCCAGATCACGATCACCTGGAGACGCACAATTACAGCAGCTGCCAGGAGAAGTCGCTCACCGAGCGCAGCTTCTATCGGAAAGATCATCTCAATCAACACCTGCGGTTGATGCACAATGTGAGGTTCCACCCCACCATGGACAAATGGCGCAGTAACATCTGCGAGATAAGATCTCGCTGTGGATTCTGTGGGACCGTCCTTACCACGTGGAAGGATCGAACCGATCACTTGGCGTCCCATTTCAAGAGTGGTGCGGACATGGCACAGTGGCACGGTGACTGGGGTTTCGAACCAGAAGTTCAGAGTCTGGTCGAGAATGCCATGCCTCCGTATCTCATTGGCCATGAACACACCGTGTTGGATCCGTTTAAGACATCCGTCGATTTGGCCAACCCTGAAGATGTCAATTGTTTTCATCGTCTTCAAGTTCAACTTACTTCCTATATTCATAATCAGATGGCGGCCGGTGTCTTCCCCACGGATCAGATGATCCAGAATGAGGCACGACAGGTGATTTATGGAAGTGACGACCCGTGGAACCAAACCTGCGCCGATAATCCCGTCTGGCTTAGCGTTCTGAAGCGGGACGCCGGACTTGAAGCTGTCCCCGGGTCGGAGCATATCCAACTCGAGAACTTGGGTATGCGACCGCCATTTGCTGCCCATGACGGGCTGCGACAACCGCCTGTCGAGACCAACCCTTCCGCAAGAAGTGTATGTCGCCGATACCCCCTGAACTCTGGCTATTCCAGCCCCAGCATCCACAGTCCCGCATTCCCCGCAACTGGTCGGTCATCTGCCGTCCCAAGCATGCCGGGAAGCTCTACCGGTAGCTTTGCCGGTAGTACGGGGATGTTAGCTCGTGCCCCCAACTCCGGCTTATCGACGGATTGGGGCAGCAGTGTTTCGGCTGGGGTCTCGTCTTTCTCAACCCCGGGTGGATCTGTGGACCCCTTTGTGCAGATGGGGTTCGATCCCGAATTCCTGCAGCGACTGAGCGACAATTACGATAAATTGGACTTGGGTGACCTGCAGGGGTTGACATTTGACGGAGGAGGGGGTCAAGGTGGAGGAGGGTTTGAGCCCGGAGCCGATGAGAGTGTAATGAGTGAGCCGATCAAGGCCGCCATGTTGGACTCGAATACCGGCACCGCGCCCATCCCGATTCCCAGTCCGAAGAACACTGATACTTTGATGGCGGATGCTGGTCTTCCGCGGGAGATGCACCATCCCGGAGGGGGAGGTATTTGAGATACATAATGTTCTGAGATGTTGGATTGTGTTGAAAAGTTGTTTTCATTTTCAGATGTGGGTTCTCGTGCGTCTATATACCATAAGCAGGGAAGTTTGTTTAAGTCAGAATGCAACTTGATCTTTTATGTCGCATTGGTGACCATGGAGTCGTTTAAAGGGCGCAACAGATGGCAACAGTCCACGCCCTTTGGATGACATAACGTAACATGAATGCCAAAAGAGGAAGCACAAGCAATTTAGAGCCTCTGGTGAGTCAGAGTCAGGGCTTCATCCTTCATTTCCTGAGGAGTTTGGAGTGGCCTATTGCAAGGAGTCCCCAGGATGAGACCACCCACGCTTTAAAACCGTTTCATCACATGGCTTGCAGCTATCGCAGATGAAATGATCACGAGAATGCTATACTCTCTTCTGATACACTTCTGAGGATGGCGTTATCTTACTCCGTAGATCTCTGACGGGTGGAGTCGCCACAGACGCTACAGGCGCTGACATGTGAAAATCGGGCCATCTGCGCCTCAACCGTTTTCTTTGCAGTTTACGTCTGTCTCTAATTAGGTACATCTCCTCACCCCAGCCAAATGCATCTCTGGGACGATTGATGCGGAACTAAGGCATGTATGATGTGAATGCGACTATCATTATTGGTTCATATGTTCTCCGATCCGCGTCACTGGCTGTCATCGGCGAGAGTAATAACATCGGAGGAAGGCGCCCCCTCACTTGCTTCTTACCCTCCGTTCGCACCTTCATCGCACGCCAGCCAGGAAACCGAGATGGATGAATCGCCGGTCGACATCCATGCCCTTGAATTGCCAGGGCTGTCACTCCTGTCGACCGCAATCCCTATCATCATCAAACGGCGCATGCCGGGATTATTACTCTCATCTGTCCAACGGCTTGTGGATGCGAATGATCAGAACAACGAACAAGCAACAAACAAACCAGAAAGTCTGAAAAAATATCTCGATACCAACAGTATATCACCCATGGGCGATCATTGCCAATACGGTATGGCACCAGAGTGGTCAGAAGGAGACCTCCAGCGTCCCACCACTGCGAGCAGTACCACGCTGAACGACCTGGACTCTACGTTTTCTTCGAATTCCTCAACCCAAGGCGAGAGCTTCGGCATGGAATTGGCCAGGCTGGAGGAGCCCGTGGTCACGGGTACGACCGGGTATGAGATCGACTCTGGGATACGATGGAGCCGGGTTCTCCCGGGTTAGTTCGCTCTCTCGTTGTGGATATCTCAAGTTGCCACGAGATATAAATTGCGTGAACTTGGTGTGCTAATTTCTCTCGACAGCGTTGAACCTGCTTCGCAATGCAGTGTATGAGGCTCAACAGCCTCATGCGGACGGCCAGCTCGTGCGGTCTCTATACACTGGTGCCATTGGGTACCTGCTTGATGCTCTTCCGACAGATTTGAACCAGGACGAAGCTTCGCGGATTCAACAAAACATTCCTGGTCATCTGGGCGCTTGCTCCCAGGCACGATTGGATGGAAACGGTCGTTCAGGTGGAATTCCCGCAGCTGGGGACCGGCCGCGACGGTCTTATATTCATAGAACGGTGGCGTCTATCATTATCTACATTTTTCTCGCCTTAAAGCTCATCGCGCCTCTTATCAAGTCCATGGCTTACAGTCTGTACCAGTACGAACGGTCCCATCGGGTCACCGAGCGTGTTGCAGGCGTGGCCATGGGTGCTGCCCAAACCTGTGCCCGATACGGCGTGAATATGGGATCAGCTATTCTACGTAAGGATGGGACCCCCACGGGGGGCATGACGGGTTTGCTCATCTGGTGGACGGAGAACGTCGCTGGAGGCATTTACGAGGGAGTTGGACAAGGACTATCGATTACAGGCATGGACCAGCCTTCTTTTTGGACTGATATGGCGTCTCGGTTAGCGTCATGATGGCTGCGATAATTCGTGCTCTACCTATATACCTAGACTACCATAGACGGCCTATTCTTGGATGAAGCAATTCAGTGATGTTATTGTGTGCACGATCCGTACTATATCTGCCGGAGATAGCGGAGTTAAACCCACAGCAGCGTCAGTGCGGGCCGAACGACCATCGCATCCCTGAAGCCCCGTCACTCTCTCCGTCCTCCCCAACTAGTCCTATCGGCGACATGTCGAGCTGCAGATTGCCCAATATCCCCGCTCTTCGGAAGCATCAATTGCTTCTGGAATTGTATGTGCATTCTTCATTCCCTTTTACTCTCGCTCACGTGGAATGTGGAGCTAATTGCATTCCCGATCTCCAGTGCCAGCTTAAACCACGCCGCGCCTCCCGGTGTATATGTGAGCGTCGCCCCAAACGATCCTACTCTCTGGACTGCTGTTATATTCGTTCGATCCGGTATGTGATGTCTCAGTGTCTCTCAATCTGAGGACTTGGTAGTGCGAGTGCAATTGGTGTTGGTCCGCAAGCTAACCTATGGCATACTCAGGACCATACGCTTCTGCCGTCCTCCGCTCCCAAATCCGTTTTCCGCCCTCCTATCCGGACCTCCCTCCCCTGGTGACATTTTCCACCGATGTATTCCATCCGTTGATTGTACCCCTTACGACGTATACCTTTAGCACCAGCGCATCAAACGAAGACCCAGTGAGCGCGACGGACGAAGAACGACTGCCCCCTGGTGGGTTCAGTCTGCGCCATGGATTTCCACACTGGTTTGGTAGAGCCAAGCGGAGCGGGATCAACTCGACCGCATCGTCCAGGGCTGTGAGTGTGAACGGCGCAGGTCCCAGCGGAGAAGACGATCGCCCTACCAACACCGAGGACTCGCCCGCGGACGGAGATGGTGTCTCGGCTCCAGATACACAAGCCCAAAGTGAAGGAGATGGTGACCGTGCGGGAGATCCAACGGTCCTGTCGAGCGAGGAGAAGGCTCCCGACGGAAGAACCTCGGTCCCGGTGGCTGTCCTCTTGGATTACATCCGCTCCACCTTTGACGACGAGACTGTGCTCGACTCCTTACCCCTGGAAGCTGCGGGGAACCCAAGTGCCTGGCATGCCTGGAAGGCGCACAGGAGGGAAGGCAATTCGTCTGGGCTTGCGCCGGGTACGAAACGAGGAAGCCCCCAGGCGCGGCAGCCGGGCGATTGGCATTGGGATGGGATCTGGGCCAAGCGGGTTGCGCAAGAGATCGAGGCAAGCCATTCCGATGCGACCTTGTTTGGGAATGTGGGTACCCGGGGAGGAACCGATGAGCTGGTACGTACGGTTCGTCTGGAGCAGACTCGAGACGCGAAACTGACTTGATGATTATAGATTCGATTCTCTCGGTTAGATGAAGCTACCTTGAATTCCGTCAAGGATATGATTATTCCGCGGGTAGAGGTGGAACATGAATGATTGACCTTCTAGTTTATATACCCAATATGACGTTTCTGCAGTCGAACAATGAATAATCATAGCCTACTTGTCAGTCGCGCTTCACTTTTCGGTATACGCTCTTTCCTCAGACGACATCACCCCAACAACGCCATGTATCGGGCAGGACCAGCAGAGTCCGACACGTCTCTGCTTAGACCTACGGCCCTCTACCCCTCGCGAACGGTATCATTAGCCACCATCCCTTGTCCATGCGCGTTACCCTGCTACATCCCTCAAAGTCACCATGCCTAGCAGTCTGTATGATCGATACAAAACCTCCATAATCCTCGTCGCATTGGTCCTCGTCCCCTTCGTGATCTTGTGCTGCATCTTTGTAGGGGCCCTCGCTTGCTCGGAGTACTGGAGCTCGGACCGTCGCGCGTCTGGTCCCTGTTGTCGGCGACGAAGGCAGCAGTTGCCGGGGTCTTCTGACGGCTCGAGGGACCGTTCGACTACTGTGCCATCGGAGGTAAGATATTCGCTTTGGTTTCGTGAGTTAACGAAATGTTGAGTGAAAGAGACTGTTTAGTGGATGTCGCTCGAGCGTTTACTTCACGATGCCGTGCAAAGACGATATCACCTCGAAGGACTAAGTCTTGTTCGGAAACAATTCTCGCCTTTTTCTGCGGCTGTTGTATGAACTAATTCGTTGGACACGCTTTGTTGGTATGGATAACCCTGGATCTTCGTATCATTTGCTTGGTTTGAGCTGACCATGAAACAGAGAGTACTTGTATGAGGCTATCGAGGGGTTGGATGGAGAATTAAAGCAGCTATATTGGATTCATTATGCTGTACGGGTACATTGACGGCATTCCGCGCTCCTCCATGCACGTACGCTTGTCTCGAGTTGTATAGGAAATTGCCTGTATTGGATGCTCGTGTATTGGCTACCTCAGGAATGTGATATGATTTCTTGTCTCCCTGATTGTATTATAAGATACTGTATAACAGCTAGTGGTGCAAACACAGCCGCTATCATTCCGAAGATTCATCTACAAAGTTCCTCAATATAGGAGCACGGTCTTCCGCCTGCTTCTTCTCCCACAAAGGCTCCCCATCGTCATCAAATTCAGCCCACTGGAAGAACCCACAGGACTTCTTTCCCGGCGCAAACCCCGCATAGCACATCCACATGTACCGGCCGCGGGACTCCCGTTTGCGCTGCGCACACCGAAGGATGGCGTGCATCCCGCACCGACAGCGCGGCGTGTTCCGCGGATGAAGAGAGTCCCGGTACCATCGGTACGTGATGTTGATGCGGCGGTTTCCGGAGACCGGATGGGGCGAGATGGTCTGCGCCGGGACAATCGCATGCTTCCACTCTTCCTGCATCTCGGCATGCATGATGAGAAGAGAGTTGTGGGGTAGATGGATGGAGATTTGGCCCTGCGCGTCCGCACGCGACTCTGAGGAGGCCTGTGTGTTTTTCAGTGTAGAGGTCTCCCCCACCTCAGCACCCTCATCCGCATCGTCCGCGACCACCCGTCGCACGCGAAACTCCCGCTCCACGCCCAAACTCAGACTGCCAATGATCGCGCGGGGCCCCAGATAGGTCAGCTCGTCCGCGTGGAAGCCGACGCTCTCCGCCGGCCCGTCGTAGCAATTGACAAACGCCGCATTGGGCATCCACTCCTTGGGCGACTGGTACCGCAGCTTCTTGCCACCGGGGTAGTGCGAGCGGATGCGCTTGCTGACCTCATCGTTGACGGCGCGCTGCACGGCGCCCGAGACACGGCGCATCTGCGGCGTGATCTGGCGCACGTTGGAGCGGTACGTGCCGCCGTACGTGTACTCGGACGTGTGCTGTCTGTACTCGTCGGCGGTGGAGACGTACACGCAGGCGGAGTGCGGGCTCTCGACGGCGCGGTCGAAGAGCTGGAACCGGTACCGCGCAAAATGGGCCGACTCGTCGAGCAGCTCGCGCAGGAGCGCGGTGGCCTGCGCCGCCGGAAGGAAGTTGTGGATGATCGTGCAGGGCGTGTGCGCTGCGACGTCTTCCGGCGCGAACAGATGCAGCGTCTTGCCCTTGCGGGTCAGTGGCTGCCGTTTCAGCGGGGACGGCGCAGCGGCCGTCCCTGGTGCCGGCGGGAGCACATGGATGTGTGCGGCGAGCGAGGTCTGCACCGCGGGTGTGGATGGCGTGGCCCGTTTGGTGGGTGATTTGCAGACGCGCTGCGAGGTGAGTGTGGATGCGGCGCGGTCTACGGAGCCGCCGCTGGCGACGAGGATGTCCAGGAGGAGATCTTGGGTGGTTTCTGGGAAGAGGGAGACGAGCTGTGCGAGCTTCACGTCGGTCGAGTCATCGTCCGGTGGCGGGATGCCGTCCGGATAGGACACGGGGGATGGGGATGGGGACCGAGGTCGTTTGCGGGATACAAAACGGTCCATAGGGGCCACCGTCTCCGACTGCGGGCCATTTGAGGGGGGTGGTGGTGAGGTTTGGGAGAGCTGTGACTGTTCGTATGTTCATGTCATGGCGGAGATATTGCGCCACACGTGATTGCTCTTGAAGTGGCCAATCAGGAGCCGGATTGGTGTATATAGATCGAGGGATGCAGCAGAACAAGTAGAAGAACTCGTGGATTTATTGTACTAGATACCGGGTATAAAGACTTAAACTCTTAAAAGACCTCTGACTCTGCTTTCCAATCCCCACCACCCATGTATACGCTCCCGGGACTATGATACTTCATCAACCCCTTGCCTTCCCTTAATCCATCGTAGACTTCCACCAGCGACGATAGCGCTACCGTTGTCCACCCGGGAAAGGACCCTACGGCCGGATTGGAATCTCTGCGATGCGAATCGGGAAAGTTCTCCTCGAGGACTTTTATCGGACACCCGGAAGTATGCGCATCTTGCCCCTCCTTCGCAGCCAGGTCCACCTGCTTTGCAAACGAAGCCAAAACCGCATCATCCACGATCAAGCACAGCCGCAGACGCACCGGAAGCTCGATAGACGGTAATGCGAGGGAGACTTTCCAGTCGTGAAAGATCTGGCGGATGACGTCCTCGCCCACGTCCTGGTACTGGTCTTGCGCGCTGAACACCTTTGAGGCGTAAGTTTTCTCCAGGAGATGGATTTCTTCGCGTGTCCCCGGAAGACGGTGCAGCGCGGTTTGGATTGCCTCGTTCAGCGCACGGAGGAACAAGGGGAGGAGACGGTGCGACTCAGGCGCGTAGGTCGTTCGGTAGACGGTGGGGCCCCAGGTGAGAGTCAGGAAATCGCGCTCCGGACCCGGCGGTAGCGAACGAAGGCCCGGTTGCGCTCCCAGACGGGAGACTTCGGTGTGGAGGAATTGCGCGGCGACGGACTTTTCAATGGTATCATGCGACGGCATGATGGGGGAGTAGCTGGCGCTTGATTAAGTGGGATGTTGTGTGCATGGTGGCTGTATTCTCCTTTCGAAGGAGCTGTTCGCTTTGCGGTCATTTTGGACGGTTTGGACCGTTGGTCCCGTTGTCGTCAGAGTGACATCTATGACTGACCAAAGGAGACGTTTGTCAACAGAGGGGATTAGATGTGGATGTTGGGAGTTAGTATCTCGTGAGCATTGTCGGTATGATCTGATTCTGTTCTGTGTGAAGTGAACAATCTGAAGCTGTACTCTGTATCAGTTCGCATCGACAAGACGATGACGTAGTACTATGCGGGCTGATACCGGTGGCCTGAGGAATCAGGCACAACCTCGGCATGTGGTCTCCCCGCAACTTCTCCGTCCGCTGGATGGATTTCCTCCTCCGATCACCTTCACCCTTCTGTTTTCTGTTCGACATACACAAACAACCGCTCACTCCGTTTACCCCTTCTTCATAACCTCCTCCTCACTCCCACTCCCTGAGCGTGGCCCAGTCAATCCAGCAAACCATGCTCCACTTCCGCACAGAAGGCTACAACGGCTGTGCGGTCAAGTACTCCCCATTCTTCGATAACCGGCTAGCGGTTGCCGCGTCGGCCAACTTTGGACTGGTGGGCAATGGGCGCATGTACATTCTGGAGCTCACTCCCAATGGGATCGTGCCTGTAAAGTGGTGAGTTGGTGTGAATTGGTCATGCTACTGATCACAATTAACTCACTTGGCTAGGTTCACAACTCAGGACTCGCTGTATGATCTGGCATGGTCTGAGATCCATGAGAACCAGGTCCTCACAGCTTCTGGTGATGGGAGCATCAAGCTTTTCGATTGCAGTCTGAATGACTTTCCTGTTCAGAACTGGAAAGAACATAATCGCGAGGTCTTTAGTGTGCACTGGAACCTAGTCGCGAAAGATCGCTTCTGTTCCAGCAGTTGGGATGGCACCGTACGCGTCTGGTCTCCGCATCGCCCTCATTCTCTTGTCACCCTTCCCACACACAGCTGCACCTACTCGGCTGCCTTTTCGCCTCACTCGCCGGACATCCTCTCATGTGTCACCTCCGACTCTTACGTCCGCATCTTCGATCTTCGCACCCCAGCCTCAGCATCCAACCACCTTACTCTTCAGATCCCTATCCATGCAGCTCCGGTTTCGCCTATCCCCGGACAACCAGGCGTGCCTCCTGCAGCGACTCCCCCATCCGAAGCCCTGACCCACGACTGGAATAAGTACCGGCCGTCGATTCTTGCTACTGCTGGCGTCGATCGCACCATTCGCACATTTGACATTCGCGCCCCGCAACAGGGTCCCCAGGCGGTCATGCTGGGACATGAATATGCCGTGCGCAAGATTTCCTGGTCCCCGCACCTCTCGAACGTTCTGCTCAGCGGCAGTTACGATATGACCTGTCGCGCCTGGAGCGACCAGTCCCCTCCTGGCGCTATCGGAGACGTCGATTCCATGCGCGCCGGGCCAGGCCCTGTCATGGGTGCTGAGCTGGGGCGTATGGGCCGTCACACAGAGTTTGTTACGGGTGTCGACTGGTGTTTGTTTGGTAGTGAGGGCTGGTGCGCCAGTGTGGGGTGGGATGAGAGTCTGTATGTTTGGGATGTGCGCGCGGTGATGGGATAGATCAGTCTTTTTGTGGTGACTGTTTGCGTGTGTATGACGTGGCTGTCTTGGTTTATTTCTTCCTGTGTATTGGATATTAGATTGCATGATACCATTTTGTCTTGGTAGTGGTAGGAGTATCCCTCTGCTGATGCATGAATGAATGAACATTTATCTATTTTTGTGCTGGATAAGCTCAGCGTCCACCCATGCACCCCAGACAGCTATCTAATCATGATCGCATAACAGACCCGCACAGCAATCGGGACTCATCCCAGCTGGGGTGTACTCAACCCCATGCCTAGTCAATAACCA